AGCCACTAGTCTAGTCACTGCATAATGTGAACTGATCATAAAATACACCTAGTATTGTTTGTTTGGATCTTCCCATTGATGTTTTTAGGACTGAAACTGGTCAGTCTCTTATTGGTATATGTGCATACTGTGCGTATTGCCTTAATATAGTCTTGATTTACATGTATTATAAACAAAGATGGATAGTGGCTAGCAGTGGGATCCAGGACGCGCGTTTCGTCCTATTTGGGACTCGTCAGCTGGATGTACCTGCATCTTGGAGGTGATGTTCACTCTTGGGCTCGAACCTAGTGCCGTTTGCTTCATAGACACAATTCTGTTGTTCCTCCTTATGTATTAGATCTTTGATTCTTACTAGTTTTGGTCTTATAGTTTGTTTCTTCGAAAGAATACTCTTATATTTTGAATAGTTAGGATTCTTCTGATCTCTTCTGAAATACCTTTACGATATAAGATATGCACCATTGATTTGGAATCAGGGTCTTCCAACTCCCCTAGATAGACTGACCGTGTCCACCAAACTGGTTAAAACGCCGGGCATTCGCTTTTCGTCCTCACAATTTTGTAAACAACAGTGATGTCACGAGAAGGCAGTGAGTAGGACTTCCCTCGAAGAGGATATATACGCGTGGAGTGGATATAATTAAATTCACTTCCATTTCTATATCATTTAGTTCAGTGACAAGTTTTTGAACACTTGTGATCAGATTTTTGGACACTGTCATTTTGTTAAAGTGTGGATATGCTGACGTAAAATCTAGAAATTCCCCTGAATATGTCGGCTTACAGAAAATACTAATTTTTAAACAATCATTATATTTCCTTTCAACTAAACAGTCTAGAAAAGGTAATTTGTGCTCCCCCTTCTTTGCTAATAAATTAATTCACACCTAACCTTTTCTGTTCAGCTGAGGTCCAATAGGTGTCACTTATATAAAACACTTTCAGGTTGTATTTTGTCATTTCGACAACTACTTGAATGGTTCTTCCGGTCTCTCGTATTGTGTAGACATTCGATGTACATATATTTAATGTCGCTCTGGTTGACGGAAGGGCATCAGCCTCATGACGTCTGAAGAATCTTGGCTTTCAACACGAAGTGTCATGGCTCTTTTAAATGAAGATCCCTCCACGCCCAATACAGGGTTTAAATGATTTTGTTGATTGATGTTTTTTTAACAGCGTTATTTCCGACAGTATGGAGTTGCGAACCCCTTGCCTTACCGTCCTTTATTACCGGTATTAGGATCGGCAGAAATCCTAGAACTATTCCAGATGGAGTTAATTTGCCCATTTCATTACAGTGAACAAACACAATATAATTGTGCGCTAAAGATAACTTTACCTGTAAAATATAACTCTAGAGGCTTCTTTTCCGATGAGTACATGCCAAATTTTATGGAGTAAATCTATAAATTCTCTTCTGATTTAGGTGTTATATTTCGCGTTTAATTCTAAAAGCATTCACCTTTGATTGTCACTCATAGGCCCCCCGAATGCCCTGGTACAACCGAGATTGAGGAGACTGCGCTCTCCTTATCCAAATGTTCTCACATGGTCAAACATATATAGCCTCTACCAGGGAAGACCTGCTCAATGCATTCTCTCACCACGAGTGTTATTTATGAAATTGAGAGGAAATAAAGCGAATGTCCGGCAATTTAACCGGGTTGGTGGACACTGCGAGTCCACCTAGGGGAGTTGGAAAACCCTGATTCCAAATCAATAGTGCACATGGTCTCCAGAATCCTGAGAGAACAAATGGCATATAAACCAAGTGTTGGTCACCGGCTACCATGGGACTGCATCTCCTTACGATGCTCCAATGCCTTGTGGATCAGAACTTTAGGTCAAAGTCTCCGAGTGTGAACCCCTAAGATAACCACCTGCTTCAGTTTCGGCACTGAGCAGTCTCACAGCCCACACACAAATCAAATGTGATTTGTGTGGCGCATATCTATCTGGTGCTTCCTTATATCAATATTTATGTGTTTAAATAAATAAATAAAATACGATACGTAACCAACACGAAATTCTATTAGATTGTTGAGGCTGGCACAGACAACAGTACAGTTTGAATTGTGTTGTCTGACAACTTGTATTATGAGGTTTATGAACAAAAGATCAGAATAAGAAACCCATCAATTCAAATGTCTGTTATTTTAGTTAGAATCACTTCAGTACAATTTTTGCTTGCATCCAAATCATGTATGAATCTATTGCGGTTGGTTGTTTTGCTTAGTCAGATATATCGATAGTGTGACAGGTGTTATATATTCCCCTATCCCTATTACTATCATTGATTGACTGTTCCTTGTTGTTGGATTTCGGTGTGGAAATATATTGACGTTCTAGTCAGGCTAATCTCGTGTTCTTGATCTGAGTTGTGTTGAAGTCCTGTAGAATAGATGACACTGGGTGGGAATTTAGTATGGATATTCGTATAAGGTAAATTAGCGTCCCACATACGTGTAAAAAGTGAAAGGACTGTTATAACAAGTATCCTACCGCTTATAACATTTATAAAAGCAAAACTGAACAATCTATGCAGACAATAATTTTTGAAGCCACACATACATAAATATCACTGTGGCGTTTGAAGATCATTGATTTACATTGACGCATGGAAGTAGCAGACGGATGTTTTATCTTAATACGAAACTCCTCAGTAATACGCCCCTACGATCTTCCACTAAAAAGAATCGAACCAAAGGTTTTTTGTCTCACATGCGTACGCTTAACCTCTAGACCACTAAGATGAGATCCGACGGTGTACAATCAATCCACAAAATTGTGCGAGCATTAACGACTTTGTAACTGTAAAAGGAATACCTTAATTTATGTTTAAATGTGGCTATGGTGATCGATTAACCTTACTTTGCAACTAATTCTGTTCCGCCTGTAAACTTTACAAGTCTTCATAATTCATCGTATTAGTCATTCGAATTACAATTTATGGATGTTATTATGATTAAATTCATTGTTCAAATGCCAACAAATTCTGCAATCTAAATATTTTGGGCTACACAAAATTCCTACGTAATTTCGCCACCGTGCTATCCACCTAGCTACGATTCACAAAGTAGAACGAAACATGCGTCCTGGATTCCACTGCTAGGCACCATCCATATCTGCTAAGATATGATCGGTGATCAGATTAAACATATAAGAAATGAAATCCAAAGAAGGTGAAACAAAACAAATACATGTGTAGGTAATTGTTTACTAAGCTTTCTCTGCCAAATAAGCTGTAAACTGACATATTTCTTTTAAAAAGAGACCCGGGTTGTTAGTTGAAATACCTGTAGCTTCAGTCTTATATATGAGACCCGTTAGGAAAAGGTTTATGATAAACTATTAGGAGTAATTTGATTGCAACTACCACTATTGGACAAGTGTGTATAAACGGACGTGTACATCGGTTTTTTCAGACCCTTTATAAAACATGAAGGGGTGTCCTCACTAATTCGCTGGCTCAGTTATCTGATCCGTAATCCAAAACAACTGGACTCATAGATATACAAAGATGTGGTAAAGCCACGAAAATTATTCACTAGTCAAGGTACAACAATAGGTCGACTAAAAGAAAACAAACCAAAAACTAGTTGGACGAAAAGTCCTAACAAACTGTTCAAGTTAGTATATCATCCCGGTTGAACAGTAGTTCTAAGGAAAGACATTTCAAACAAGGAGTTGACGTTTTTACTTTTCTGATCACGGTATACATATCCCTCTTCAGAAAACCTTTTAGGTAGACCATTTCAATCAACATATGATGTGAGAATCCTAGTTCTTTGTCTACAGTTTTGATGAAGCTCATATTTCTGATTCCACTTATAGGGAATTCAATTCGATTCTTATACAGAATGGGTACAAAGCTGAAACGATGTCTACTTTCGTGAAGATGGATTTTTTCTATACACATTTTTACTGATAAACCAATTGCTTAGATCTAGTAAGACGTTAAGGTAGTGAAATTTGTCACTAAGCTCCTCTTCACCAGTCGACCTAACTACTGAATATACATTGTCGAATCCCCGAAGGAATTCTTTTCTAATACTGCGATCGACGATAATACGTTGTGGGCATAAAATGACTGTAAAAGTCAAGCTTATCAATAATCTTCATGAGATGTTTGTTTTTTAATTTTTATGAGAAAGAGATTAGCTAAGATAGATGATTAAGGCGAACCCATCGCTGTTAAAATCAACCGTTATTGTGCATCTGGGAATGCGATCCTATTATACTAACCTCGGAGATTTGAAAATTTATCGACTGTTAACACATGGTTGATTACTGCGACTGATCCTACATGGGTGAAAAAGGAAATCACAGATTTTACGTTGAAAATGATTACAAAGACGTTTACGATTTTTATATTAACGACCTAATTGTGTATCAAGAATCAGACGTGTCATGTTTGAAGTTCTATGGCTTGTAGAAATAAACATATGTAAAACTGCGCAAAAAGTAACTCCTACATGTGCATGTACAAATGAACTAACATATAGAGGGGGTGGCTAGACCAAAATGTGGCAAAAATCCATGAAATCACTGACAAGTGAACTGAGATAGGTATGGACTACCTGGTTGGGATCCACTAGATGATAACAACCGATGGTTAGAGATCTTGAATGACATGTCTCAAAATCGTTTGCAATGGCTCAGATGCATCCACTCTTTGTGTTCTTCAAAATTCTAATCTTCTGAATTCTTCATGTCCCCTTCTTTTTTCTGTTTCCAACTTTATTTCACTGTATTATACACATTGAATAACATCTTCAAACCCTGATCTTTCCGATAACTGATTATACACTTCCTACTTCTACCACTATGGGATTTGAATCAACAACTGCATCTCTATGTTGATGTAATATGGCAACTAGAAATGATGTACGTACGTACGAAGTTCTACGTTGTGACTGACTGACTGACTGTATAGATGGACTAGATGTATGGCATTACTTGAGACTTTCAAATAAATAGGCTGAAATACATAGTTAGTAGTATATATGTATGTATTGTATATATATATGATAAAATACATAATTTAAAATAGATATGAAAATATTACAGCGGTAAATAATCGAACGAATATGAAACAAATATACATATATATATAGAGAGAGAGAGACGATGAATAATAAATAAGGAATCATAGAAGTATAAAAATGTTTTTTTTGGGGGGGGGGATAATGGTTAACCCGAAAATTTCCAAATGCATACTAAATTATTGTCAGTTACTGCAACTAAATATTGTCCATCATGACTAATATCGGTTGTATTCACGACAGGATTTTTAAAACCAGAAGTAATACTTTCTTTCATTTGATTATCTTCATCTTTTGCACCACCTATACTACATTCTGGCCATTCAAGTATCTACAAAACAAAAAGAATGGAAAAGTATGATAAATTATATGGTAGATAGGTAGATATATCAAGTAATTTGGATGATTAAAATATTAAAGATTCAATCAACATTTGGATTTGTTGTAGGTCCAAGAATCATAGATGTACTCGGCGTGTTCAGCGATCCGGTTAAAGCACCGGACAGTCGCTTTTCGTTCTCTCAATTTTGTAAACAACAGTGATGCCACGAGAAGGCAGTGATTAGGACTTCCCTGGCAGGGGAGGGAGATTGGACTCCCCCCACTCTCGGCCGTACCAGGACATTTGGGGGCTGTTGAAGTCATGTTTGAGTGTTACTATATATATATATATATATATATATATATATATATATATTGGACAGCATCATAATTCAAATGTATATTAACAGTGATAAGAATTCTTTATTCTGCTATTCTATAATGAGTATGTCAAAAGAGTTCCTACGTTGTAGCTGAATGAGTGACTGACTTATTAATCTTTTCAAATATTTCAGAATGATAATTACTAGATATTACAAAACTTAACAATCTAATTGATTTGATGTAAATCATAATTTAAATGGATCATATCGATAACAGTTAATGTAAGTTCCATGAACTTTTTAGCTATTCATTTTGTTAAATAGAGTCAAATGGTTTTTTTGCATTAGTTATTCAACGGTGCAACAAAACTTCACTAATGAATGGACTATTGGGGTGTGCTATTGATGTCGATGGATATAAGTAGTATACATCACTAATCGAAAGTGGAATGTCTGGAGGTAGAAGGTTGAGAAAGTCGAACAGAACGAGGACAGAGAATGCTTGGTATGAAAACGAGGAAACAACAAAATCTGATTATTTATTTATTTATTTGAACGTTTAAATATTGGTACAAGGAGGGAACCAGATTATATATGCGCCACATAAAAAATTGTGTGAGGTCTATGATACTACCCGAGTGTCCATACTAAAGCAGGAACAAAATCTGAAACAACTGACAGATATTTTGCAAATGAAGTATTCCACGTATGGGTCTTAGATTTTAGCAAGATACTTTGTAATCTTGTATGTAATAATAAGTTGCTGGTTCCCATTTGCGTTCTCGTTCACTATACTATGAATACAGGTATGATGGAATGCGTAATATGCACTAGCATGTAAAGAATGATGAAGACTAATATCAAAAGAACTTTCAAGAAGAGCTAAATCTAATTATAAAACATCGATTGTGTTACATGAACAAATGAAGTATATATTAACTTAAAATGAGAATATAATGGAAAAAAATGTCAAGAGATATTAATAGATGACAAATAAATGATTAGAGTAAATAAAACAAAACGACTAAAACTATCCAAGAAGTTTAGGATCTAAACATTATGAATCAAAAGAGAAATAAGAAAAGTAGGGATATGAAGTAATTTCTTATATGCCCCTAATGCCCTGGTACGGCCGAGAGTGGGGAGAGTTCGCTCTCCCTATCCAAATGCTCTCACATGGTCAGACGCATATAGCCTCTGTCAGGGAAGTCCTATTCACTACCTTTTTGTGGCAGGGGTGTTATTTACGAAATTGAGAGGACGAAAAACGAATGTTCAGCAATTTAACCCGGTTGGTGGACACAAAAAGTCCACATAAGGGAGTTGGAAAACCCTGATTCCAAATCATTGGTACATATGGGCTCGAGTATCCTGAGGGAACAAATGCCGTATGAATCAATCGTTGGTCACCGGCTACCATGAGACTGCATCTCCTTAAGATGCTTCACTGCCTTATGGACTAGACCTTCAGGTCAAAGGCTCTGGGTGTGGCCCCATAAGAAAACCATCTGCTTCAGTTTAGGCACCTGGGCAGTATCACAGACCTCAAACAAATCAAATGAGATTTGTGCGGCGCATACATATATGGTACCTTTTTGTACCAATATTTATGTGTATAAATAAATTTCTTATATTAATATTATTAAAGCAAGAGAAAATGATATTTACCTTTACAGGTTTTGATTTAAATTTTCGATTTTCTGATTCATCAATTACTTGTTTTTGTAAATCATATAACCATATAGTTCCTTCATTATCACCACATATGACAGCATTTAAACCAGGTCTAGCAGTAACATTAATATAAATTTCTTCTGTAGTATGCCAACGTAATTGACCACGAATTTCAACATTAATTAATTTTTTATTAGATACACTACTACGTCTACGACGATTAATAACCTAAAAATAAATAAAAAGTTGATAGGAAATTATCAATACACTATTTTACCTGTCCATAATTAATCACATAAATTTCACCTTCTTCAACACATTTTGTTACAATTAAATCATCGGATAATTGAGCCAGACCATCGAAACATGGTTCACGACGAGTTGGAACTTTCAATTCAAGTTCAGCTTCTCTGAAATATAAAAATATAAAATAATTTAACAACAGCAAATAGTGAATTAGTGTATCTATGTACATAGGCAATGAAAAGGATGACATAGTTGTTCTGTTTAAAACAATTACTCATTCGATCAATTCACGTTCACGGGCTTGAGAGGAAATGTTCACTAATAGATATTATGAAAACTGACAAATGTCATCCTAGAAACTGGGTATGATATCATAGGAATTGGCTTTATTTATAAAAAAAACTGGCTACCGATTGACTGCTACTGTAAAAGTATGTTAGATCACAATTGATTGATCACTGGGTGGTGACCAATGTCATGCGTATAAAGTCCGTCTTTAGTGATAATCGAATGCTATCGATCAAGTTGCAATGTGGCCACTAGTCTAGGTGGCTCGACACCTCAATGGTAAAATCTTTGACTGTGAAGCTGAGTGAAACGGGATCGAATCAGTCAGGGAGCAACAGTTCCCTTAAGATTACAGGTACACCTTGCTGACGAGTGCCAAGTAGCACGAAACCCGGGTCCAGGGTTTCCTGTTGACCACCACCAACCACCATCTTATTTCGGTAGGTTATAACTTGTGGTAGAGTGGATGTCTTGTTTACGTATGACGTGATAAGACCGCCAATCAGAGAGCAGTGATTTATTGATCAGACCAATGATACATGAAACTTGTACGAGCAGTATAGAGTACTTATCGGTCCCGCTTTTTGCCTAGCCCAGCCAGTTAAATCCAAAACACCAATACCAGCCTCTGTTGTATGAATCCTTATATTTCAAACATACTGAGTTTATATACCAAACAGACTGACCACATCGTACCAATAAAATATGAAATAACATTTGTACAAGATCCAGCTAAATGTGGCTGTGAATGTGGGAGGCAGGAATTAGATGACTAGGAATAAGTCAAGAGTGGTAAATCGTACAATAATAGTCCAAGGGTCAAAATAAAGCTCATAATGAAAGGAACATGAATATGAGTAGTTTACCAATTTAGCAAATAGGCGATAAAAATTGAACGCATAATACTGGTCTATAAATGGACGCCACAGTTACTATTCACTATTGTTATCGGGATGTAACAAGTTACTACTCAGCATCTTTAAACTGAGGATAGAAAATAACTACATCCTCAGAAACCACCGAATTTGAAGATTGCTCAAGTCTAGTTTTGAGTATTTATTGATTCATTTAACCATGAAACAAGTCACATAATCAGAAACTATTAATTATTATTAGTCCTCAGAAGGGGGTGTTGTGGAGATTTTAGTAATTTTATATAGTTGAGATCATTAATGAATTGAATCTAGACCAGCCATCTAGTGCCTCTAGGTTTTCCATGGTGGTCTAGCTTCAAATGATTCATGATCTCAAATATTTAATATTATTAGTTTTATTATAGACTAGTAAATAACTGTTCAGAATACAGTTAACAAATCTGTAGGAAATACGTTATTAGTACATATTCAGCATAGATGTGGTGGGTTCCTTTTACGCAAACAGACATAAGTAGTTCGTATAGCAGGAATTGAAAATGGAGTACATACCAGAGGAAGATGGGAATAAAGAGAAGACGAAGTAAAACAGAGAGCAATCGGAATGAAAATAGAATTAGAAGGATAGTGGAGTATGTAAAGCATAACTCAAGGAAAATATACAGATGATGTATTTAATGTATGATTTTCATATTTTAAAAAGGCACTACGCCAACGACGGCAGACAGTCAAGATGCGAGTGGATCCCAAAAATGTTCGTCATTAAGAAGGTGTGTTGGGGATGTCAGATCCCCAGAACTCACTTGGTAAATGACTTATTTTTGTAATTTTATTTTGCAAATTTGAATTTCGCTGTTTTCGCTAAAGCCAAAAGCCTTCTTTTCACCTTCACGTCGTATTTCCCACCTGAGAAAATCTTAAACACTATTCGTCCGTTATATTTTCTAGTATGCTATTTTGTAACGTTTCCCAAGGACAGTTTTATGCTGTATATATATATATATATATATATATATATATATATATATATATATGTTTGATTTCTTCCTGTTGTGATTACTTGTGCTTCCGGCTGCTTACGGAATATATTTTCCCCTACTTCGTCTTGGACTTTTCACTCTAGTTAACGGAGCCTGGGACAACGCATTAGAATAGCCATTTACTGAATAAGAAGAAATCGTAATTAGCATTCAAGCATATCACTTTTCTTCGATCTTCATAACCTCCTGCCGCCAAACATTTCACTTTCGATTGACTATTAACGTACTACTTATATCTGTCGACATCAGTAGCACATACCATACAAGAAAAAATATTTTTAATGATAATGCAAAACTAATTGAGGAATTCATGGTTTGGAGAACATTTTTTTTAGAAAACAAATAGTGAATTAGAAAGAAATGGCACCTAAAACTAATCTTACTTTTCATCACTTAATTTTTCTTTACGAAAATCTTTCAATGTCCATGAGAATATTCCATCTTCACATCCTGCAACAAGGGCATCGTATTTTTTTAAAAATACAAGATTTAAAACAGGATTTAAATTAGCTCTAGGGCATACTAAACGCATAAGTAGTTGATGACGTGTTTTATATTCTGGTGCAGAAGGTATACCAATATCCCATACTAAAATGCAAGACTAAAATTTTAAAAAAAAACACAATCATTTTGTTGCGTTTAATGAGAGAATAAACAGACAAATATATTTAAATCAGAAGGGGTTTTGTGGAGAACTCAGTATTTTCATAGTTGAAATCACGAGTCAACTGAAGCTAGGCCACGATGAAAAACCTGGAAGCACTGCCGGACGGCCGTTTCTTCCTATTATGAGACTCCTCAGCAGTGCGCATCCACGATCCCACACTCGTGAGATTTGAACCCAGGAACTACTAGTCTCGCGTCAGAGCACGTAACCGATAGACCACTGAGCCGGCATCCAACGGTGTTAATGTCGAACTTCAACTAATCCACGATTCTGAGCAACCGTTCACCAATTGTCTTCAGTGGTGGTCCAGCTTCAATTGACTCATGATTTCAACTATGAAAATATATTTAATACAAAATGTTTTAACTGTTAAATGATAAGCAGCATAATATAGTGGAAAAAGACAGAGTAGTTATTCATTTGAAATAAGCAACTGTTTGAAATGAAAATATAAAGTTGAACAGCGAAATTCCCCCGTACAGTCAGTCACAACGTAGAACTTCGTACTTAAGTACATCAGTTCGAGTTGCCATACCACATTAACACAGATGCAGTTGTTGATTCAAATCCCATAATGGTAGAAGTAGTAAGAATATAAGCATTAATGTGAAAGATTAGGATTTGAAGATGTTATTCAAGGAGTACAATCCAGTGAAATAAATTTGGAAAGAGAAAAAAAGATGGAGACAACAAGGTACACAGAATTCAGTATTGAAGTATTGAAATATCAAAAAAGCTATGATGAGTAGGTGTTCTATATGAAATAATAACAGGAGGATAAATCACTTAAAAATGTGAAACTAATCTAGATATTTATTTGTATTGGTCGTTTGTATCTGTTTACTGATGTTGAGGATTGAAATCAATCAGTTACGAAACTAATAAGAAAATTCAAATAACTAACATGAAAATGAACTACACTTCACCTTATTGAACAAGCTAGTGATAATTTTAATTCAATGAATAACGAGATGGTGTTCGATATGAACGGTAACGGGTTCAAATCCCGGAGTGAACATTAACATCTGGATGCAGGTATATCTAACTAACAAGTCCCGAATAGAGGGAAACGAGGATTTTAGATTCCACTGCTAGTCATCATCCATCTATTTTTAAAAATGCATGGAACCTACTGGGAATAGTAAGGTAATCCGCATGTGATGCATATGTGATAAAAGACTGATCAAATGCAGTCCTAAACATCAAAAGTGAGACCCAAACATTCGACATATATGGGCAAGTAAATGTATTTTAGGAAATTACCTTAGAATCACCAGAAAATAAGATAGTAGGCTTTTCAGGATGAAATATCATACAAGCAACATCATCTTTGTGACCACGCATTTCAGCATAGCATACTAATTGTTCAGGATGCAATAATCGAATTTCACGTAGTTTACCAGCGGCAGCCAACAGATTTGTTCTGTGCCCTGCAGCCATTTCAACAGTCGTCCATGCTAACGTGTAAAATTCCTAACAAAATACAAATAATACATTTAATAACATTACATAACAGAAATATCACATGACTTCAACTAATAGATGACAGCATAATGTGAAGTTCAAATTACCAAAATGAAATTTAATTCGTCAAACATACATCAACAGATTGCATGGATCAAGAAAGCTTAAATAAAATGTACTAACCAAAATCAACAGTATGGGGGTTGGAGAGAATGTTGGATTTCATTGAAATTGATGAACCGACTGAAGTTAGACAACCATTGAAAAACTTGGAAGAACTAGACGTCCATTTTGTTCCATACGATGACAAAATGGCCGTCCAATGTCTCCAGGTTTTTAATGGTGGGTCTAACGTAGATCAGTTGATGATTTGAATGGAATTCAATAGTTACTGATTTCATTGGAAGCCATCAGTGTGATATGTCTTATGACCTGCTAGTGAGTGTTCCATTTAGTTGGGATAAAGAGCTTAATTTATTGAAGAAATTATCGTTTGGGTCGCTTGAATCTTTTCGACATTCTATAACATTTACTAGGTTGTTTATAATGTAGATCATACGAACAAAACAGAAAATTAGAGTGTACTCACTTCACCAAAGTGTTTGAAACGTTTCATTACACGACCTGATTTACAATCAATAAGACAAACACATTCTCCACCGCATGTAGCTACAATAGTTGATGTTTCATTGCTTGGATTATTAACACTTGGTTCGAATGCGCATCGCCATACTTTAGTTTCGCAATCTAATGGGTCGTTGTCTCGTGCATGACACCGAATAAAATGTAGGGGATCATAGTCAACAATCTAGAAAATTTAGCATAAATATAGTGAAATATATAATGACAACAATAATAGAACAGTCAAAATGGTAGAGTATCAAGTTTAGGGAATCGCAATCACCAATTAACTGATCAAGGATCTGAAATGTGGTGGATAATGGATGTGATGTTACTGTCATAAACACATGGACAACAGATCAAGAAATATGTCATTCAATGCATGGTGACAACACTGTAGTTAGATGAACGATGGGATGTCATAAAATATGACAATAAATAAATAACAAGAAAAGTATGTACGAAACGATTTAGTTTTGAATAAGATTTACTAAGCATCCTGTTGTTCATGACAGCAGAAAACTACAGCGGATTTTTCTATCCTTCAGGGTGCCCCCAAATGCCCTGGTACGATCGAGAGTGGAGAGAGTCCGCTCTCCCTCTCCAAATGCTCTCACATAGCCACTACCAGGGAAGACCTACTCAATGCCTTCTCTCACCACGGGTGTTATTTATGAGATTGAGAGGAAATAAAGCGAATGTCCGGCAATTTAACCGGGTTGGTGGATACGGAAAGTTCACCTAGGGGAGTTGGAAAACCCCCATTCCAAACCAATGGTGCACATGGGCTCCAATATCCTGAGGGAACAAATGGCGTACGAATCAATCGTTGGTCACCGTCTACCATGAGACTGCATCTTCTCACGATGCTCCACTGCCTTGTGGATTAGACCTTTAGGTCAAGGACTCCGGATGTGGTCCCCTAAGAAAACCATCTGCTTCGGCCTGGGCACCCGGGCCGTATCACAGCCCACACACAAATCAAATGAGATTTGTGTGGCGCATATCTATCTGGTGCTTCCTTGTACCAATATTTATGTGTTCAAATAAAATAAAATAAAGGTTATCCAATCATGTATATGTAATGTAGAACTCAATTAATTGTAAGTCTCAGACTAAATAGATAACAATAAAAAGGGAACACACTTCTATGATAGAAAAAACCTTTAAATCGTTAATTTAACTTCGCAAATAGAGAACATATCTAACTTAACATAATGAACTCATTTCCTATTGTGGTGTATGCTACTTATATCTGTCGATATAAGTAGTATGTGACATCAATCGGAAGTGATGAACCTGACAGCAGAAGGCTAAGATAGGATTGGAGAATAGAAAAGAATTGTGAATTGAAAAAATCATACAGAATGTGAAGGACTAATGATGGAAATTCGCAAATGAAGTATTCAATGTATGGTTCTCATATTTTATCGAGATATTTTGTAATTTTGAATGGAATAATAAATTGGTTGTCCCCAGCTGTGTTCTCGTTCATTACATAATACTACAGTAGAGAAAGAACTATACTAAAGTTGAAGACATATAAATATATATAATTATGAAAAATTTGTAACATACCTCTCCAAGTTGACTGAGACTTCGTTTACTTTCTGTTGTCGGTAGAACAACTGGAGTAAGATTAACAGACACTGATAGTGGAGAATGAGTAGGAGTTGGTTTTCTTTTAGGCTCTTGGGGCTTAGGTGACATAGCGGTACGTTTACGAGTGAGCGTATGGGTAGTTGTTGGGGTTTCAGGCTCAATATTAACCACCGATGGTTCAGTGTGTACACGAGGAGTTTGAGGTCCAGTGATTCGTTTACGCTTTTTCTTTGTACCCTCTTCAGTGTCATTTGTAATGATCACAGGTTCTGTTGTCTGCTCATTTGCAGTCGAGGTTACAGGCATATCCGGTTGAGATTTTAGTTTATTATTTTGCTCTATCACTTCATCTTCTTTTGCTACAGCAGCGACAGCTTCCGCAGCTGCAGTATCATGTTCAGAGAGGACGACTGAGGAATCTTTTAAAAGAGTTTCTGGTCTTTCGCTCTCTTCATCTTCTTGAGCTAAAACAGCAGCTAGTAGAGCTTCTTCTTTACCAGCCAAAGCTGCTGCAGTGTCAATGACACCATACGCGCTAAATCGTTTATGCCTGTTAGAATCTCGTGTTGACATACGCATGGTAGGCGGGGGAGGAGCATGAGGTGGTGGGATAGTCACACTCTTCAACAACTTTTCGGTTTCTTTAGCCTCCGATTCAGCTACAGCAGCTCTAAAGTTTTTAAAAAATAGTTGAAATCATATACTAAGGTAAATCATTTCAAAAGATTTCAAATGATGATACACGTATAAAAGTATGTAAGAATAGCAATTCCATATTGGTTATTTAGTTGTAGTCGAAGAAATGGTAGTAGGTGAAAAACTATTGAATAGTTGGATTTTGGTAGTGAAAACATAAGGATTTAAATCGATCAATGAGAATAGCCTATTCATAGGGAATAGTTTACTGATGATTGAATTATAACGCTTGATTGCTCACTGAATATGATGAGTTTAATTGAGTTACTAATTGACTGATGATTCTAGCTGAAAAAATTTAACTACATTATTTGGCTTAAGTCGAACGTCATAGCGCGGTTTCTTTTCTAATTCAAAAACCTCTTTCTAAGAAGTTACATTATTAAAGGGAAATAGGCTAAAATTCCTATCCAAAATGTCTTCAAAAGTTTAGCTACTAGATAATTTAAATCTTTGTTCGAAAAAAACTGATGAACTAATCTCTTAGTTGTGAAAAGTAGTCTACTTCAGTAGTTTGGTGAGACTTAACAGCAATCTAGACAAAAAATCTAGTACTGATAGGATAAGAACATACTTTTTCGCCAAACTTTGAGTAATTGCAGGACGACCACGTTTGGTTACAGAGCTTGGAGTGGTTGGTTTCGCTTGAGTAGTTACATTTGCAACTATGTAAGCAGTACCTGAAGAACTTGTAGACGGTTTGATGATAAAATCGGACGCTTTCAATCGACGCTGTGTTATTGTAGGAATATCACCTGTGGATGTGACTGATCCACGATTGCTTTTAACTTCAGCAGAAATAGCGTTTGCAACACGACTGAGTAAACCTGGTCTTCGAGTCCCTGTTGATTGTTTAGTTGGTAATTTCGTTATGACAGGAGCAGCTTTAACGGGAGTAGGAACAGAAGGTGCTGGGGGGTAAGCATGAATAGATTCAGGAAGAGAGGTGTTCTCTGTATCACTTTCATCATACATATCTGGAAACAAATGAAAACATAAGATAAATCATAAATCTCACATAAGCACAGTATGAAACAATTGTTAAGTTGTAGCGAACGAAGAACCTGTCACTAAATTCTACACTATGACGTTACAATACTACAATCAAAGAGGAAAACAGAGTTAATCATGTCATGGGATAGGTGTACATTGATTCAAGTTGCCATAAGGTATTAACGTTACTCAATAAAAAATAACGAACTCAATTGTGGTGTAGTAGCCAACATAATAAGAAAGGCTAAACATTGAGAATATAAGCAAAGATCGATAGTGGCTAGCAGTGGAACTCCTCAGCTGGATGTACCTGAGAATACAGTTCGAAATAACATAGTTGAAAGGTATGTACAAAAAAATACTGAAAGATAAATCATCTTAAATGTGATGGAGAGCTAAATATGAGAAATCTATATACTAAAAAGGACAGAAAAGTTTCAGAGAAACATAATTCCTTTTATTATACTGAAGAGAGTAAAGTAATGTGCACCTATGTTACCACTAATCTAGTTTTAAGAGAAAAATGTTAAGCTAAAAGTTGAAAACTATCGCCAACCGGTATTTTTATTTACATTTTTGCCACACTCTAGATGTTGTGAGTGTTCATAATAAATTTGGATCAAATTCATTTATGTAAATTATTATCAACCGATATTGTTATTATGATTTTGGAGATATTATAGGTTGTAAACAGTTGCTGATAAGAAACGGAGTGATGTAAGAAGAAGGTTTCATATTGTTCTGTTTACATGTTTTCTCTTGCTCTTTAACTAAAATAACATTCATTACACACAGGAACATGAAAGATGAAAAATCTACACTACTACAATGAATTTGGCACAATTTCATCAAATTTGCAATTCAGCTGGAAATTCTGAATTTACTGATACAAGCTAAATCAACGCCCCCAAATACCCTGGTATGCCAAGAGTGGGAAGAGCCCCTCTCTCGAAATACTCTCACATGGTCACGCGTATATATCATCTATCAGGGAAGTCCTACTCACTGCCCTCTCGTGGCACGGATGTTGTTTACGAAATTGAGACGACGAAAGGCGAATGTCCGACACTTTACCAGCGTTGGTGGACATGGTGAGTTCACTCAGGGGAGTTAAAAAACCCTGATTCCAAACTCATAGTGCACATGGGCTCCAGTATCCTGAAGGAACGAATGGCGTATGAATAAATCGTCGGTCACCGGCTACCATGGGAATGCATCTCCTTACGATGCTCCACTGTCTTGTGAATCAGATCTTCAGGTAAAAGGCTCCAGGTGTGGTACCCTAAGAAAACCACCTGCTTCGGCCTGGGCACCCGGGCAGTATCATAGCGTTCACACAATTAAATGAAATGAAATTTTTTTGTGTGGCACATATATATCTGGTGTTTTTTTGTACCAATACTTATGTGTTCAAATAATAATAATTAAGTTAGATCAACAATAATTAGTTTTATGGACGAATATGTTTTTATTTGTCTACTCTAAGGTAAATTCGCTATTTCTAGATTCTAATCGCTTTGCAACTGTTATATCCCTACAAGAATAATAAACGGTAACTATTGAGATATATTTATGGACTAATACGATATCATATCGCGGAGGCTGGGATTTGTGTTCCGGACTAAACAAACAGGGAGTCTAAGCCGTTCTTTCGGGTGTAAGTTTCATTTGTTGATCGAGTATCTAAATTTCGCAATCGTGTAAGTTAAGGACACAACATCGACAGATCTTAAAATCACAAGTACGAAATGAAATCAATACGGTTTTAATGGTTGATAACAATAGGTAACTCAATTCATCGTACTGAAGATTTGGTTTTCCTCACACAATCCGTTAGCCTTATTAACTTATAACGTTGATATAATTTAAAACCATACTTAAGTGAGCATTCTACTGAAGGATGGGATTTGAGTGACAAAAAAATAACAACGCTTACCTTCGTGATTTTTCAAGGCTCCATCGATTTGTGAATTGGCTTGAAGAGTAGTCAGATTAGTAGAACTAGCGGTTGTCCCTAATCCACCAACAGGTATTAATTCGCCGTCAGGCTGTCTAGCAGCAGTTCTCATTACTTCGTACACAACTGTTTTCCCATGACGTAAAGCTTGACCTACGACATTAATAAGCCGATTCGGAGGTTCATCCGGTAATAAAGTTAAGTTTGCTGCAGCAGCTAAAGCCTCACGCTCAGCAACAGATGCTTGAAACGCTTCTGTTGAAATTACTTTCTTTGGTTTTTTACGCATCGTTTGCAAATGTGACTTTTCTAAAGGCTCATTCATTTGATTTTCAGAATTTTTTTCAATATGATTATTTTCTTTACAGTAAGAGTCATCTTCTTCTTCTGTATCTAATTCACTATCACTGGCAGCACCTTCGTCATCACTAATATAAGTATGCGTGAACTTATCCAATGTTTCATCTTCACATTCATCATCCAACATTTTCGGAGCCAGAAAATCTTCAGCAATTCTCCGAGCCTTTAAATTAAAAAAGAAAAATAAGCTGATAACGATTGCGTGAATAACAACCTGATAAGAATAAATTAGTTGACAAATACAACTCTATGTTAGTACTTACCAAAATATTCTTACAATGGGTGAATGGTTTAGGTATTTCCAAACTTCGATTGACAGCATGCAAAACAAGAGTTTCAATGACACAAATTGTATCTCGTTTAGGTAAGCCTTTTTTGTAAAATCCAGCAATATCATCCTCCCATTTTGAATAGATCTAAAACAATAGACGGGAAACAACTACAAAAATTATCAAGTTTCACTAAACACTCTTGATTATATTATGATTACTATTTATTATTTAAACACATTGGTACAACGAGGTACCAAATAGATATGCGCCACATATGTCATTCGACTTTTGTGAGGGCTGGAATACTGTCTGGTCTCCTAAACCGAAGCAGGTGGTTTTCTTAGGAGGCCACTCCCCGAGCCTGTGACCTAAAGGTCTAATCCACAAGGCAATGGAGCAACGTAGGGAGATGCAGTTCCACGGTAGCCGGTGATCAACGATTGGTTCATACGTCATTTGTTTCCTCAGGATCCTGGGACCCATGTGTACCATTGGTTAGGAATCATGGTTTTCCAACTCCCCTATGCGGACTTTCCGAGTCCACCGACTCGGTTAAAGCGCCGAAAATCCGCTTTTTGTTCTCTCAATTTCGTAAACAACGCCCTCGCCGTGAGAAGGCATTATTGATTACGCAATGAACAACAATAAGTACTTAAACACACAACTGATCTCAAGTATTTTAGGTAATTTAGATCAAGCACCAACTAAGATTCACTTTATTGATGTATAGTAGAAATTGTCACTGATACCAAACCTTTAATGAACCAAATATTGCCAGTTTTCATTTGGTTAATAATAACATACACGTCTTTTATCACTGTAATTTAAACTTTGCGCAAAACAATTGAAGTTATTACTTAATTTTGATTGGTCGAATGAAGGTCGTCGGGATATTGTACTCTAATCATATCGTTTATGCACATTGACGAACAGACCTGAAGCAAAGTAGAATAGTTCATTAATTCTATCTGGTTTTCACTGGCTCTTCGGCTAACCGGATTTCATAATGCATAATATTTGCAAACAATAAATGCTTATAACTTGCACCAAATTATAAATCCAAACAAAAATTTCTAATGGGCAGTATGTTTAGGGTGATTGAATCTCGGCGGGACTATAATTTGTGGACGAACCAATCAAATTTAAGATAAAATATCTTGGATGGTGGCGCGAAATTTACTCACCCACTTGACTAAATAGCGTTTTGGTATTTTAGTTTATGTCAGTTTGTGACGAAAATCCTAAATCTAATTCCTAACTCTAACCATCAACCGAAAATCCCAATCTTAATTCTTCACATTAGTTTATGACACTCATTTAGCCCTAATTAGCGAATGGACGTTCTCAAAGTCACTTTAACGTCGCTTAAAGGTCGTCCATAAACTGCAGTCTCATCGACTTGAGAATTCCAGTCCTATTAAATCTTTAAACTAACAAGTCCCTTTTATAAATTTCGATAGGACAATGAGACCTATGAAATCAGTTATTGCATAGCAAACAGATAAGCTACATTTCGACATGAGTAAACAGAATAAATATAAATCAAAAAAAGTAGTAACAACAGTACACACCAAAGCTGATAAATCATTTTTTGCCGTTTGAGCTGTATTAATAGTATCTTCATTTGGTTCATCGACAAAATCTTTACCATTAATTGTTTTTAGATATGGACATAGATAGGCCAGTGATTGTGGAGAAAGTAGCTAAAGTAAGGAGGGAGAGAAAAAAAATGCCGAAATTTAATGTACTAATAATTAAGCACTGATAAAGGGAGAAGTCTATAGGTACTTGGTACATGAATACGATTGTAAAACGAAAATCAATTTTAATAAGTATATCAATAATATTTCTGTGGATTTAAGAATCTTCAACGTTGAAATCATGAGTCAATTGAAACTAGACCACCATCGAAAACCTGGAAGCACTGGACGGCCGTTTCGTTCTATTATGGGACTCCTCAGCAGTGCGCATCTACGATCCCGCACTCGCGAGATTACAACCCAGGACCTAACAGTTTCGCGACAGAGCATTTGACTGATAGACCACTGAGCCGAGTTAAGTATTAACCAATGAGGAGAACATAAGACAATTAACATTAAAATTATTTAAAATAATCTACAAATTAGAGAAAAGCAAACCATACGAACTATGTTAGTTGTGTATCATCACCATTTATTTCTACCGCTTTTCCCTTGGCTACCATCCATTACTGCTCATGATTATTGAGTAGACTTTTTTTCAATCTGTTTACGTTGACTTTACCTCTTATCGTGTTCGAAGCCTGGTGGTATGAATTTCCAAGGATTTATCAGTTCAGTAAACGCTGCTAAAATTAATTGATTACGCTTATTCTTCTAGGCATAGTTACTCGTACATATCACTACAGTTTTTATGGTTGTATGTAATGTGTTAGCTCCATGTTTGAAAAAACCTTACGACTGGAGACGAAAATGAGCGGGATAAATTAAGGTGTGAAATTATTAGGATCGATCTTTTACAAATCCTTCCTCATGTTATGAAATGACGAAATCAGTAATGTTGGTTTTCAGGGAAAGTTACTGATGTCACATAGAACAGCCAGTAATGCAACTTCGCCCTCGGACCATGATTTTATTGCTTTTAGTCTTACTGTTCCGCAAGCACCTGTCTGATATAATGGAAACTAAAAGAACAGTTGTTTCGGACAATATAGCTCGAACGGGTCAATAAGACAAGTAAACCCGGTCACCAAGTCAATGTAGCAGCTACGATTGATAGCCCTAAAATATACGAGCAATGCTCCGAAAATACTAGTAACCTACGAATATCCTCCACTCTTAATAGCCATGTTAAATGAGTGCACGAAAACGATGAGTAAGTAATATGATATAAACTACATTTTCTAGTCAAAGAAAATTTCAGATAGTAAGAGGTAGTTTCAGCCGATTAAAAACCAGAGTGATTACTGTGAAATCCATCTGATGTTTGGTTGTGAGCGCAAAATAAGAAGCTCAGAGATATATTACATTGTCACAAATTTTTTGACGAATGATGACGAGCATTGTAACTATGATTACCTACAACCTATCGAGTTAAGTATAAACCATTAGAAATATGAAATTGACAAAAAAAGCTATTGAATAAATTAAATTAAGTCATTTTATAAGAAACCAGTAAACACAAACTAAAAAAGAGGTTATACCTACAAGAGCGAGTTCAGGATCCAGATCCAATGTAACCAACCTCGGGAATTGTTCAACAAGTGGAGGTTCTATAGGAGCACCACGTTGAGTGGGTCGCAGTAAATTAGGATTTCCACTTAGATTTAATCGACGTAACTTCGGTAAATGCAAACATCGCGGGAAAGCATACAATGCATTTCCAGAGAGATTAAGTTCAACTAGGTTAACACACTGGTTAAGATGGGCAGGAACTATGCCTGTGAAACCACAATCGCTTAAACTATGGAGAAATAAGCAATAAAAAGGTAAAATGACTTAGAATACTGAGAAAACTCAAAAAATAACCACCATATAATAAAAATATACTGTTATTTTGGTTTCTACACGAGTCTAATGGAAAGATACATATAAGTCGAAGGTTTAATTACATGTAAATAATATTGACAACCAATGAAGTTTAAGACATATTACCTTAGATGGACCATTGGGCGATCAGTGACCGATGATTTATCAGTCAGTTAGTCAGTCAGCGACAACATACGACCAGGCACATTTATGCATCGGTCCAAGTTGCCATACCTCGTTAGCACAACAAGATGAACACCGGATTCATAGAAATAGTTAATTTAGTGATGGTAGTATATAAAGAAAGGTTGTATATAAGGATATAGTATAGGAGGGAAAAAAGTTATGAAGCAATTTTAATCTCAAGGTTTAAGGGAAGATAAAGAGTGTATACACCTACGCCATTGTGATTGATTCTGAGCCATGTCATCTAGCGTCTCCAACCATTGGTTACGATAGTCACGCGGACCTCAACCAAGTAGTCTGCATCTGCCAACATGGCTCAGACTAGAAGTTAGTGACTTCAAGCACTGATGCAACGTTTTGGTTTGGCCGCCCAACCATCCCCTACACTGGTCAGCATAGTGCGTCGTGGTAATAGGTGTTCAGGCATAAGTAACACTTGGCCCAACCATCTCAATGGATGAAGGTTCATGACCTCATCAACTGATTTACCATCATTCCCTAATAACTTGCATCTAACCTCACTATTACTTACCCGGTTATCCCAGCAGATGCGAGCAATATTTCTAAGACATCTGTGGTCAAATACTAGTAACTTACGAGTATCTTCTACTCTTAATGGTCATGTTTCACAGCCGTAAAGTAGAACAGAGCGAACTGCTGCGCAGTATACTCGTCCTTTAATTGATAGATGGATATCTCGTCTTCGCCATAGGTGATGTAGGTTGCAAAAGCCAAACGAGCTTTTTGAATCCGTGCTGAGATTTCGTCAGACACCAACGCATTAGGGCTGATCAGACTTCCAAGATAAGTGAAGTTGTCCACGCGTTCGACTACTTCACTCCCTATTCTTAGTTCAGGTGTTGACGCAGGCCAGTCCTGGAGTAACAATTTACATTTGGATGGAGAGAAACGCATCCCAACACATCTTGGCATTATTACTCAGTTCTAACAGAAAACTCTGCGTATTGTCAGCGTGTTCACCAAACAGGACTATGTCATCTGCGTATTCTAAATCGATAAGTGGACCTCCTAGTGGGAGATCAATTCCTGAAAATTCAGTCGACGAGAGTGTTATTTCCAGCAACAGGTCTATAATGAAGTTAAACAAAAATGGGGATAGTGGACAGTCTTGTCGGACACCACTTGAGGTTGTGAAACCAGATGACAGTTCGCCATAAGCTCTTACTCGACTGGTAGTGTTCGAGTAAAGAGCCTTCACAAGGTTTATGTACTTCTGAGGTACACCTTTTAATGACAGACACTGCCACAGAACCTCTCGGTCTACAGAGTCAAATGCTGCTTTTAAGTCAAGAAAAACTTAGCTTTTATGAATTGAACTAGTCATTTTTATATGGAAAGCTGGCCTATTCGGTAGGTATCCAGGTTTGAACTACACTCTAAGTATGAGGCCTGATGATACTACCATGTTGTTTAAACGAAGTAGACTTTGAAACTTGGACCTAGTAGCTGGGAGTTGAAAGCCCGAACGACCAAGTCACTGTTCTATAAAACTGCAAGAGACCACCATGAGAAAACGCTCATGTAGAATCTTGATTATGTTGAAGACAATAGATCTGGACATGAGTGTATAATAATAAAAAACTTCATACTAGATCAAAGCAGCTATCAGGTGAGCTTATTGGTTTTCAAAGGTTGTCTAACTAAAATCTATCCCTGATATAAAACTGCATTTAAATTAGTCTAGTAATTAGAATTTTAAGAAGGGAACAAAATAGCTGTTTAGTATCTTTGCTTTTCAATACTTAGTTTATAAGTGTTAAGATAATTCTCTAAGAAATTTATTTTAAAATAACAAAGAGAACTACTTTTGATCACTAAACAACAGACATAGTACTTAGTATTGTTTGTTTGGATCTTGATGTTTTTAGGACTGCAAATGGTCAGTCTCTAATTGGCATATGTGCATACTGTGCGTATTGCCTCGATATAGCCTAAATTCACAAGCATGGTAAGCAAAGATGGATAGTGGCTAGCAGTGGGATCCAGGACTCGCGTTTCGTCCTATTTGGGACTCGTCAGTTGGATGTACCTGCGTCCTGGATTCAAATGCTAGCAACTATCCGTCTTTGCTTAGCAGATATAGTAGTTTAATCGACACATTAGTAGACTAAAATTATACGAAAATCAGAAAAAGAACATACACCCACGTACTTTAGAATTCTAACCTTCTTCAGTGAATCAGTTCCAGTAGAAATAAATATAGTAATATCATCAACAACGTTATTGCACTCTTGACAAGTTAGAATAAGAGATTCACATTTAGCTATATGGAAAAATTAAAACAAATTAGTACAAAACCCATAAATTTTGGTGGATTTATAAAATCTAAGGGCGCGAATATAAATGAGTATTTTAAAGTGATCGACCTATTGTGGATCAAGTTTTATAACATAATTGAAAGAGTAAAATATGATGGATTACGATCAATATATCTTCGGTAGTAGTAGGTATATTCTTCATCTTCGTTTATATAATGCATATCAAATACGTGATTGGTAATTTCATTATTCTCTTTTCGTAGTAGAAACTACAAACTAGTCATAGCTAAACCATTACTGAAAACCCAGGGGCAGTGAATCGAGATAGGAAATGTATGCATTTGAACTCCAAGTCACAAGTATAGGATTTAAGCATTCAAGAGCGAGATCGTAGGCACCATCTTTGGATCCCGATAAGCGTGAAGTACTGATTAGGACTTCCATACTACAAAAACTGTCCAGTGCTATAAATTTTCCAGAGGAGGGTTAGCTGATATGATTTCCCGATATAAACTATGGAAATTCTACAATCACTATAACCCCTTTTCATACTTTCTCTTTTCTGTTGTGTTGAGTAGATGTCTTAAAAATATTGCTCACATCTGCTGGGATAACCGGGTAAGTAGTAGTGAGGTTAGATGCAAGTTATTAGGGAATGATGGTAAATCAGTTGATGAGGTCATGAACCTTCATCCATTGAGATGGTTGGGCCAAGTGTTACTTATGCCTGAACACCTATTACCACGACGCACTATGCTGACCAGTGTAGGGGATGGTTGGGCGGCCAAACCAAAACGTTGCATCAGTGCTTGAAGTCACTAACTTCTAGTCTGAGCCATGTTGGCAGATGCAGACTACTTGGTTGAGGTCCGCGTGACTATCGTAACCAATGGTTGGAGACGCTAGATGACATGGCTCAGAATCAATCACAATGGCGTAGGTGTATACACTCTTTATCTTCCCTTAAACCTTGAGATTAAAATTGCTTCATAACTTTTTTCCCTCCTATACTATATCCTTATATACAACCTTTCTTTATATACTACCATCACTAAATTAACTATTTCTATGAATCCGGTGTTCATCTTGTTGTGCTAACGAGGTATGGCAACTTGGACCGATGCATAAATGTGCCTGGTGCTACGTTGTAGCTGACTGACTGAATGACTGAGTAGATTTTAAGTAGTTTCAATTAACGAACTTAATATTTTTGTATTATCTGAGATAACGGATTCGAATTTGGAAAATACCTAAATGTAACACTAGATTGCTTACAGTCACATTGAAAACAAGTAGTAAACAATGTAAGTAAACTAGCAAGTAGTAACTTATTTTTCACGACATAATAACGTACATGAAAGAGCATCTGTATCACTGTCTTCGAGGCTTACATCACAACCAGAATCTGGAGAATCACTACCATCAAGAGGATTGGATAAAAGTTGTTCTGCTGCTGAAAGATCGAGTTCAAGAAGTTGGTCTGAGCAATAGAATCGGTAGCCACCACCACCGACTGGTCTAAAACCAAGAAGAAACTGAAAATTATAATGCCATAAAAAGGCAAGACAATTGCATCATGGGTCCAAAACTAATCGGAAACTCTTACTTACATTTTATCTGATGTTGGAGTATGTGTAAATAAACATCCAGAATTTCTCACCACTTTCTTTGCTAATTCAGCAAGTTCTCGTCTATGAGTAAGGAGGCTTGGTAAACCCGAAGCCAAGTAAGAAGCAGCTTCATTACAAGCAACCTCATACGGAGTTAGTACAGGTACAGGTGTAGACCGTGGTAGTCCTGCTACATTTGGCGGTTGAATGCCTCCAGGTAGACGCCCATACAGTGCCGCTGCTTCACGAACACTATCCAGCCGGAGTTCATTGGACACAAGGGATTGAATTTGACTAATATGGTCAATGGACGAATTACCGGAGTGATAATCTGAGAGTCCCAAATTCTGTGCTGACAACTGTCGAGCTTGATCCCAACAAGCACGTTCGATATTTGTGCAATCAGCTTTCGGTTTGACTTGGAGTTGTGGCATATCTGATAAAACATCAACTGCAGCAACGCGAATGGCTTCCTCTTCGTTAGGCAAAAGCTAAAATACAAAAACTTATTTTTATCTTCTGAAGCACGCTATTTCTTCAAAAACAGGCATGATGGCATGAATTCTATGAATAAAAATCTTGTACAATAATACGGACTTATTGTATTGCTCGTTTATCAGTAGAGATCAGATTGTGAACCGAGGCTCAAAATCAAATACATGGAATGAGTTGCATTAACTAGAAAAAAAACAAGTATAATTCAGTTGGGGAGTGTAGAAATGATCCAGATTAAGGTTCCAACAATTCAGCTCAATCCTTTCCTCAATAAAACGTTCTTCACTGATATCTAAGTCATGTGTCTCCAAGATATGTTTGATTTTCTCAAAACTGAGACCTTACAGAATACTTTGAGACCATCACTCAAATTTAACAACCGTTAAAAAACTTTATTAATTTGGAATAAGCAATAATTACTATCGGTATTTACGTAACAACTTCAGTGGAGATCGCTGTTTTCGGTAACGAGTAAAAATTGGATAAGAATGAACTACGTTGTGTAGTTCAGTCTTATATCTTTCCGACTAAAAATTGGTCAATAAAGCAAATTTGAACAAGCCAACATAAAGCATAGTTCTAAAGAAAATTTGTTTTTAAATTACAATATCGCATCTGCTACGTCAATGTTTGGAACTTTTCAAAAACGAAGAAAAAGTCACCTACACGAGAATATCAAAATTAAATAAAAACGGGGAAGGTAAATAATGCTAAAGAATGTCACTTGACGCAGCCCATTTGGGTGACAGTTCGCTAAAAGCTTCAGTTCGACTAATAGTGTTTGATTACATGTTGATTGTTTAATACTCCAAAGTACACCTTGTCAGTCACAGAGTGAACGACCTTTCACTACAGCTTGCACAAATGAATATCAAAGTAAATGTTTTGTGAGGGGTAAATCATAGCGAGAATGAATATTTGATGAATAATTCATTACTAGGAATGAGTTTTATGATTGACTGATAAAAGATGGACAAACTGTGAAAAAACAAGAACCATTTACTATGGCATTGTACGTAGATAATGTTAATTATGACAAGCCAGAATATATTCATAAAACAAATGCGAATAGACAATAAATTAAGTAATACACTCACATTCAAGCACTTACTTTGTATGCCGAATCACGTTTGGGAATAGGAAGGTTAGATAAGTATTGAACACTAGGATGACATACAAAAGATGAATTTAAACAGTGATAAAATAACGTATACAGAAAGAGTATTTGACTATGAAACAATAACATGACTTTGCAGTATATAAAATAAAAGGTTATTATAAGAAACTGCACCCAAATTCCTTGGTACAGCCGAGAGTGGGGAGAGTCCGCTCTCCCTCTCCTAATGCTCTCACATGGCCACGCGTATATAGCATCTGCCAGGGAAGTCCTAATCACTACCTTCTTACACAACGGGTGTTGTTTGCAAAATGGAGAGGACGAAAAGCGAATGTCCGGCGCTTTAACCGGGTTGGTGGAAACAGAATGACCACCTGGGAGAGTTGGAAAACCCTGATTCCAAACTAATGGTGCACACGGGTTCCAGTATCCTGAAGGAACAAATGACGTATGCATCAATAGTTGGTCATCGGCTACCGTGAGACTGCATTTCCTGACGTTATTCCACTGCCGTGTGTGTTAGACCTTTAGGTCAAAGGCTCCAGGTGTGGCCCCTTAAAAGAACCACCTGCTCCAGTCTGGGAACCCGAGCAGTATCCCAGCCCTCACAAAAGTCGACTGATTTATGTGGCGCATATCTATTTGGTGCCTCCTTGTAGTAATGTTTATATGTTTAAATAAAATAATAAATAAGTCGGTTTCCGAAAAAGAAACATATGAAATGAAATTCGAGGATGCAGCTGATAGATTGGAAACCCAGTATTTTAACCAGAAATTCATCGCTACAATAGCTATAAACACCAGTACACAATGTTAAAACTACTAAAAACCTAGATTTCTATAATGGAAGACAATGACAATTTTAGCGCTCACTTACGTGTTATCATTAGTCATTACCCGCGGTTTATTCGACTGAAGCGCATTTACTCCTGAGCCTTGAAGATTTGAAGTTAGAAGTGGGTTATCTGAATTAGAATTCTCATGAATAGAAGTTACAGAACTAGCTGTTGATACTGCTGTATTTGATTGTGGAATAGCAGAAAGACCACGAGATTCTAACATAGCTAACTGAGAACTAGCTACACGACCTCCAACTGCTACAGTTTGAGGTGTAGTACGTGGGGGTTGAGGTATAGGGAGAGAGACTTTTGGTTTCGACATATTTGTTTGATTTGCTTGACGTTGAGTATTCATATTTTGTTTTGCTTGAGCTTGTTGTTGTTGTGCTTGTTGTGCCTGCTGTTGTAATTGTTGATTTTGCTGTCTTCTCTCTGTATTTAAAAGGGTCTGTGAACGTTCAACTGTTTCTTTAGCAAGATGATACAGATCTCGTTTATGGAAAAGTAAACCAGGTTGAAATCGACAAATCTGAGCAGCAGCTTCATTTAAGGCTAGCTAGTATTTTGAAAAAAAATATATGAATATTAATGAGTGAATAAATCATCCGAGGATAATATGATCCTATTACAGTACCTTTTCTTAAGGAATGGCATAGGTTAATCTATACAACTAGTTATGCGAGGTGTGTATACTAATGTAAGGTTACAGGAGGTAAACCTAAATATGAATTATCAAGATTATACTATTTAGGCTTGAACTTTAAAAGAAATCTAGTATAAGCAAGTAGTACTCTAATCACCAATATAACTCAGAACACAGAACAAACCAATTAATTAAAATCAGAAAGAGGTTTTGTGAAGATTGTAGTAATTTAACAGTTGAATTCATGAGTCGATTAAAACTAGACCACCTTGGAAAACCTGAGAGGACTGGACAGCACTAGGACGAAATGGTCGTTCAGTGCTTTCAGGTTTTTCAATTAATAGTCGTAACAAATAAATCTCAATAAGTCATACTACATTCTTTATCCATTAGATAGCTGGATATTATCGATAACCAAATGAATATACAGGACTATAATACAATATCATGATATATTCTACACATAGTACTAAACTGTTAATTTTATTCTTACTTTACAAAACTAACCTCATACTTTGTAAGTGCTCGAGAATGTGGTCCAGAAGGACGATAAATTTTAGCATAATTTCTTAAAGCTTCATAAAGTTCCAGGGTTTCACCCTGACTAGCACCAACCCTGTATGTATTAACCATTTCAAGCATCTCTACGTAAGCTGTATACGGACCAAGCTTCCGATGGTAAGGTTCAGGACGATACGGATTATCTGAAAAGCGTGGAACACGCGTAGAAACAACGACTTCCGCTTGTCTTCTTAATATAGCATAAAACTCAGATGGCAGACCGGGTGGACACCATTTAGCTACAGTTGATCCTGCTTCTGTATCACCCGGTGATTCCTGTGCAACACTGAAGTTAGGTTGAGTATTTTCTGTCATTTCAGCTTCAGTTGTAACGACTAAAGTAGTCTACAAGACAAAGATCAAGGCATTAGTTAAAATATTAAGTAAAAGGCAAAAGTAAAAGTTGGTTCAATACTATATACATATAAATATATATGACATAAGCAGAAAACACAATGGTTTTTAACGTGGGTAAAACACACTAAAAATAACTGACACTAAAAATAAAAGAGTATGATGCTTTCGACTCAAGTGCTAAAAATGTTCTAATCTAGAATACGACTACGCATTTCAATAATAAATTAAGGTAAAACTATACTATAGAGACGGGCTTGAGAAATTAATTAAAATTAAGCTGGCCTATGTTTAATATTAACGCGAATTGAAAATGCTTTCGAAGATCGCTCGTTGCTGAAAATCATGATTTCAACCATAACCCGTATTTTGAAAGCACTGGATGATTTTCTTGTGGAATAAGCTGTTAGAGTTAGGAATGTTAAGACTAGGAGTATCACGTTCAGGAGTTCGGGGGTCATGTTTCAGGATTGGGGTTAAGGAGTTAGAATTTAGCCAGATTACAGTGTTTTGATTCCCAACCTAACTTATCAGTAGTCCGAATACATTCACTAATTGTGTTAAAACTCTTGATCCTGTAACTGTGACTTTCCTGCAATTTGGAGCTCATTTACAATAGCTAGGGTCTAATTGGTTGGCAAATGGTACAGCACGAAGTTGAGGCAGAATACTTACTTATCATGAGTATGGAGAAAGCAATTGATATTACCCTTGGTATAAATTTTATCTTAGAAACTGTAGAGTCAATTCACCAGCCAAAAGTTGTAAAATGTCAGTAGAAACATGCAGTTAGACACAACACAGACTTACCAATATCGGATCACCAGTTTCCGTTGGTCCAAGAAATACATACTCTAAAGAGCTGCCGTTCATTTCAATAATGACATGATCACCAGTGTGACCTTGCTTCTGGTCAAGTACATTTCCGTTTTCATCAGAAAGTATAACAACTTGAAGTGCCTCACCGTCCACTAACGTAGTAGCTTCAGTAAGAGTGAACTGTTGACCAGGTGGATTTGCATCAGTTATTTCATCAAATCCAGAAGTAACGTGGCTTCTATCAGTGCCATTAGGAACACCCTTATCAAAAATTAAACAGATAACCAAAATAAGTATGTACTTTAGAATTTGAAGTATTTTGTAAAATAAATCAGTTAGATTCATCTTAATAAGTAATAATTTGGTAAGGTGTTTTGAATAAACTTATTAAAATATGAGCCAAACAAAATCAGAATTTTGACATGTTCTCTGAATTGTAAGTTCTCAACAACCAAACAGTAATCTAAAGCATCCATAGAGAACAGTGAAAAGGGTAAATGGATTACTTTTACTACTTGTTTCTATAGGCTGATTACATACAAACTGATATGGTCGGCTTGCTTTACCAGAATATCAATTAATTAAAGAATAAAAATGCTCAATCAAATATGTCTCGAGCCAAAATCGTCACACTTTCCAATAGCGTAGTATAAGTAAGTTAGTACGATGAGAAGCGAATGATTCAAAATAATATGACTAGTAGTGAAAACTAAACACGAGAAACATAAATTCATTTAGTAATGTTTGTTTGAATCTTCCCATCGATGTGTTAGGACTGTAACTGGTCAGTCTCTAATTGGCATATGTGTATACTGAGCGTTTTGCTTCGATATAGCCTTAATTCACAAGCATGGTAAGCAAAGATGGGAAGATTCAAACAAACAATACTAAATGAATTTAAACTTCACTCCATCGCACAAGCAAGTGGCTATCAGGACTCAATGGCCGAGTGGATAACCCGATGGCGTTTGAAGCGAAAGGTAGTGGGTTCGAGTCCCAGAGTGAACATCAACTCTGAGATGTAGGTACATCCAGCTGACGAATCCCGAATAGGACAAAACGCGCGTCCTGGATTCCACTGTTAGCCACTGTCCATCTTTGCTTACGAGAAACATAGTTTAGAAGAAACGGATGAAATCTGTAAAGATATTCAAATCTAATATTTGTACGAACTCCTGAGGTTTTTATTCTATGGAAAATGAAGTTAAACCATTGTATCTATGACTATTGAAATGATATTCTGACAGTTAATGTTAGCGCAAACCATCTACCAAGTAAGGGCTCATGTATTTAACTTGACGCTACATTTTTGCGGGACCTAATGATAAAAACTGGATGCCCTGAATGAAGAAGAGAGGGGTTCAAGATTGCAAGCCATTGGCTAAAGACCAAATACTCTATTTCGTCTGACACATTAACTACAACCACACAATCCATTCAAAACAATAAACCAAAAATTTATCCGCAATTCTTCAGTAATGTACTAAATGTGGACCGCTAAGATGTATCAGATATCAAGGCTTATTTTCAAAATTCCTAATCAGGCTCAGTTGTAGCTTGATCCGAGTAGAGGACTACATTGAAGACGTCAAATTGGAACAACAAAAATGGCTGTTGCAAAGTAATATCTTAGAAATATTTAGTGAACGAGAACCAAACAGACAGAGAGATTATAATTTATGGAGGGTATTCAATGTATGTTCAATTCGACGTCGGTAAGAACAGTCAGTTAATGGCTCTCACATAATAGATAAAGCTAAATGGTGATTACAAAAGTGCTTAAATAGCTACATACATCAAAAACAATTCACAGGTATAACGAATGAATAGCTTCTGTGGTACGTGCACGAGTCAAGTTAACCGACAGATAAAAACTGGATAATGTAAATTAGAGTTCATAGGCTTACTTCAGACCAGGTTGCTTGATCATTGATATTCTGCTGTGTACCGCCTTCGGCAGTGTTTGAAACATCTTGGATATCTTGATCATTTGTGGAAATTAACAGAGTAGACTGAAAAAGATGGTCAAACAGTGTCAAAGATAAATATAATATAGAAGTCAAGTAAAGTTAATCCAGAAAGATAAATACTAATCCTTAGAATAATATGTAACCAATATAATTCACACCTAAACATTATGTGGAAAGACTAGAGAAACTACATAACCGTGAAACAAGAACCATACATGAAAGGTGTATGACTTGGCACAAATCTATTTTTTTCAAATTCAGCGATTTGCACTGAAAAACTAAGTTCGACACATAAACCAAAGGAATGTAAACAATTACAATAAGATTGATATATATTTTAGGAAGAAAACAACTTGATATGTGTAACGAATAGTTGAGTCAGAAAAGTCAAACAAAACAAACTTATGTGGCTTACAATATGTTTTGCTTGGATCCGCATTGACCTTTTGATGACTTTATTTCACTGAGTATAACTGTAATTTATTTATTTTACTTTTGACATAATACATCTACACAAATTAAAACGCGTTTAGAACCAAGTATTTAGTCGACACCAAATATATGGGGCAATGTCAAATCTTGTGCATATCTGATATATCGACGACCAATCTATTATAACCTAGATCAATTCTAAGATAAATGTATTATGCACACAAAATTACTCTAAGCTCAATTCAGACTTTAATCGTCAGCATTCTTATCTAACATTTATCTAACTATGCTAGATATATCAGAGATTTTCTACATGAGATCAGTCACGGAAAACCAGGGAGCTAATTAAGTTTACCTACTTCAGTGTCCGACTAGATAGAAATTTCAGGTATACCATGACAGAATAACCCATTCATTGTTCCCTTCCCTAATGATGAAGTACTATATTCCCTCACATGAAACGTGAAGTCCAAGAGTAACAATATATTTGTAGAACAATCCAGTCGCATACTACCATAAAGATTTTTGGTTAACAGGACTACTATGTGATGAATTCACAATACATGCTGATGAACTTTGAACAGTAAGATATGAGATTAGCTCACATACAGCAAACGGCGTTTTATCCTCACTAAGTGATTAAAGCATGTTCTCTTTGTCAAAAATGCCTGAAGTCATACATGCTGTATACCAAAACGTGTAGGCCTTGCATTTAGGCTCCATTCAAATTAAGTTATTCGCTCAAGGCTATCCTACGATCACTGATATGTTAGACACTTTATTAGTTTTCAGTAGAAAAGAAACATAAAACCAACTTTCGTTATAAATGACAACCTAAACGACAATCAACGAAGTGACTGAAACACTGCTATAAGGTGGTATCGCAAATACCATTCTATCTTACTAAACTGTAGTTACAAAGCCAGAATATTTCGGTTACCTAATGCTAACAATAATCTACTTAGAAACCACTTATTGACCGCTGTGGCCTTTATTTAATTAAAGGACACTACACAAGATCAGCTAATTAGATTTACTATCTGTAAGTCGAGCTTGGTTCTGTTATGCATAAAATACATTTTCGAGCTCTTTAATTTATGACGACAATCTAATGAATCAACTTGAAGTGATGGTTTGGTAATCAACGTTACTAACAACTCCTGAATCTAAATGGTAGTTCAAACCTGGTTTTATTTATTAACACATATTAACATTGATACAACGCACCAAACGAATGCGCGCAATACTTTATTCCATTTATGTGAGGGTTGGGATACTGCCGAGTAACACAAACCGAGGAAGGGTTTTAAATTAAATACTAACAACTATTTCTGAAGAACGATATTATGTAAACTAGATGTTAAAAGACTAGAGACAAAGTTCAGCAAAGCTAAATCATGTAAAAAGGAGTGACTAAACAAGTAATCACAGGGTTAATGCCAATCGAATGATCGGATAAAGGACGGTAAGGCATGGGGTTGACAATCCCATACTGTGGAAAATAACGCTGTTAGAAAACGTCAATCAACAAAATCGTTTAAAGTATTTAAACTCTGTACTGTACTCATCAATACACATCAAATTCCTTCACTATGAGAAGGCATTCGACAGCATGGATAAAAGAGCCCTCCGTCCCACACACAGCAACAGGTGCAGACGACCAGTTAAGTAGCAGTCTCTACAACAGTAGGTCTCAACATTCACTAGGGAAGAAGCAAGGCCCTTAAACACATCACAACGAGCACCAACTAAACCATTCTTGATGGATAAGCTCTAGGTGTGTAAACGTTTTACGTACCTGGACAGCATCATTGATAAACAAGGATGATCTGATGTAGGTGTGAATAAATGTATTAGCAAAGGGGGAGCACTCCTGAAACTGAACATCATCTGGAAACCAAAAACAGCTGTCACATAACACCAAAGTCAAAATTCTCGACATCAACGTTAAAACACCAATCGTGCGGAGACAAACCTTGAATTCCACAACTAACATCAAAACATCCAGGCATTTATAGACAGCTGTTTATACAAGATACTCAAGATCCGTTGGTTAGATGCAATCGGCAATAGCCTACCCTAGTAGAGAGCAAACCAGCTTCCAACTGAAGAGGAAATTAGGGGGTTAGATAATACTCTGTGGAAACCAAACTGCATCACAAGGCAACCCCTAACTTGTGGTCTCCGAGGGGACAGACGCAGGCCAAATAGCACAACGCGCCCAGAATTCAGGTGACATCGGAAGGATGAAAAACACTTCGCAAGGACGAGGGAAGGGAGTCGGGGATAAGGTACGTTGGAGATCCCTGGTCATCAGTCTATGCTCTACGAGGAGTGACATACATCGATACGCAGAACTCACATCTACTGACTGCATCGAAAAAAGTATGCTTACTACACCAAAAAACAAGAATGGATATCGGAAAAAAGCGGATTACCGTTATAGGTTCACCAGTTGACGTTGGACCTTGAATTTCGTATGAAAATGCCTGTCCATGCATCTCTAAGATGACTTGTTCTCCAGTTTGTCCTTGTTTCTGATCCAAAACCTGACCTCTGGAATCCATGATCGTGACAACTTGGATCTGGCCATTATCCACTACTGCTGTTTGTTCGCTTAAAGTATACTGTTCCACATTTTCTACTAACGAATTAACGTCAGTTGTATCAATCTCGCTTGAGTTGATCAAAGAGTCACCCACATCACAGCAAAGGTCAGAAACAGTTGATTTGGCTGTCTGTGTGGCCTCACGATTGTCTTTATCAATGACTTCCTCGTTCCTCGGTTTATGACGTTCAGGATCATCCAGTTCCGCAGGAACAGAAGGGTTTGAATTTTCACTAGGCAGATCTGCTTTGGACTATCAATAAAAGCCTTAGACATCCTTTTTCTGAAAACAACTCACCTGTTCAACCACTTCCAAGTCACCATCAGCTATTGGAGTAAGAGTCAGGACCTGTTTGCCTTCTTCATCTACGGCATTTTGTAATGTTGCTTGACCAGACAAAATTTTCTTGGCATCCTCTGGTGTAACTAAAGCACATCCAGTAGCATCATCATTTTCATCCATAAATACAAGTTTGACAAGATCCTGTCCTGAATCATCGCGAATAACTTCAAAGCCATGAGCAACCAGTTCGTCAATCAGCTTGGACATGGCGAACCTCCCGCTTAGTATATGAACTTGAATCCAATGTCCAATATCTCCTTGATTAGCTAACGTAAGTAAATGAATTTATTTGTATCAGTTTCTTAAGAATAAAAAGTATCTTCAGTTTTTTAGCTGGCTAGTGGGTTTGGTTAAACATTTCGGGAGCAACATTTCTAATGAATTCGATAAGTCTCGGTTCAATATCCAACATTTTTGACAAATTAGAAGTGATAAGATCACATGAACTTATGTCACGGCTGCAGATGGCGGTTTTTTATGTTTCGATTATACTCAGTTAAGTTTGTACAGTTGTTTGACTTTTATAGTCTCTAGTATCGTTTTCCTTTCTTCCAGCTAACATCTTTTCCATGAATTGTTTATTACTCATGACTACAACCATTTGTAATACGACTCTACACTGTTCATAATGAACATACTCCCCATCCAATTAATTTTAGAATGTTTCGGGCGCTACAGTCAACCACTACCGAACTTTCTTGTTTTATAATTTAACGGTCCCTACGATTTTTCAACAGACATCTTTTGGTTCAAACAAACAATACTGAATGAATTTATCTTTTGGTTTGGCATATATACTCACTTGCATAACTTTCTTTATTATGTGTGCAGATAAAGTGTCGCCAGGAAATATATATCCTGAAAGAGTACCAAAGAGTATCACAACGTATTTGCTGAGAAGGCCGTGGTGTTGAAACCACTGATTTTCATTTATAGTACTAACATCCCGGTTTCCCGCTCCAGAATCTCCATATTGTGGTCTTATATGTGGTTTGTTTGTGTCTGTAATACATAGTTGGTAGCTGAGTTTCCGATTCGGTGAGAATATCGGACGAAAGTACGAGTGATACTTATCGTTATTATTGTTGTTTAGATAGTCGTTATATGGCTGGATAAAGTTTGTAATACTGTAGTTCATTCTGTATAAGAACACAAGTACTCCAACAGCGACAACATCGAATTCCCACTTTCGGAGTACCGTTTTTGATAGTTGTGGAGAGAGGGTCGTAAATCCAAAGTCAGACATTCCAGCAACTAACTGAAGTTCTGAACATTATATGCTGAACACTATATATTATCCTCTAGCCAATGGCATGGTAAAGAGGCTTCATCTCAGGTCATTAAGAAGGTTAACTGCAAGCAAGGACGATGATAAGTGCTTTGAAAAACCACTACTTGTGACTAAAAGAATAAGATTTATGGTGAGAATATGTCTAAGCTGATGTGCTTCAAATTCAGTGTATAGAACCTGCGATGGTATTGGTTGCTAATCACATAATCTTTGAAGCTGAGTGTATAATTATTCAGATTAACATTCAACATGTAACATTAGAAGGTCAAATTGGTGAGCACTGAAACAAATAAGGGAAAGAGCATAGCTCGGTCAAGCAAGCGTGACCGCTATATATAGCCTATCGTGATGAGCAAATCCAGCTATACTGGCTGGAACAATAGTTCCTCAAGGTACTACCATGCCAAGCTGATCGGATGACGAGAGGCAAGACTAAATGCAGAAAACCTAAGGTCCGGGGGTGAAGCAATACTGCCGACTGTACAAAAGTGTGGCGGCGGTATAGTGTTTCCTTCAGACGACCAGCATAACGGTGATGTTGCCTTCTCACAAAGAAATGTGGTGTTAAGATAGATCCACCATACATTCACTTTCAATTCTGAACTTCCTGTCTCGATTTCCTCCAAAAGTGTCACCATAGCCAACGATTCTAGTGTACAAAACACTGTCTCAAGCCTACAGAAACCTTGTTCCAAACTACATATTGGAGCCTTCAAAGTGCGCACCCAATTTCATATAAACCGGCAGGCCTCCGCGGCTAAAACCCTACAATCTCGGTAAGAAATCGAAAGGACAGGGATACACGTCGTTGCCTTTTCGTCGGTTCTACCTACGCTCCCACTGACTTAAACCCGTATGAATTGAAATATGACTTTTACAGAGAGCTCTCCGAACTTCTTCAAAAAGCTGTCATTGAAAGGTACACCTCAGAAGTACATACACCTTATAAAGGCTCTTTACGCAAGCATTATGGCGAGCTGTCATCTCATTTTGCAACCTCAAGTGGTGCCCGTCAAGACAGCCCATCATCTCTATTTTTATCTAATTTAATCAAAGACCTAATGCTGGAAATAATGTTTTCGTCGACCAGATTTTCGGGGACTCAGTCAATAGGTCACAACATAGAACTTCGTGCGTACGTATATCAGTTTGATTTGCCATACCACATTAGCACAGAGATACAATTGTCGATTCAAATCCCATATTAGTAGAAGTAGTAAGCGTATAAACAATAATGTGAAAGATTAAGGTTTGAAGATGTTATTCAAGAGTATAATCCAGTGAAATAAATGTGGAAAGAGAAAAAAGATAGAGACATGAAGAATTCAAAAGATTAGAATTCGGGAGAACACAAACAGTCGATGCAACTTCGCCATTGCAAACGTTTTTCAGCCACGTCACTCAAGGTTTCTAACCATCGGTTGTTATCATCTCGCGGATCCCAACCAAGTATTCTACGCCTAATATTATAACCGACTGATTGTAGAGATCATGTCGGTTAGTGCTACCTCAGCTCTAGTTCTTAGTGCGACACCAATGCCAGCAAGAACAAACGAAGATGCCACAGATTTACCAAATAAACGCACGCAAAACAAGCTTTTTGAAGGGATAGATGGAGAACGAATTTGCAGTACTTCATCAAAGTCTTGAATACGGTTCTACTATAGATAACAAACATTGATGTTAAGACCGGATTTTCGGGGACTGATCTCTCAACAGGAGGTCCACCTATTGACTTAATATGCAATTGACATATTCTTGTTTGGTGAAGACGCTGATAAAATACAGAGTCTTTTGGTAGCACTGAGTAACAGTGGCAGGATATTTGGAATGCGTTTCTCTCCCTCTAAATGTAAATTGCTACTTCGGGACTTGCCTGAGTCATTATTTCAACTAAGGATAAGGAATGAAGTAGTCGAACATGTCGACAAATTTGCTTATTTTGGAAGTCTGATCAGCCCTAATGGGCTGGTGTTTGACAAAATCTCTGCACACACTCAGAAAGCTTGTTTGAATTTTGACAACCTACGTCACCTATGGCGAAGATTAAATATCCGTCTATCAATCAGGGTATGAGTATACTGCGCAGCAGTTCACTCTGTTCTAATTCACGGCTGCTAAACGTGGCGATTAAGAGTAGAAGATACTCTTAAGTTACTAGTATTTGATGACAGGTATCTTAGAAATATTGCTCGCATTTACTGGGATTATGGGGTAAGTAATAGTGAGGCTAGACATAGGGTATATAAAATCCAAATTTTTCCTGAATAATCAATCTAAGTTACAATAAATAACAAATTGATAAAAAAAATAATAAATTTAAAGAACACACCAAAAAGTAGGTGTTATTCTATCCTTTCTGTATAGATCAAGTAAAAATTCCGTTTGAGAGGTTACTCTATAACACAGTGTTTCAAATTCTGGGAAAGTGCTCCAATTTACAACCAAAATGCACGATCCCAGTCAAATCAAACAGCACAATCAAAGTGGGAACAACCAATATGGCAGGCACCAGAATAATAACAATTAAAACAAATTAGATACAATTCAAGAAGAAATATAGAAACCCAATGAAAGCAACAGAAAAAAATGGGAAAACTATTATAAAAATTAAACACTACAGTCTCAATTGGCATCAAAAAGATTAACAATATGTACAACTAAAGAAACCAGTAAGAAGATGCAAATGTATGCATGGAGAGATTTTCACCTTCAAAGTGGATCTTACAGGGTATTATGGAATGATGGTAAGTCTGTTGATGAGGTTGTAAATCTTCATAGACTGAGATGGTTGGACCACGTGTTACGTATGCCTGAACATCGATTACCACAACGCGCAATGCTTACTAGTGTTGGAGACGGATGGGTAAAGTTAGGGGTGACCACAGCAAAACGTGTCGTGGATCACTTCATAAAGTCACTAACTTCTAGTTTGAGCCATGTTGGTAGATGCAGACTAGTTGGCTGAGGTCCGTATAACTATCGTAACCAATGGTTGGATACTGTGAGTGACATGGCTCAGAATTAATCACAATGGCGTTAGTTTATACACTCGCTATCTTCCTTTAAACTGTGAGATCAAAATTGCTTTGTACCTTTATTTCTACTAACTAATTCTTCCTGTGTTATATCCTTATACGCAATCATTCTTTTATATGTTACTACCATTGAAGTAACTACTTCATTAAATCAGCTGATCATCTTGTGCTAATGAGTTGTGGCAACTTGGACCGATGCACGTATGTTTCTTATTTCACGTTGTAAATGACTGACTGCAAATACTGTGTTAACATATTTTTTCCAGTCCGTTTAATTATGCTTACGTGTACTATCGTATTGTAATGTCGATTAGTACTCTTCTTACTAGCTCGATCAGTACCAATAATTGATCGTCTATAGTTATGTCCAGTTATGATGGTTCATTTACAAGTTTCTGTGGCATTTGCATGCTACAGTGAAATAGACTTGTTAAAACAACAATTATTGGCAGATATCGCTCTTGGTCGACGTAAGTACACAGGAGGGATAGCTAATGTAAGCAAAGGTTGCTTAATTGTCCTGAACTAATCCTTCATCTTGGTTCTTCTCTTAGTATTTCACAGTATCGTAAACTATGTACTATCCCGAAATATCTTCCTTTCTACCCAGAGAGTTATTCTCCAGCCAAACTTTAGTATGGATCTTACAGAATTGAACACCGCAAATAACTCGATTTCTATCTTATGCCAACACAATATACTTGCAACTAGTGTGTATCATCAACCTATATGAATGTAAATAATCAGTTTATTACATACCAAATCATTGAGTCTACAGCATGTCTCCCGCTTAACTCTTAGATGATATTCCCCCAGATTTTCATTTTGAGCCTGTCAAGAATTAAACCAAAGATTTTAGAATTATTATACGTATTTCCCGATCAGTGGCTGTCGACTTATTTTTGTTTTATTTTTCAGTTTATCAATACCCAGAAGACGCTTATTGTTCTATTGGTAACCTCCGGCGGCCGATAATCCCACTCGATTTGGTGTCTTGCCAACGTCACGTTGGTTCTAATGGGAGGGTAGTGCTGAGCGTATAAATACTGAGAGAATTCACTTTCAACATGTAACACTGAGAGAAGGTAAAGAATGGTGAACACGGGAATAATCGATCAGAAAAGCATGGCTCAGTCTTGGCGGCGTGATCATTCCAGTGACAAATCTCTATTTACACTAAAATGTATTATTCTATCCCCAGCCCAAATATGTTCCTCAGAAGTGCTATACATCGTGTTGCTGATCGTCACGGTATGATGAGTCAGTGTGGGCAATGATATAACTTCCACATATGATCTTATAGAATAAGTGGTCACATCACAAGAAATTCTCAACCTTGGGATTGGGTCCGTTGTTATAATAACAAAGACAAATATTCTAATACAGAACTTGACCATAATTCTACCAATTCGCTTGAGCTTCAAAAAGATCTTACAACAATCGAGGAATGGGGACCAAACAGTGGGATAATTTTTAACCTGTTGAAACGCTGTGTCATGAACATTCTACCTCATTCGACACAAACTAATTACACCCACATGGAAATTCCCGATCGTCTTTTCAGAGCGTGATTCTGGGCTTTTAACTGTAGAGAGCTTAGACATCAGTTCGAACTACACAACGACGGTAGACTCATCATTTCACGTTGACACAACCACTTCACGGTTGTTCCTAAAAACGTTTAAAACGTAAACATGGCTACACTTTAAAGTCCGCAATATCACTGCACATCCTTTTCTCTTAAAAGATATCTCTAAGATCATGTGCAGAAATCGATGAAAAAGTTTTCAAAAACATAAACCTTACGAGTACACGCCTTAACACCAGGGATATTTCTCTCTGAGTCACAGATGAACAAGAGATGATCTGATAATGGCATACAAAATCTTAAGTTCGCCAAGGCACCTAAACTCGAGCAGAATACCGAAACCTCATCACCACGCTCCTAAGGACAACCCCTGAGAAATCGTACATCAAAGAGCGGACATCGAAATACGCTCTCATTACAAGTTAACCTCATCTGGGATGCACTCCTAGCCGAAGTGACCACAACCTCCAGAAGACAATTTTAAGAGAAGAGTTGACAAGAACATACCAATGCATAACCATCCTCCTCTTCGCTTAGCTGTGCCTGTTGAATGTTTCATAAATTATCAGGACTATCATTACCGTATGTCAGTAACCACGCTCTGTGTTTCATATTATCATCTCCGTTTACGTGCACATCCACATTGCCAATTAATTAACGTATTTGTTATTCTTGAAACAAACGTCTTCTATCAGAAATCCAATTATCACTTTATTATTTTCACATTGCGACCGACCAACTTCCTGTCCGGTAACTTGATAGCCGCTGCTATCCAGGATCCATACTACCCTGAGACAACCGTACTAAAACTGAAAAATATACAGATCCACAAATTATTACCACACTCTCGAATTAGTGCATTAAGTGACTAGACTATCACCACATTGCAGTGCGTAGTAGTTTTTAAGTCATGACTTATAATTACTCCTAAGTCTTTATGCGCATGAACGCGTGGCAGAGATGTACCATTAATGGTATAGTGGTAACTAATATCGTGCCCGATGGGCATGAACACGCTCTTCCTGGAATTAACTTCCAGGCCCCAATCATGAGCCCACCTAACTTATTCGTCTAAATCTGCTTGTAGATAACAACGATCAGTCTCATTTCTTATTGTTCTCCAGATTTTAACATCATCCGCAAACAATAACGTCGACGACTTAAGTAATAAAGGTAGTTCATTAATATACAGAAGGAAAAGCAAAGGGCCCAAGATGGTGCCTTGGGGTACACCACTTTTGACCGGTTTCCATTCCGATAGAGTTCCATTGACTCTCACTCTATGTCTGCGGTCACATAAGAAGCTTCCTATCCATTCCTGTATAGCACCTGTTATACCAAAGCTCGAGAGCTTTTGCATAAGACCTAAGTGTGAAACATTATCAAAGGCTTTGCTAAAATCTATAAATATCACGTCAACAGACTGGCCGTTGTCTGGGGCAGCTGTCCAATCCTTTCTTGCAATGAGTAAGTTAGTCAAGCATGAATGCTTGTCACGAAACCCATGTTGCTCGGGAGTTAACAGATTGTACGAATCTATGTGGCTCAGTAGCTTAGCACGAATTAATATTTCAAGTAACTTAACTACTATACTGGTCAGGCTAACAGGCCGGTAGTTAGATACTATCCGTCTCTGACCATCCTTAAATATAGGACTAACTATGGCGTCTTTCCAGTCTCTAGGTAGTTGAGCCTGTGAAAGGGACATGTTGAAGAGCATCGTGAGCGGTCTTGAGATAATGTCCGCAAGCGACGACAGCAAACGTGGGTGTAACCCATCGGGGCCCGGTATCTTACAAGGTTTTAGGTTAGTTATCAAAGGAAGAACTATATCCTTTGTCACGTGTAAAGGTCCTATGGCTGGTATCTCATTGTCAACGGGACAAGTAGTTGTAACACTACAAGTAGAGTAGACTTCACTGAAATAGTTAGCAAATAACTCCGATTTCGCTAGGTCAGATTCAGCCAATAAAGCTGAATTTTCGCTTAACAGTAATGAGGGGATACCATCAATACGTTTCGTCCGCCTTTTAAAGTACGAAAACAGTCGCTTCGGACAGGTACGGCTATCGTATGCCAACTGTCGTTCGTAAGCCGTGCGGGATTTAGCTATGGTCTTTTTACATATATTCCGGATTTTTTTATATTCGCACTTAAATGATGCCTGACCTGTTGACAAGAATAAGTCCCAGAAGTGTTTCCTACGCTTCAACAGCTTCCGGGTTTCCTTATTAATCCATGGAGGGTAATATGATAACTTACGTGCTGACCATGGGATGAACGGTTGAGTTACGGATTCGAACGTAGACTTAAACCTATTCCATGCATCATCAATCGATCCATCAGCATCGACCGATCAGTCAATTGAGATAGCATAGTCCCTGATTGCCGGAATATTAGCTCTCCAGATATTAGGACGGGGTGGAGCTGATGCAAACTCTATACCATGTATCCGGAACTTAAAGAAAAGTACGACATGGTCACTATTCACCAGTGGGGGAAGATGTCGAATGTCAACGATATCTTCACAGTGGTGTGTGAGGACAAGGTCTATCAATGACGGATTATGTTCCAAGTCTATATGCGTCGGCTTAACGATACATTGTACAAGTGCACATTGAATAATTGATTACAGAAGGACGCTATCGAAACCCCCACCTGGAGCTGTGAGCTCTATCCAGTTTATATGGGGTGCATTGAAGTCTCTAACGATGAGACAACATTCTGCTTTACTTCAAGAACAGACGTGTCTTAGGATAAAGTCGTCAGCGAGACAACACGGACTACGATATATTCCTCCTATCGTCACTAACCCGTTTCTAGACCTAATTGTACAACATACTACCTCACACGTACCACTTACATGATCGAGTTAATGCGGAAGTGGTCCCTAATACTATAATATTATGCCTCCTTCCTTGCGACTTCTAACTCTATCACTTCTGACACAGATGTAGCCTGAAATGACTGGAGAACAGTCTATCTACAGTGAGCCAAGTTTCGGCGATAACAATTATATCCAGATTTAAGTCGTCTACCATCAAACTTAGTTCAGACATCTTATTCCGAAGACTACGAGCATTCGTATAACACACATTTAGGGTGTTTTTGGAGACATGCGTTCTACCCATACAGGTCTCGGAAGCATTGACTTCCAAGACCTGACTACCCGAAAACCCTTAATCGTAAGGTTCGCTTCACCGTTTAGCCTTCGAGTTTTTAACTCTGTTAGGGCATTCTTCCACTTGATCCGATCCTCAAGTGGCCAGTCAGGTCGAATACGAATGTTTGAGTCACGAGTTTTGCGTTTGTTATTTAGTAATACGTCCCTTTCCTCAAAATTACCGAGTCATGAGGTATCTAAAGTCTTGAGAAAAGAAAATAAGTGAAAACAGATTTCTCTGAATACATCTTGTTTCATGGATGTCATGAAGTTGTTTTTTTAATCCATAAATTTTTTGCTAAATGTACTCACTCTTTCATCTTCAGATGCGCTCAAATTGACTATGTAAATATGTTGTTGTTTTATTCATTATCCGACCGATACTATATGATTATATTGATTGATTGATGTATCAAACTTAAAACGAGTGGATCATATAAATTATTTGAGGTAATAACACAGGTACTAGTAAATGAATTTGATTATTTTTGGGGATTTTATGTTTGTTCTTATAAAACCACCTGATAAGTGGTGATGTGTTGATGTGTTCACTAGGGTTTTTATTTGTTGATTGAATGGTATATTCTAGAAGCTTGTATGATGTTTTTTCTGCGTCGATATATATACAATGTTTTTGCTAATCAAATAACATCTATAAAGTAAATAGGGTTACTCATTTTATAATCATATTATTAAACTGTTGATATTCGAAGCTAACTCACCGTAAATACACCCAATCTACATTCAACCGGTGGGATAAGGATTTGAATGTTTGCAGTTAAACAGACAATTTTTGTATCTTGAAATTTTTGTACATTGTTGTCAGAATTTTCAATTGTAAAGAAGGGGTCTTTATGATAAGTGTACATGGAAAACGATATAAGATCAACTTGTGAATTGGAGCTTTGGAGATTATGTTGTTTTCTTAGTGGTGTGATTTACAGATCATTTGGGTCAACTTGTCTGCAATAAAAGTTTCTTAGACATGAGTTCATATAAACTGGTTAATTTCTTTGCACTCATTTCTCGTTGTTTCATCATTGTTCCAGATACTTGGTAATGTTGATTGGGTGATCTTCTAGCCACTCAAACGCACTAGTTCTGGTTAATTTGTTAGTTGTTTTTGGGTTTACTTACGTTGCAATCTGTATGAATGCGTTTGTTCAAGGGCATTAAGGTTTTTAAGTCTAGTAGCTATCGCATTGCCTGACTGTAAGTTGATTGATAACAATGCACGAAATTGTAAAGAGAAAATTTAGATGCAGTTGAGCTACAAAAGAAGTTGATACCATCAAGAAGTAAATAAACAAGTTATTTCATTGGTAATTCAGACAGTGTGAGAAGACCGAAACATGAAAACAAAATGGGGATGACATTAGGCGAAATAGGAATAAGTTTGTGTCGTGGTAATGATAATAGTGGACATGTTGCAAGATATTTATTCGGTACAGTTAGTCCAGGCAGAGATGACAGCTCATGAGAATGTATTTGTCAAGTATGCTATTGAAGCTATCCACTGAGGTTCTACGGTCATTTCGTCTGGGAGAGCTTCCCAACTGGTCGCAACTGTCAGCGATAAAGCGACCATACCTGTTTTTTCCCTTTTGTTGTAGAATTATTTGGAGGTTGGTGACGTTTGCATAGTTATGACTTGATATACTTACTGCACTGTGCACCATAATCGGATCACGTCGTACAACTCGGAGTGAATAATCTTAAGTCTCGGAGTTTATATTCATAATATTCGTTTCTTAGCTTCGTCACTCACTTTGTGATCCGTCTCTGTACTTGATCTAGGAGATTTATGTCTCTTTTGTGTTATAATTATACAATTTGATTCGCTTATTCATGAAGAGCCTAGTCACCGTTATTAATTATGCTAAATGTTTTCAGAATAATATTTTTGATTATGCTATGAGAAGACAGTTATCAGAATTATGTGATATGTCTGTGTAATGCATTTCAAACAATCTGAAGATGTTAGTCTATCCTTTGATCTTATTTGACCACTGGAGTCCACTTTTTTCAGCGGCCACTTGGGCATGTATTCTGTCACCCTTACATGCAGATCAATATTGCTCCCCCCTATGTACGTGTCTCTGCACATACATGTAAATTGATAGACACAATCGGATGTGACATAATAACTTACGTGCTGTTTGGGTTTTCGGTGAAACGTAGACATTATCTTTTCAATAATGACGAATTGGGCTGTATAAAATGTTCTGTTTACGGCTAAATTAAGTATTCGTTTCAACATGAGACTATTTGAGTCGCCTTTAAATGATAATATAATGTAAACTAAGGTTTATTGAAGCCTTGGCTATAAGGAAACTGAAGCCGTCTTTATGTGTTCAAAAACAATTTGTTCTTACCCTTAACCTACCCTGGCAATACTGATTTATTATCCAGAGTGATTATCACATTGTTTTTGCGTACTTTATTTTTCTTCGTTAAGGCTTACTTTTAATCTGCCTAATTGACCTTTTAGTTTCCATATAAAAATGTTTTAACAAGTATATGTGCGATCAGATTGTTCGAAATGTATTACGCAGACATATCACATAATTTTGATAACCTTCGTTTTCTCAATACATTATCGGAATAGTATTTTATTGGTTCGCTCCGTGGAATATCTGTATGTTTTTGCTTTTTATGCGGTGAATTATTTTGAGATAAATATCAGCTGTGACAAAAAGAATTTTGAACTGGAATTTGATAGTAAAAATATCTACTCATTATTTTATATGTAAAATTGATTTATTTTAACTTCTTATCGAATATCCTAATAGTGGGATGAATCTGAATGTATTAGACCTTTAATTCAGGATGCTTCTCTGTAACTCTGTTGACATAATGTGTGGCTGATAAACAATTATGTGCTTGTATATATTGTGTGTTTGAATATACCTGCCATTTTAAACTCTGAAATTGCCATATCATTAATGCTTGATACTTTTAATTGTGTGATATTGAAACAGTTTATCTGGCACTATGTATTCACACATGTCGTTGTTACCCATGTAGGAAGTTATAATTTCTCAATATATATTGCTTGATCTTCACAAAGTGCAGATAACTGTCATTGTTGAGTTACAGTCTGTTTGCACTGGTCTAAACCTTTCTCAAACACGGGTCCATGCCAGCTCAAATCAAAACTGAACAAGAAGAAAGAGATTAATTAAATCAAAATTTGCAGTCGATTTCTAAAAGACTGCTTCGGTAACGGATTAGGAGTAAGAACGAGCACTTGTCACAACATAATTAACAAAAGGTCTCAACATTGTAGATGCATCTTGATTATATACAAAACAGTTCATATTAGTCGATTAGTTACTGATCATTTTATGCATTGTGGCATTCATAACATGGAGTATTTCAACTATTTTTTTGCCTTTATAGCTTGCTAAAAATGAACATAGGACAGAACCTTCAGCCTGACGGATTTCAACCGGAATCTCTAAGGTCTGATCCTTTAACAAGGGAACATAATAACCAATCGAGAGAATCAAATTCGAATTATATTTTTAAAAATATCCATCAATACGAACAAGAAGAGAAAGTAGTAAATAATATCAATGGACCACTATATGCAGATTCGACAGCATTAAACAGCGTTATGAGTGACCAACAGTCACATGCCCCAAATCAAAATCTTTTATCAGATACTGGTCTTCATACACGTACTAGTGTCACAAACACTACTGGTGTAACCGGACTATCTGGAATAGCTGGCATAGCTGCGGCAGCTGCAAATCAACAGGGAAAGCCACTTAATTTAGCTGCTCTTACTTTGGCTGCTCAGTCTGTTGCTGCCAAGAAGAGAGCTGGAGCTAGAGCACAAGCCGCTAATACGAGACCAGAGCGTACTTTGTTCTGCTTAACACTTAGGAATTCTTTGAGAAAAGTGTGCATAAAAATTGGAGAATGGAAGTATCCTTTACACAAACATTTCGAATGAAAATACTTTTGTTTTCACAGATATGCACCCCATAAACTTTAGCACTTACATTTTTGCAGTTCAGATTGGTATACCATTACTATTGTTTTAATGCTTAGTTTGAACTTGTAGCAGCATTAGACGAGATTTTTATACTTCTCTTCTTCATTCTGATGATGAAACTGATTTATCACGGAAAACAGCAACTCATTCTGTTGACTTACCCTCACTGATTTGGTGTATGCTGCGTAAATTCAAGTTACTTTGATTTACTTATCCTTCGTTCGATACTAATATACTTTTGTTGATATGTTCCAGACACCAAAAAAAATTAACTGTCATTTGTAATTCATTTCGTCTGAAGGCTATCATACAAAATACAGGTTACGATGTCTGTAGTTGAATTAGTTGTCTTGTCTTGCAAACCAAATACAAGAGCTCAGAGCATTGCTTTGATTACTTTCAAGTGCTCGAGAAATATGTTGCAATAAAACACACCTGTATCACTTCTAGTTCAAGGTTTCTTTTTTTTATTAGCATTCTTGTATATCTATCGTAAACTTATGTACTGGAAAGTATGCATGTTAATTGCTAAGGCCAGTTGCCTGCTGGAATCAGTTAGTTAAATAGTTCTTACACTTGAGGCTAGGAAATATCTATAGAGTGCAAAGTTCTGTATTATTTAACACTTTCATCAAAAATATTTCATGAGTGATGTTGTGGGTAAAGGGTGAGATTAAACGATTCTGCACATTATATTCGTGATTTAGAACAAGAAGATTGGGTGGTTGAATGGTTTCCCTCAACACAATGTGTTTGTACATGATTGTTTGATGTTGGTAAACATTTTGAGATCTCTTTCATGTGTAGTATAAAGTTAAACCAGCCTACTTAAATGATTGATGCAGAATGACGACCTTGTAGGTCATCTAGATTCAAGGTGAGTTTTATGTGCCTCATAATCGTCACGGTTTTACTCGTGATTTTTTACTCTCTCTCTTGTGTGATGTGCCTCAACTAACTGATGATCAGAGACCAGGCGACTACTACAGAGAGAGAGAGGGTGATAGTTTTGAGTGTATGGTTGCTATCAATTAAAGAAATGTGTTGATATGTAAAGAATTCTCAACTGCTAGAACGAAGTTTAAATGATCTAAATGATTTTGTTGATTGACTTTTTTTTAACAAGTTTATTTTCTACAGCATGAAGTTGCCAACCCCATGCCTTACCGTCCTCCATTATCTGGCTAATATCAGCAGTTACCCTAGATATGTTTCATGTGTTGATGTGTTACAGATCGGGTGCTTTTATGTTAGAAGAATTCTTGAAGCTTCATGGCATCAATCTCTTAGCTCTCTAGAATGGTGGTTTAGACTATATTTCAACTGTTTGCTTTACATTAATAAGTATTCGGGTATCATATGTTGTAAATTTATCGATTTTACTGTTTTAACGAACAAAATTTTTTTCTATTATCCGGCTTGAAACCTTAATTTTAACTTGTTAGACCATTTGAATACCTTATTCTTCTTACAATAATGGCTAACTGTTGTGCACTTGGTGCCATAACACCATATCCTGATGGGGATTCAAATACTCTCAATCACATACTGGTAATTATTTCTGTTAATTTTATACGTTTATGATTTCATTGTTATATCAAACTTTTTTTGTTGCCTATTCTTTGAGTTTATTGTAGATCATTGAAACATGTTTTTGTGTCTTAAAGTACGTTATTACGAACAATTATAACGACATTGCACAAGCAAGTGGCTATCAGGACTCAGTGGCCAAGTGGATAACGCGATGGCGTTTGAAGCGAAAGGTAGTGGGTTCGAGTCCCAGAGTGAACATCAACTCTGAGATGCAGGTACATCCAACAGCAGGTACATCCAACTGATGAGTTCCAAATAGGGTGAAGTGACACGCTTTCTGGATTCCACTGCTAGCCACTATCCATCTTTGCTTACCAATTACAACGACTATTAGAAGGGGTTTTGTGGAGATTTTAGTAATTTTATATAGTTGAAATCATAAGTCAATTGAAGTCAGACCACTATGGAAAACCAGGTTTTCCATTTCAACTTGGTTTTGTCTTATTAAATGTTCAGTTTACTTAAAGTATTTTTCAAGTAGCGATCTATCAAGAAAAGAGAACCAATGTATAGTATCAGTATGCCAAATAGTTGTATACGTACGAATTTTAAACCATCTCTTTTTCGATAGTATAATAAGAAGACGAAGATTATCAGAACTATGTGATATATTAGTGCAATACATTTGGAATGATCTGATCATACATATACTTGTTAAGAACGTTTATATACAAAAATGAAAGGTCAACTAGACTGGAAATGGGGGGGGGGTAAGAGTAGACAAGATAAATCCAGGAGTTCTAGTGAGAAACAGTGACCAGTGGAGTTCAAACCAGGTCTGTTTTGAGATAGGAACTCACTGAAGACAATTGGTGAACGGTCACTCAACTTCGTGAATTGGTTGGAGTTAGACATTAACACCATCGGATGCCGGCTCAGTGGTCTATCGGTTAAGTGCTCTGGAGCGAGACTGGTAGGTCCTGGATTCGAGTCTCGCTCGCGAAGCGGGATCGTGGATGCGTACTGCTAAGGAGTCCCACAGTAGGACGAAATGGCTGTTCAGTGCTTCCAGGTTTTCCCTGGTGGTCTAGCTTTAATTGACTCACGCTTTCAACTATAATAATAATAATAATAATAATAATAATAATAATGTGAAAACAATTTGAAACCTAATCACTCTGAATAATAAACTAATTTTACCAGAGTAGGTTTAAGGTGAGAACAAACTGTTTTTGAATACACAAAGGGGGTTTAAATTTTCGTATCGTTAAGGCTTCAATAGACCTTAGTATACGCTGAAACAGGTCATAAGATTGATCTTAACTCGGCTTTTTTGGTGTTGCATAAAAGTGTAAAAGGGAGTATACTAAGGTTTATTGAAGCCTTAGCCATACGAAAATTCAAACCATCTCTTTCGCATTTTACTTATGAAAATTCTTAGTTAGTGTACTGTCTTATGTATGGCCTAACTATAAGAAATGTAATTTAAGTGGTTTAATAATATGTTTAATCATATAAAATATGTGAGGGAAATCGTCTAGTATAATAAAGTGGTTGAACAATGTCTAAGCCAGTTATAAGTAGTGATGGAATGTTCAAGAAGGAAAAGTGATTACATATAAAAACTGATGTTTTTGTAAGCAGAGATGGATAGTGGCTAGCAGTGGAATCCAGGACGCGCGTTTCTTCCTATTTGGGACTCGTCAGCTGGATGTACCTGCATCTCAGAGTTGATGTTCAATCTGGGACTTGAACCCAGTACCCTCGCTTCAAACGACATCGCATTATCCACTCGGCCACTGAGTCCTGATAGCCACTTGCTTGTGCGATGGGGTATTTAATGTTATTTAATGCCATCTTTTTTATGGTTGTGCAATGTATATTAACTTGTCATAGTAACTATATATTAAGAGGAAGTAAATATAGAACTCAGTAACTAAGTGATAATTATTAGTTAGAGCGGTTAATCTATTGATGTAAGTTTTGCACATCCATTATTCTATTGATTAATTTATGTCAACTACTCCGAAGTCTAATGTGTTTAAATTTAACTATTGACTAGATAAGTAAGTCTGATATAGCTCAACACATGAACTTAAGTTTAATGAGCTTCATAACGAATTATTTTGAAGTTGCTTAAGAGACCTCATCAGAACACGTTGTCATTCCAATTTTTTAGTCAGTATTTTAATACAATTATGGTTGTAAGTGGTTGAGAGAGGAACTACTAAATATGATATATATTCATCTTATTCTGTTTCAGTTATTGTTTTGATAGTATTCACATCTATACAGGGAACTAATAGGTACAAAATATTATGTCGAGACTATAATTTATGGACGAGACAATCAATAGCGTTTGAGGGACTTCAAGGTCATGGTGCCAACTTCAGTACCTGATGCTCATGTACGATCAGTTCACAGAGGATTTTAGAGAAGACTCCAACAAATAAGCGGCTACAACGAATGAGACTACTAAAAAATTACTGTATTTGTAATTGCGGTAATTAAATGACTTGTAGATCTTGTACAGACTACCATGATGTTGTACTCCAATTTAATATATGTTCAAGGAAGACATTTGCTAGAATAAGAACCTTTATCGCTCAGTCCAGATTGAAACTAAGGCATATTATAATAATTGCCGTGAACTATATAGTAAAAACACCAGTAACATTCGTTGCAATATTCGCAGATGTTACTGTAGTGACATATCCATAATAAAAATGATAAACTTACACAACCGGAGTACATACAAACAATATTGAAGCTATGTGGTCGAGGCTGAGAGGGTTTTTGTGACTTAATCATGGTTCCAGAGACCAAGTATTATGGAACCATATGGATGAGTTCCTCTACCGTATGCATTACGACCTTAAAACCTTTGAACCTCTTTCTAACCTTGACAAGTTTTTGGACCATATAGAAGAGGTGTATTCACTCTAATTCTTTCGTGTTGTATAATATATTTTTACTCTATACTAACTGTCTTCTGATTGGCTAATACTTCTCAGGGTCACCTAAGATCCGTTTCAAGGTCATCCATAAATTATGGTATCGTCAATATTATTTCTTAAATGAAAATTTTTTTTTGAATTTTTTTTTCTTTTTAAATTTTAGGAAAAAATTGAAAATGTATTTATAGTTATCTTTACTGTGGAATGTGTTTTAAAAATTATAGCTTTTGGTTTTGTTATGCATCCAGGAGCATATTTACGTAATGCATGGAATATACTTGATTTTACTATAGTTATCTTAGGGTAAGTTTATAATATGTAATCAGTTATTAATACTAATATGTACTCAAAATTAATAATCAGTTTTTGTAAATATAATCGCCCGACCGTTGCTGCTACCTTGACAAGGTCGTTAAGACCAACACTAATCCGACTTCTTTTTCAGGTCCCTCAAGAAATACCCTTCCACGGTGTAGGCAGCCGGAAAGTGATATTAGCCCTCATACCCGTAACTGCATACGGGACCAAGTTTGTCACATTCAAATCTTTCCTACACCTCTTAATAACTCTCTTATCTCCTTGACTAACCCTTCTCACGTCCTTTTATCACCTCACACCGCTAGAGCAAACGATTCGAGTACACGGAACGTTATTCCTGGTCTCCTAAAACTACGCTCTAAACTAAATGATAAATAATTTTCCAATTATGTTCTAATCTAGTAATTTAAACTTTTGTTTATTTTTTTATATTTTTGTCATATAGACTTTTACAACCACTTATTCAACAAATGGTTGAACAATCTGGTGTAGATGTTAAAGCACTTCGTGCTTTCAGAGTATTGAGACCATTACGTCTAGTATCTGGTTTACCAAGTATGTATTGCTTATATTTTTATATATTTTTTTGTATCATCTACATTTTTCTGTACAACATGATGACATTTCAAAATAATTAGTCCTTTTAATAAACAAAGTGTATCAGAAATATGTAGTGAATCAGTTACTAACTTATTAAGATACTTATATGAGAAGAAAGGGTATAAGGGAGAAACAATTTTTTTAAAAAAACTTCTCCAATTTCATTGTTCATGCATTTCTCGCCAATTGCACTTCATTTCAATTCTTTCCTTATCGGTCTTCAGCCAAAATACATTCTATGTCTGACCATCACTATATACTACTTATAAGTAGTTATAAGTAGACCACACTACATGGAGATTAAAATAATAATATCTATTATTGAGAAATGTTTAGTTCAAGTACAAACTGCTTTTAAACACATAAATGATGGAATATAGAATTACTTCATTGTTAGAACTTCTGAAAACTTATTTATTCACCTTATACTACTTTTATACAAAATCAATCCTCTCACTAGTTTCAGCTGTCTCTGAATAGAGAAAACTAATAATGTCTGTCATCTATTCTCAAATGGGACAGTGAGATTGATTCTTTCTTTAAGTCATTTATTTAGATGCACAACCAATCGTTGAGTTAAAAAAAATAATAATCCTTGTATTTGTGTTTATACACATATGGAAACTGTTCAATAAAATTGGATATAACTCAATCACACACATGCTAATTAGATTTTTCGTGAAACTTTGGGTTTATGATATGGTTTATTGATAGCTGATTTAAACCTTCATTGGAAGAAGGTTATTTGACTGAACTCTATATGGGGGAAATGATGAATATATGAGTTTCAAATACTTTAAGTAAAGCAAATCTCAATATGTTGCAGTCTTTCTATAAGTTTGTAAATTTTAACGGACATCTATTTTTTTATGAATATTCCATTTAGTAGCTTCATATCATTTTTCATTAGTATTGATAATAAAAACATGACCAGTCTTTCATCGAACGTTGTTTAGACTGGACGTAACAGTAAACATATTTATTAAAATACGGTTCTTGTGATAAAAAAAAGTATATTTCAATTTGTATTTGTATTGATTAACTCAATAGAATAACTATCATCATAACAATAAACCAGAAACTATTCAAAATAAATGACAAGCATCTTGATAGAAAAAAAAGGATTGCGATTTGAGCATATTGTTCATAAGTTAATTGTGCATACTATGCGTATTACCTTGATATAACGTTAATTCACAAGCATTATAAGCAAAGATGGATAGTGGCTAGCAGTGGAATCCAGTTTGATGCGCGTTTCGTCCTATTTGGGACTCGTCAGCTGGATGTACCTGCATCTCAGTAGCTGAGTGGATAACGAGATGGCGTTTAAAGTGAACTGTACTGGGTTCGAGTCTCACAGTAAACATCAATTCTGAGATGCAGGTACATCCATCTGACGAGTCCCAAATATGACAAATTGTTGTGCGTACTGGATTCCACTGCTAACCACTATCCATCTTTGCTTATAATTTTGATTTCTATTCATTCTTCGATCCTACTGATTTAGAACTAAGTTAATAAATAACAGATCATTTAATTATTATCCTTATTATTCATAAGGTTGAGCTGTACTGTTTAAGTTGTCACGTGAAAGTCTAGATGGTGTCTAATTCTCCTGAAAACCAATGCAAAATTACCCTGGTCCACAAGGGTATATTATATAACTTTGATTTTGATGGTAGAGAAGAATTGTAGCTCAAGTGGGTGATTTTGATGAAGTTTAGTTCTCTGAGCTGAATGGTTTGGTCGTTGAGCTTTCATCGTCCTTCTGAATGACATCATCAACAAAAACTTCGGGTAGAAGTGCCGATGATATTGTTCAGAAGGACGATGAAAGCTTCACAACCAAACCATCCATCTCAGAGAGTAAAACTCCATCAAAATAATTGTGAACATTATTCATAATCTTAGAAGTTTCAATAGATTGAACCCCATTATGTTGTTTCAAATTTACCAATAATTTAAACATATCATATATTTTTAAAGTTACTTACTATAATACACTATCTTCTTATTTCTTTTATAGGCTTACAAGTTGTATTGAATTCTATCATGCGTGCTATGGTACCTCTTTTACATATTGCATTATTAGTTATCTTTGTAATCATTATTTATGCAATTGTTGGCTTAGAATTATTCTCTGGTAAATTGCATGCTACATGTTATGATTTTTTAACAGGTTAGTTATGATTAGATACATTTTATTATTTTATCTAAATTCATTCAATTTATTGACATCTCGATAATATATGAATTTAGAGAATAAATTTAGAGAGAGTGTATTGAAACTAATTTGTATCCCAACTTGTATTGGAAATCTTTACGTCGCTCTAGAGTTCGACCAAATGGACGGACTCTCAAACGCTATGCGCTTAATCAAATAAATTCATTCAATTTAAGCTTAAAAAAAGATAACGACAATATTATAACATTGTTTGATTATTACTACTATTGTAGTGTAGTCTACTTATATTCATGTAAGTAGTATATGGTGATGGTTAGATATAGAATGTATTTTGACAGAAGATCGATAAGGAAAGAACTGAAATTATTATTATTAGCTTTATTCAATATTATATTTTTGGTACAATATAGAATTCTCAGCACAAAGTACTTCAACAAGTTTCCGTTTCTTACTTCTTCATCCTTCCTGACGATAAATATTGAGTGATCGCCAGTTAGAAGTTAGCAGCCTAGTCAATCGACATCTGAATAATGTACATTCTTCTCGCTGCATATTACCTGCCAGCAACCACGATATCTCTGATTAAGCCTTCTGTAACCTTTACAGCGAAAGGTCTTACACTTTTCATAAACTCACCTGAATAGGTTGTGCGATTAATAGGCATAATGATGTATTAAAACAAACGAAATTAGATAACTTATTGAAATATCTAAATGACGGAAACAGGTAACCCAGATGTTTAGACAGGCCGCCAATGAAACGCAATGGGTATGAAAATGCATGAACCATGAAATAAAAGTAGATGAACTGATATTTACAGAAGGAACAGTGAAGATTGAGACAATTGGTTGTTATTTTGTAAATTAACTGTTGACTGTATGGTTATTAGAATTTAGTGAGATAGTCTGTCCTTAGTGTCTAAATACATTCGTTTGTCCCCAACTAGTATTCTGTTCACTACACTATTAGCACTACTGTTACTTGACTTAGAATATGTTCTCTCTATACACCTGATATGTAGATAGCATGATTAACCTTTTACTCAAATTAATATATTATGGAAATTTGAAGTTCTGTGTGTGTGTTATACATACCGGACGTTACATCGGTATGGAAATGATATATTCCAAGAAAATACACTACTCTTGAATCGAGACCCAGATAATCATAAAATTAGTATTGAGATATATTAAGGTAAATAATGTGTGAATCCTGATAAAAGACTTCGTCTTTGTTATAGCTTGAACTTAGATTCTTAGTCTGTCGCGTAATACTTGAGCACTCGAACACTAGTACCTTTTCAAGTCACAAATCAGAAGACAAAAGACAAGTACAAGGAATGTTATTCCAAACAGTGTCGATTATGGTACAAAACTGTCAGGTATTTATAATTTTGTAGTAGAACCGAAATCATCATTATAGTTATCCGATTTGCACACAGGGAGTTTTCAGTATTGTTCAATAAGGAAATTACACGTGGTGATTCTAGAATGTTCTTCCAAAAGCTGATTGGATGGAATATGTCCGGCTGTTTCTGGGCTTCTGGTAGCTTCCTCAACTTCACCTGTGAACCATCCTCACAGTCTTTGCGAAAATTTAGCTATTCATTTTAAAGTTACTGATCTCATTTTTAACATTGACTTACTTTCGTGTAATATACTACTTCACATTCTAAATATGGGATATAAAAAGAACACTATTCAGTTTAGTATGAATGTTTCCTAGAGTTTCCAGTCTATACTAAAAATTAACTGTGTCTTCAATCATTCTTATTGTTTAATTCAAGGTGAAATAGAAGATAATCCATCACCATGTAGTTTAAATCAACGTGGTGCATTGTGTACAGGTTCAACAATTTGTTATGATTTTAAATTGGATATGAGTTATGCAGCTGTTGCTGAAAGAAAACAATTAGCTGAAGCAATTTTAGCTGGTAATATTACACCACCATTACCACAACCAGAAAGATGGGTTGGACCAAATTATGGTATAACTAATTTTGATAATTTTGGTTTATCTATGCTAACTGTATTTCAATGTATTACTATGGAAGGTTGGACACAAGTTTTATACTGGGTTAGTTGTTTTATATTTTATCACTACCATTTATATGTAGTTATTCCTTTAACAAATTAAAGTAATTGACTTGTATTCTGGAAGTATTGTGTTTTTTTCTAAGCTGACTGACTTTTATTGATTGTTGTTTCATTGATAATTCAGAAGGGGTTTTTTGTGTGGATATTATAGTAATTTTAATAGTTGAGATCATGAGTCAATTGAAGCTAGAACACCATAGAAAACCTGGAAGCGCTGGATGGCCGTTTCGTCTTATTATGGGACTCCTCAGCAGTGCGCATCCACGATCCCGACTCGCGAGATTCAAACCCAGGACCTATCAGTCTCGCGAACGAACGCTTAACTTTTACACCACTGAGCCGGTCGGCATCCAACGGTGTTAATGTCTAACTTCAATCAATCAAGGAAGTTGAGCAACCATTCACTTATGTCTTCATTGAGTTGATATCTTCCAATAGACCTGGTCGCACTCCACCAGTTACTGCTTCTCATTAAAACTCTAGGAAATGCCTCTTGAAGCCAGTCACTAGTGAGCATATGTTGCTCAATATCAGAAGGGGTTTTTTGTGGATATTATAATAATTTCAATAGTTGAGATCATGACTCAATTGAAGCTAGACCACCATGGAATATCTGATGGTCTGGCTTCAATTGACTCATTATCTCAACTATTGAAATTACTGATTTTATATTTATTCATAATTTTCCTATACTCTTAATTAAGAGCTTTGTGTTAGATTTAATTTTATCTGGTACTAAATGCTTTAAGCTTTTAAAAGTGATTCTCATTTTGCTAAATATATCAATAATTAGTTTAATTTGATCAAATTTCTGTCGAAAGTATCAACTATGGACAATCCAAACTAGTTTAAATTGAATTAAAAGTTATGCAGGTTTCATGAGTGAATGGCTAACTGGAATCAGTGGCTAAGTCTATAATACAGTGATTTTTTAAACAAATAGTGCTAATTTTGAATCCCAAATTAAAAATTAATTCTAAGATTCGGGTACATCCAACTAACCAAACACGTGTCATGGATTCCCCCTACTAGGTATGCGGTTGAGCTTACGTAACACGTGTCCCAGCCATCTTAACTGATGAAGTTTCACTACTTCATCAATCGATTTGCCATCCTTACGTAGTACCCGTTTCCTAATGACTGCATTACTTACTAGATGGTCCCAGGATATAATTTAGATCGAAAACCTATATATGTATAGGTGAGAAAAATTTTATGAACATCCATCACAAACATCTAGCACTCTATTCAGTGACTTAAAATTATAAAATTATTTATTGTGTTGAGATATACATTTTATTCTATGCAAAACTGTATACACTCATACAATTTAAGACTTATTTAAGATGTGATTATGAGTATAAATGGTTACTTCGATAAAACAGGATTTCATTGATATCATGACCCAAACAAAGTTAAACATCCAGTGTAAATTGGGAAGCACTAGATGGCTGTATCGTTTTAGAATGGAACTACTCAGTAGTGCATATTCACAATCCCACCAGGGATTGAAATCAGGATCTTCAGTCTTACGTGCCACCGCTCAATCTCTAGACTACTGGACCGAGTGATTAAAAGTTAATTTCAGTAAGACTGAGTATTCTAATTAAAAAGTAGGGCCAAGTTGCATGTGAATGAGTTTCCGAAATTCCCTCAAGATCGACTTTTCACAAGAATTATTTCCACTTTGAATAAATTCGTAATTAATATCTCTCATCCGACTTTTTTTTTCTGAAAATTTAGGTTAATGACTCACAGGGGATGCTATATCCATGGATTTACTTTATCAGTATGATCATTATAGGATCATTTTTTGTTATGAACTTAGTACTGGGTGTTTTAAGCGGGTAAGTATTTCTTGTATATATTTAATTATTTACAAATCCCTGTCATATCAAAACACTAATAGATGAACGAAGCATATTCATTACAATAAATTCTCTTCAGGTTTTACAGTTCCAAACTAATTTTGTCAAACAACAGCCAGGTTTAAAGGAGATACATCATTTGAAATTAAAAATTTGAAAACTTACTAACCAGAAAGATCTGAGTAATAAGATAGAAAATGACCTTATCAGATCTTTGGAGAACTCCAGAAATCAACATATAATTTCATCAAGTTTATATGAAATAATTAAACCGATAAGAACTCACTTACAGAAATTGTATGAATTATCGAAGGTACATCAATCGAGGATTCCATCGAGACCAGTTTTAGGTATACATGAACTCCCTATATCATACTACGTATAAGTAGTTGATAATCACATCGTAGCCACTTCACAAGAAACTTATGAAGCAAAATGTTGAGAATGTATCACAATTTGTTGATTAGATAAAAAGTGAGAATTTCAGGGAATAAACAACGATGTCTTTAGATGGAACGTCATTATATACAAATCTCCCACTCATGTATACGGTAGGATGTATACATTGAAAACGCTGAAGAAACGAATTAGAAACTATAATTCCAAATCATATCGTAAAAGAGTTATTACTGAAATGAATCATAAATATGAATTTCAAGTTTGATCACAACCCATTTGGATGTTCTATTAACAAAGAGAGTTAATAAGAAGGAATTTAAACCAAATAGCTACCTCAACAGGGCAGTACACACATTTCCTTAGCTTTGTACTTCTACAGTACAAAAGAAACTTGATAAAACTCTTCTTTATTAATTATATACTAAGTATTCAACGGATTTAGTTAAAGAACAAAACTATTTGCATAATACTTTTAGGGAAAACGGATACTGTATAAGTTTATAAATAAACATGTGATCACGAAAGTAAGAATAAGTGAAGTGCAAACACTGTTTAAGAAATCTCTGTTCATGTGCCTACAAATCAGAGGTGATTACATAGAACGGCCTGAAGAACATTGAAAATGGTGGAAAAATCCTACTAGTATTTCCTACGACCCCGACAGCAATACCGAGGCTAAAAAAATAAATTATCTAGAATGGCCATCTCACTTTGTATTTATCAATTCGACTGTTCTTGTAAAGCAGGTTATATTGGTCGAAGTTCCCCACCATAACAGACATGAATTGAACATTCATTCACTAAGTATGAAACTATTTATCAGGTATTCTTCCACAATATTTCTACGTGGCCAATTTGTCAATAAATAAAAAAAAGAATATATGACAAATTTTCTCAACTCAATAGATAATGGTAATATATGGGAATAATGAAAGCGTTCAGACTAACTCGTTGTTTTGCTTGACAATTTTATCACAGAACTATTGGTTACTAAACTGAACCTTCATAAATCAATAATATGCACATAACACAACAGAATAAAAATGATTACTTAAAAATAATTTGTAAAATAATAATAGTTTTATCAAATGGAGTTTTGTGAAGATTTTAGTATTTTCATAGTTGAAATCATGAGTCAATTGAAGCTAGACCACCAAGGACAACCTGGAAGCACTGGAATGTCGTTTCGACTGACTTCAAGAGGTACTTCCTGGAGTTCTAGTGAGAAGCAGTGACCATTGTAGTTCAAACCACGTCTGTTGTGAGATATCAACTCACTGAAGACAATTAGTGAACGGTTGCTCAAACTTCGTGGATTGGTTGAAGTTAGTCATTAACACCGTTGGATGCCGACCGGCTCAGTGGTCTATCGGTTATGTGCTGTGGTGCCAGACTGGTAGGTCTTGGGTTCGAATCTCTCGAGGAGAGGTCATGGATGCTTTCAGGTTTTCCTTGATGGTCTAGTTTCAACTGACTCATGCTTTCAAGTATGAAAATTATAGTTTTATTAATGTCAGCCAGTACCAATCAATGTAGAGTCTAACACAAATCTGAATCGGCCCAAATTCTCATATCGAATCAATACAACGAGTTGAAGTTAACAAGCATAGCAAAGAGGTCAGAATATTTGTCTTAGGAATGAAAAAGACTAAACGCTGTGAATGAATGAAAAACATTCACAACAAAACACTGGAATTCATGATCTAGAGAAAGACAGTTATTTCTATCAATGTAAAGCCATATCATGACTGTCTAAAACAATATAATATCTTTACATTCATTTCTATAACTGAATATACTCAAATAAGTTTCACATAAACAAATGATTGAACGGCTGATGTACGATGTTATGCGTTGGAAGATAGTAAGTAGTATAATAACTGGTTACTCTAAATGATAGGACTAATTATTATTACCAATCAAATGTATCAGTCGTATATATAGATAATCTGGGGTTCATAATTACATTTATTTCCCATATGTTACTCTTCTTTTATGTTAATTTCTTCTTTCTCTTTCAACTTCCTGTTTCTCAAAAGTTTTTTTTTAAAAATTTAGAATTGGTAAACTTGAATTAATTAGATGAGTTAGTTTTCTCTTTTTCTTTCCCTGTATTACTTATTTTCTATATAATCAAATTATCTTTATCCATTCATTTTTGTTAAAGAATTCTCATAATTGTAAGCAAAGATGGATAGTGTCTAGCAGTGGAATCCAGTTTGACTCGAGTTTCGTCCTATTTGGGACTCGTCAGGACTCAGTGGCCAAGTGGATAATTCAATGGCGTTTGAAGCGAAAGGTACTGGGTTCGAGTCCCAGAGTGAACATCAACTCTGAGATGCAAGTACATCCAGCTGACGAGTCCCAAATAGGACGAAACGCGCGTCCTGGATTCCACTGCTAGTCATTATCCATCTTTGCTTACCATGCTTGTGAATTAAGACTATACCGAGGCAATACGCACAGTATGCACGTATGCCAGTTAGAGACTGACCAGTTGCAGTCCTAACACATCGATGGGAAGATTCAAACAAACAATACTAAATAAATTTAATACTCATAATATTGACATGAAATTTAATTTTAACGAATACTAGTCTTTTATCTTTTCAATATTCCATTCTTCCTCTTCATATTCTGAATAGAATCACTTCCTACGTAATAATAATAAATACTATTGTTATAATCTCATTGAAATTATTAGGTAATCCAGGTCAGACCACCATTGAAAACCTGAAAGCATTGGATAGCTAGTATAGAACTCCTTAGTAGTACACATCTACGATCGTATACGCGGGAATCGAACATATACTGGCAATAATAATAATAATAATAATCTTTTTATTTACTCTCATGTATCCAATTGAGCAAGGTTCGTTTTCTCAGAATGAGATGTTGTAAATATGATTTACATTGTAAAGCTACAAAATAATTTAAAACCACCATTTTCATCACTACTGTATATATATTTAGTCTCAAAAGTATTTGTTTAGCTTTCCTCTTACAACCACTTATTTAATGATATATTTGGTAGGTAAGGTATTATAGAGTTCTTGTATTTGGTTTTCTGTACGTGAACTGTCCGGCTGTGGATGTAAAAGGGAAAGTTGCAAGTGAAGCGGGTGACTTGCCAGTTGTGTACCCTGCTCATCATCGAGTGAAGTAGATTTACTTTTTTAGCTTGATAAAAGATTTTATTGTGTTGTATAAAAGCTAGCTTTTTTACACTCGAAGGAAAATAATGAAAAAACAGCAAAGGGAAATAGATAGCATACAGGAATTAATAAGACGCAAACACTGATGTTGCTGATACTGTCAGCACATAACCTCTTTATACCATAAGTTCAGAGGGAAATATTTGCCATTAATAAGATATGCAAACAATGTTATATATCAGAATAAAAAGCTTATGTCAAGATAACCAACGTTGGATATAACGTTTTATAATAGAATGATTAATACATCAGCGGTCACATAACTCCACCAGGGTATTCAGTGCCTTTTCGTATCTGGACCTAAAATTAAAAGCTCGTCATTTAAAATAATTGAAAGTCCGTTCAAAAGGAACCATTATCCAAACAACACACGAAATCTTTTATTTCAAATCAAGCATGAGAAAATGTTTTATATGGGCAGTAGGAGAACAAAGGGGAAAATTGAGTCTATTAGGTATACTGAGGAAATGGGCAAAAGCTTTCTTGTACATACAGTTTACTGCTCTTCTCTTGTAAAATAGTAATACAGTTACTTAGTTATTCAGGATTTAGTGTTTACGAATAAATTTGTTCTGGATGATAAATATCTTAGAACAGGATCAAGGATATAAATGTGGCCTATTGATGTAAGAAATTCGGATCTTGTAGCCTTTATTATGACTCCAATTGATGTAGACGAAAGTTAAACCTCATATTTAATTTAGTTTACGATGCTTCAGATATTCCCGTTGTGCAACGGTAGTACTCAAAAGCCAAATAAGAAATGTACCTCAAAGATCATATTTCATGCAGTCATAAGATTAGACAACTATGCACGCATATAGAAATGGTTTGCGCTAAATCGTCTACTCCATTTCATGACAAAACTTATATCATTCTGAGAAGGGGGTTTTGTGGGGAATTTTGTAATTTTATAAATGAGGTCATTAGTCAATTGAAGCTAGACCACCATGGAAAACCTGGAAGCACTGAACGGCCATTTCGTCTTATTATGGGACTCCTCAGCGGTGAGCATCCACGATCGTTCATATAGACAGGGATAATACTGATAAACGGATATGGGCAAACACTCATATATAGGAAATGTACATTGATAAAGTGTAACTGTTGCTCATATATTAATTAAGTATACAATATAAACAATAAAGTTACAGTTTAAATATGCTAAGGTCAAATAAGTTCACACAGCGGTTTTCATCGATCGGTTTTATCAGTTCATTAGAATATTGAAAATTTAATTCACATGTATTACTTATTTGAATTTTCCCACTAATGTCTATAATCGGAATTCATTAGTCTCTTTTGGGTATATTTGCATCTTGTGTCTTCATATCGTCTCTAAATCACAAGGAGTTTTACTTAGAGATTGATGGTATCACGGAATGAACATCAACTCTGGATTGTGGCCACTCCCGGCCGACAATTGCTGAATAAGGCGAAACGCTTGTCCTTCTTAAAAGTATTGCACGTTTAATTGTTTACTATCTAGTACGTATGTATGGAGCTGGTACAATCTCAAAGGTACTCTTTGGATATTTGTCAGGAGACTGATATGGATCAGTATAGTCTTTTAATGAAAATTAAAATATTTTCGTTTTAAAAACGTCAGTTCGTCGTAAGACGTTGAAATGTATTAAAAGTATTACTTTAACTGGGTTTTCGATCCTAATTTACTTCAAACTATGACGTCCATGAAAAGCATGGCACAATAAATTGTAACAAAATATAAAGCTTTACCAAAATGCAAAAGAACATAGCGTTTCTCATACCACTAGAATAGATAAAAATAACCTAAGATTTCGAAAACCTCTGAAATACTAGCGAACATTGATTATACAAATGAACAATCTGTATTCTTTATCACTAATTAATAGTTTTTAAGATTATTTCGGGATTTTGAGACAGTACAAAGGTAAATTGTCAAAGATATTTATAAACGCACTGTGATCTAGAATTTTTCTTCATAGCTACCTCCAAGATTTGCTTTTCGAGTAAACCTGTAATCCCTATAAATTTGATGTCTCATACGTAACATTATGAAATTGTCCATTCACCAAGTCATCATCGTCATATTTTCATTATTATTTTTCATGAAATTTTATGATGCACAGATTTGTTTATGTCAAAGAATCAATTTGATAGTCAAACATCATAATATACTTTTAACTAATTGTTTGTTTTAACTCAATAGAATACTGACTTTCATAATTGAAATCACGAGTCAATTGAAGCTAGACCACCATGGCAAACCTGGAAGCACTGGATGACCGTTTCATCCTATAGTGGGACTCCTCAGCAGTGCGCATCCACGATCCCGCCTCACGAGATTCGAACCCAGGACCTACCAGTTTCGCGCCAGAGCACTTAACCGATAGACCACTGAGCCGGTCGGCATCCAACGTTGTTAATTTCTAGCTTCAACCAATCCATGAAGTTTGAGCAACCGTTCATCAATTGTCTTCAGTGAGTTGATATCTCACAACAGACGTGGTTGAACTCCACTTGTCACTGCTCCCCACTAGAACTCCGGGAAATATCTTTTGAAGTCAGTCACTAGTGAGCATATGATTATAATCAGAAGGGGATTTGTGGTTGTCTAGCTTCAAATGACTCATTCTTTCAACTATAAAATTACAGAAATCTACACACATCCTCTTCTGAAATTACTGACTATCGTGTTCAGTGGAACAGCTCTAAACGTCTTAGAAAAATATTTCACTGAAAGTTCCAGTATTAATTTCATTTATTAAAACAAAGTATTTAAATGTAAAGATATTTATATATAAACTTGACTAATATAAACGTCATGTATGAATAGTTAACATTGTTTTTGCATTCATTTATTTTTTTATCTTTCCTCCTTTTCTATTGAACTAGAGAGTTTTCAAAAGAACGAGAAAAAGCTAAAAAACGTGGTAAATATCAGAAAGCTAGGGAACAGATGCAATTTGAAGAAGATGTACAAGGTTACTTAGATTGGATTAGTGCAGCTGAAGATATTAGTGATGATGAAGAAACTACGAATAAAGAAGATGAAAAAGAAAAAAGTAATTTTGGTTTGAAGTGTAAATAGTTCATGATTTTACAGAGATAGGAAAAAAGTTTACATGATAATCATTGTGTTTTGTTAAAAATATTTCAGTGCCCATGGTCGGTCTAACTTCATAATCATCGAATGATGACGATGTTGATGGCCCCTAAATGCCATGGTACGGCCGAGAGTGAAGAGAGTCCGGTCTCCCTCTCCAAATGCTCTCACATGGCCACGCGTAAACAGCCTCTGCCACACAAGTCCTACTCAATGCCTTCTCTCACCACGGTTGTTGTTCACGAAATTGAAAGGACGAAAAACGAATGTCCGACGCTTTAACCGGGTTGGCAGACACGGAAAGTCCACCTAGGGGAGTTGGAAAAACCTCATTCCAAACCAATGGTGCACATGGGTCCCAGGATTTTGAGGGAACAAATGGCGTATGAATCAATCGTTGGTCACCGGCTACCACGTGACTGCATTTCCTCACAATGCTCCACTGCCTTTTGGATTAGACCTTTAGGTCAAAGGCTCCGGGTGTGGTCCCCTAATGAAAACATCTGCTTCAGGTTGGGCACCTGGGCAGTATCACAGCCCTCATACAAATCAAAGGAGATTTGTGCGGCCCATATGTATCTGGTGCCCCTTTGTACCAATATTTACGTGTTTAAATAAATAAATAAGGATGTTGATGAAATATATGTTCTACTTTTCTTCGTATTTATCTTTTGACTTAAATCGCATAACTGAATAATAGAATAAATCAAGTAAAAGAGTGATTTGGGATACGTTTATTTCAGACCTTGATTGATGCAGACCAGAGAAAGTAAACATGAATACACTCTGTTCTACAACTGTTGCAACTTTGACACCAAGTTCCGCTACACACTACTTGCAAACATCCCTGTGAGTAGCATCCACTACACATGTTTAGTTTTTGAGAAATAATGTTACTTGTCTTCTGTCCATGTTGTGATTGAAAAATATCAGTACAATCACGAAAGAACTCGGTAGTGAGTGTGTAGAAAATCTAGGATCACAATCTAAAGACGATTGAATCAAAATCGCAAGTATATTCTATAATTTCAGCACTACGCTGAGTAGACTAATATTTTAGTCAGTTTTCTACTGTTCAGAGTTGTTTGTTTGCGGTTGTTCCTTATTTCTGAATTTAGACATTTTATTTTCATTTTATTGTACTCATCTTATTACTTATCCTAATTATCTTATGAATAGGTATTCCAACTGTGTTTTCCACCACAGATTATGTGATTGAGTGATAGTAAAGCTTGCTAATTATGACAGTTGCATCGATTATGTCAACATATATGTGATTAAAATAACTATCAGTTCTAGTTAATGTATCTTTATAGGAAATCACGTCTATTCACTTTTTTTTCATTACTTCTATAGGGTATTAATGTCTTTATTAGAAGGGGGTTTTGTGGAGATTTTAGTAATTTTATATAGTTGAAATCATGAGTCAGTTGAAGTTAGACCACCAGGGAAGTTAGACATTAACACCGTTGGATTCCGGCTCAGTGGTCTAGAAGTCAAGCGCTCACGTGAGAGACTGATAGGTCCTGTGTTTACATCTCGCGAGGCGGGATCGTGGATGTACACTTCTTAGGCGTCCCACAATAGGACGAAACAGCTGTTCAGTGCTTTCAGGTTTTCCATGGTGATCTAGCTTCCATTGACTCATGATTTCAACTATATTAGTGTCTTTATTTACCGTTAAACATCTTGATTTATATCGGTCTACATATGCATGCTAATAACCAATACAACCATTACACATATAGGAAGGAATATAATATTGTGTGTTTATCAAGAAATTTAGCTATTCCATGAACTATGGTAAAAGAGATCGTTGTTTAGTTGCAGATATTTACAAATTCTTCTTTAAACCTTTATTAACCCCATATGAAATGAATGAAAGACAAGTTCGCATAATATATCTACCACTTCGTTCCTACTTCCATTGACTTGTTGTCAAGTGTTGGGATCGAGTTCGGAAAAAAAATTATTTGCTGAACTCTTCATCTTGATTCGTATAAGTTGCTTTAAATAAAGCTGGGTTACTATTGATGAACACTGTAAACACTTTTTAACCATTCATCTGAACCACTTGATGGTTAAATTATTAGCTAACCATTCTAAAAAACCACGGTATATTAACCGTTTCATTATTTTGAGTATCAGTAAACATATAGACTGAATCTATCTCTAAAAAGTAACTTCTATTCTTCAGAAGGTTATTCCTTCACAAACCAGTGCCTTGACTATGACTGGAAAACACTTTATTTTTCTAATGATTTGCTTCAATCATGGTCTTATTATGAAAGTACCAAAGTTGTTGGAAAGGTCCAGATTTACGTAATGAATTCTTGCAAGTACATTCTCATTTAGCAAAACCCTCAAAGAACTAAATAGTATACACCTGCCTGGATCATTTTAAACAATCTAGCCGATTTCGCTGATTGGATTGAATGAATAACAACTGGTCATTTCCCTGAGTGATTTATTGTATACTAACAATACTTTGTGTTTTTGAGCTTAATCCTTAAAAGAATTTAATTCGATCGCATTTAAATAGTCTACTTTTAAAAATAAATCTATCATTTAGTGAATTTTAAATATTTCTATACTGATGCTGTTATTCGGAAATTACTCTTCAATGCCAACGTATTACGTCATTATTGATTTATGTTCTTTGATTTACAAATTTTATTTTTACAGAATTTCATTGGTGTGCTGCATGTCGAACCACCTCATCTTCAGCTACTGATGACTTCGAAGAGGAAGAGGAAGATCCATCTGAACATGGACTGGATGATGGCGGTGGTGGACATCGTAGTCAGTCATCATCACAACAACATCAGTATTTTTTCTGTATTCCATTGAAAGGGTGAGTTATTTAATTTCAATATCTTAATGTCTATCATTTATTTTTGATGAACACCCTCTTTATTTTTTGGTTATTATTAGGAAATTAATTAGAGTTATGAATTGTAAGTCCATATTTTGAGCAAAAAAAACAACCAATTAAATAAGGAAACAAATTGATTTATAGATTAGAAGGGGTTTTGTGGAGATTTTAGTAATTTTATAGTTAAAATCATGTGTCAGTTGACGCTAGATCACGATGAAATACCTGGAAGCACTGAACGGCCACTTCGTCCTATTGTGGGACTCCTCAGCAGTGCGCGTCCACGATCCCGCCTCACGAGATTCGAACCCAGGACCTACCTGTCTCGCACCAGAGCACTTATCCAATAGACCACTGAGCCGGCCGGCATCCGACAGTGTTAATGTCTAACTTCAACCAATCCACGAAGTTTGAGCAACCGTTCATCAATTGTCTTCAGTGAGTTGATATCTCTACAACAGACGTGGTTTAAACTCCACTGGTCACTGCTCCCCACTAGAATTCCGGGAAATATCTTTTGAAGTCAGTCACTAGTGAGCATATGATTATAGATCAGAAGAGGTTTTGTGGAGAATTCGGTATTTCCATAGTTGATTTATGTTGGAATTAGAGTTAATAATACAATTTTGTTTGATATCCATTAGTATCAACCGGTTGTTATACCACTATTTAGGTATCAGTAAATTATTTATCAACTCATATACACATAAAACGGATCTATGAATGTACTTTTTTGCACAATGGAGTCTATCTTCTTGTGTAGGAATGCACACAGTCTTCTGTATTTGACCATAGGCGTATTTGATTTAATACTGTGCCAAGTATTCAATTCTGTAAATATGATGAAACGATGAAGAGGATTTGTATCTCAAGTGGATACAATTGACTGTGTTGTGTTCTCTTAGCTGTCTGATTTAATTAGTAAGCTTTCATTATCGTTGTGGATATTATCACGCGCGCATACTTTATGTAAGAGTCACTTGTCTGGTTAATCCATATATGTTATATTAGCCAGTGTTGATGACCATGTATTTTTATTTATTTTATTTAAACACATAAATATTGGTACAAGGGAGGACCAGATATGTATACGCCGCATAAATCTCATTTGATTTTTATGAGGGCTGTGGTACTGCCCAGATGCCCAAACTGAAGAAGGTGGTTTTCTTAGGGGACCACATCCGGAGCAATTGACGTAAAGGTCTAATCCACAAGGCAGTGGAGCATTGTGAGGAAATGCAATCCCATGTTAGCCGGTGATCAACGATTGATTCATACTCTATTTGTTCCTTCACGATACTGGAGCTCATATACACCATTGATTTGGAATGAGGTTTTTCCAACTCACCTAGGTGGACTTTCCATGTCCACCAAACCGATTAGAGCGTCGAACATTCGCTTTTCGTCCTTTGAATTTCGTAGACAACACCCGTGGTGCGAGAAGACAGTGAGTAAGACTTCCCTGTCAGAGGCTATATAGGCGTGGCTATATGAGAGCATTTGGAGATGGAGAGTGAACTCTCTTCACTCTCGGCGGTACGAGGGCATTCGGGGGCTAGTTTGTAGTTTATATTTTATTTTGTAATCATACAAAGTACTAAAAAACACAAGATTCAAACTTGAAATACTTAATCAAATAACTTTGTAGAAACCTCTCCAGTAATCAAACATCTACTTCACAACACTCAATGCAAATGAACAAAAAAACCGGTAATATCTTTCCTTGAAGGTTTTACATTATGTTTTGGAAATCAAAAAAAAAGAGAAGCTATTCATATAATTATAAGTATCTTAATTATTCTAGAAGCATTGAAAAGTAAAAAGCAGATGATATAATTTATAAGTAATATCATGTTTATCCAATCAAAATAAAGAATAGAAAATAAGTAACCTTTTTATGGATTTTTATTTTTGAAAACTTTCAATGAGTTCTGATTGGTTAAAATATTGTTAGTATTTCCCCCCCCCCATTAGCTTTTGAAGAATTTCCAAATATGATATATATATTTTATTTTATTCTATTTTAATCTAACTATCATGTAAATATATTCTTTCTATTAAAAAGGGTTACATTATAATTACCTTTATTATCTTAAACTGAATGTAATTACATAATGATAGAATGTCATATTATTATAATTGAATGTAAATTGTACAAAAAAAAACAAATTTAACCTAATAATAAAACTGACCTAAAATTTCAAAACAAAAAAAATTTCGTTTGAACTATTAATATAATAGAATTGATCAGTCAGTTAGTCAATTAGTCACAACGTAGAACTTTGTACGTACGTACATCAGTTCGAGTTGCCATACTACATTAACACAGAGATACAGTTGTCGATTCAAATCTCATAGTGATAGAAGTAGTAAGAGTATAAGCATTATGTGAAAGATTAGGGTTTCAAGATCTTATTCAAATTGTATAATCCAATGAAATAAATTTGAAAAGAGAAAAAAGAAAGGAACATGAAGAATTGAGAAGATTAGAATTTGGCAGAGAACACAAAGAGTGGATACACCTAGGCCATTACAAACGATTTTGAGCCATGTCATTCAAAGTCTCTAACCATTGATTGTTATCATCTCACTTATCCCAACCAGGTAGTCTACACTTATCAACATGGCTCAGTCCACTTGTCAGTGAATCCATGGATTTGTGTCACGTTTTGATTTGGCCGCCCTTAGCTTTCCTCCATCCTACTCTTACGCCATAAAACATGGAATTGGAAAATACACTCAATAAATTGTCGTATTTAGTATGCCTATAGTTAATAGTATTTATGCTCTATGAAACTGATTGAAGTATTTTTATTCATAGTTAGTCAGGAAGATATTGTTATGAGAAGGAACAAATTAGAGAAGACTTCAGAATGAGAAACAGAAACCATTCATTAACTCATATTTGCCAGTTTTGGAGATTTTGGAAGATTGTAGTATTTTTAACAATTGAATTCACAAGTCAATCTAAGCTAGACCAATACTCAAAACCCAGAAGCACTGGATAGCCACTTTGTTCTAGTATGCGATTCCTCAGCCGTGCGCACTCACGATCCCGCATGCTCAACTCGAACTCATGACCTGTCTTTCTTACGAACCCTTAACCTTTAGGTTATGCAAGATCATGGGTCGAATGCAGTTAGACATTAACACCATTGGGTGTTGGCTCAGCGTTCTAGAGGTTAGGAGTTCACGCGCGAGAGCAAAGGTTCTGGCTTCGAGTCTCGCGTGTGGAATCGTGGATGCGCACTTCTGAGGAGCTACGTACTAGGACGAAACGGACTTCCAGTGCCTCCAGGTCTAGCTTAGATCGACTCACAAATCCAACTGTTAGCATATTTGCAGTGTTAGTGTTGATTTTGACTCTCGATATTAATTGATTCGCTTTTTTTGTGCGAAGTGATACAATTTTTTGTATTCGGGATTTCAATCCTCTTGTTCCTAAGGTTTTTTTTATAATTTAACCTTCATCAGTGACACAAATTTCTTAAGTTTGTATATAATTAAATAGTTTGGAAGAATTATCTAAAACGTTTTTCGCTTTAAAATTCCTTATTATTCATCTATCAATTAGGAAAAGACACGTTGGGTCTCAGTGGTTATCTAGCTAAGATAAGTGAGTGATGTAAATTGTGAGAATATTTATTTACATTATGTCGGGGAAAAATAAGTATAACTGTGTTATATGCTACCAAACCTATACTGATTGAAAAAATCAATTTTTCTTTTAGAAGGCGATCACGGCGGTGGAACCGTCGTTGTCGACGTTCTTGTCGTCGGCTTGTTAAATCTCAGACATTTTACTGGATAGTTATAGTCCTTGTTTTTTTAAATACTGGTGTTCTCACTTCAGAGCATTATGGACAACCACTGTGGCTTGACGATTTTCAAGGTAAAGTTTTGACATGTATATATACTATTGCAATTTGATTATTACTGTTTCATTTTAATAATATTATACGTCTTACTTTAAATCAAAAGTTTCTATTTACGGTTGATTGATGTAAAGCACGACCAATTAGATAGAATCGATGACTGATATTACTTAAACAGTACTCAAGGGTAATGAAGATATAGTCAAATAGTGATTATGAATTTCTTTCAAAAGTCATGAAGTCTACTTTCATAAAATTGAATACTAGAGTATTCAAGACAATGTAAAACGACATAGCTGTCCCACTTTATTAATACATAACATCGTGAGACCCATTGACCTACTAACCATTTCCTTGTTATTCATAGTCTACATCATTATTGGAAAGAGAAACATCGCTATATCCAAGAGATTATGTCAAATAAGCTCTAAATAAGTTGGTCTATCCCTTTTGAATTTTATGTAGCCACACAAGAAGCACCAATAAACCCCTATTACAACTCTGAGACATTTTATGAAGCGGTCAGTCATTATGTCAGTAATTATGAAGGCAATTTAATTCTATTAATGACAGGGATAGATCTATGGAAAACATAATATTAATCATTACCGAACTCTCAAAACACTAATAGAAACCAGGTCGACACAAACAACTGAATGTTCTTATCGTTAATTTTGGGCACGTTTTGTATCTTAAAATTATGGTTGACACGAAGTTTGGTCATTCCGGTAACTACTTGAATAGGCACGTGGATTGTTCTATTGATGTGAAGATCTATGTGTTAAAATTATCTCATTTAAGAATGTCTCCAATTGTTTGAAAAGTATACAAACATTAGAACTGTTTGCTTAAGTAAATGAATTTCAAAATTGTAAAGGCAAACCACTCCAATGAAGCTCTTATGCATTAAAACACTTAAATGATTTCCAGAAACAAAATACAAACAGATGAACAAATAGAAAAAGTCTGAAAATATTGGAAATCTATTGTGAACCTAATTACTGGAAAGTATGTATGTTCATTCTTGAGACAGATTGCTTACTGGAGTCAGTTAAACAAAAGAGTTTCTACACTTAGATATTGACTTGGATCCAGGAAATACCTAAGGAGTACAAAGTTGTGTATTACTTAACTTGTTCATTACAAATATGTCATAAGTGGTGTTACGAGTAAATAGTGAGATTAAACACATGATTGAACGCATGTCTACACCTCAACTTTATCTATCCTTCCATTGGTTGTAAACAGAGACAATCAATAATTAATATACAATTGACTAACCCTAAAAAAAATACACATATATATTTCAACCTTTTACTCACTCACTCGCTCCCCAGTGTCCTTAGTCTCTTACATGCTTGTGGATTTTATAATTAATGATTAACAATACACTATTCCATCAATTGATATTCTGGTTTTTGAATATTCCCAAGTAAATTCATATTACTACTATGAGAACTGGCCCACTGAAATACTAAATTAACGAGATATTATGTATTCAAGTCAAATGAAAAAGAATTAACTAATTCTGAGACTATGTTATTAATGTAAATTCATATAGTATTGTTTTGTTTGAAACTGCCAATAAGAGACTAACTATTTATCTTTGCTTCCAATGTTTGTGAATTAAGGCTATATCGAGGCAATGCGCACAGTATGCACATATGCCAATAAGAGACGGATCAATTTGTTATATATTGTGACCGAGTGGATGCCCAGTTAATGTATGAACATGATAAGACCGCCAATCAGAGAGCAGTGGATTATCGATTGGAATAGTGACACAGGAAAACCGTACGAGCAGTCTAGAGTGCTTATCGATCCTGCTTCTGCCTAGCACAGTCAGTTAAGTCCAGAACATCAATAACAGCCTCTGTGGTATGAATCATTGTATTTCAAACATACTGAGTTTATATACCAAATAGATTGATCGCATCGTACCAATAAAATAGAAAATAATATTTGTACAAGATTCAGCCAAGTGTTACTGTGAATAGGAGGAACAGTAATCAATAGACTCGGTATAACTCAGGAATGGTAAATCGTACAATAATAATCCAAGGGTCAAAATAAAGCTCACAATGAAATGAACATGAATATGAGTAGTTTAATTATTTAGCAAATATACGATAAAAATTATATGCATAATATTTGTCCATGAATGGATCCTAAAGTTACCATTCACTATTGTTATCGGGATATAACACAATTTCAGTCCTAAACATCAATGGGATGATACAAACAAACAATACTAAGTGAATTTAAACTTCCTCCATTGCACAAACAAGTGGCTATCAGGACTCAGTAACTGAGTGGATAACACGATGGCATTTGAAGCGAATGGTACTGGGTTCGAGTCTCAGACTGAACATCAACTCTGAGACGTAGGTATATTCCATCTGACGAGTCCCAAATAAGACGAAGTGTCGCGTTTCCTGGATTCCATTGTTAGCTAATATCCAAATTTGCTTAGTATATTATTAATGTTTAATAATATAAATGTTATTTGGATACATTATGGAAAATTTCATTCTATACCAAACCAATTTCATAATAGGGTAGTTTTGTAACATAAAAAAAACACTTCATGGAATCGATCAATAAAATTAGTTAGTATTTAAAAAATTTTTTCCCATTTATATGACAACAGAGTTTTAGTTATGGTTGTCTTTTTTTCCACATGACAACGTATTTATTTTTTTTCTATATTGTCATCGGTACTTATTATTTTTTCATTTCTCTCTTTTCCCTCCCCTACCCCCTCTCATTTTTTTTATTTTTATTATAGATATGGCCAATATTGTATTTGTTGTCCTGTTTTCTATTGAAATGTTAATTAAAATGTATAGTTTAGGAATACGATGTTATTTTGATTTTATGTTTAATCGATTTGATTTTTTTGTTGTTATATGTAGTATTATTGAAGTTGTTCTAATACAAACTAAAGTTATGCCACCATTAGGTGTATCTGTATTACGTTGTGCACGTTTATTACGTGTATTTAAAGTAACCAGGTAAGATTATTTTGTTGTTAACTTTATGATAACTTTATATTTTTCGTAAATATTACTACTGAATGATTAATGAGTAGTGATTAGTATGATGTGATCATGAACCGATCACTATTAGACTAAAATTAAAAACCTGAAAGAATTCATTCTAGTGTAGTGAACAAGAACATAAGTAGGAACAATTGAATGTATTCGGATACGAAATTACATTACGTCTTAGTAAAATCTGAGAACTATATAGTAAATACTTCATTTGTAAAACATTAGTCAATCGTCTCAGACTTTATTGTTCTTTCATTTCCATACAAATCATTTTCTGTTCTTGTTCTCTTTTTCTTCGATCTTCTTAACTTCCTACTTCCAGGCATTTCACTTCCGATTGATGCCAGGTACCTATCCATATAAGTAGCACACATCAAACTAGTAAGGGACTAGTTAGCAGTGCGCATCCACGAAGAAATTTCAGTCATTTGTTTTCGATTCCGATATTAAACACATTTTTTCCCATTGATAAGTTCAAATAGCGACAACAAGTATGGATGAATTGTAAAGTGATAAGTTGGATGAACATTTTTATGCTACTAACCATGAAATTTCTAGATGAAAGCCATCTTGAAACTCTATCTTAGATAATGAATATTCGTGAAAAAGTTACATAATAACAGTAGAATTCTATGTAATCATAGAGTAAGAGGAGTAAAGTTCGAGAAAACTCAAAAACAGGAAAAGAACTTTTTGTTGCGAATGTGAAATAAGATATAGCGTCAGTGAATTATGGAAGAATATAAAATTCCAATTTAATACGTTAGTTTGGTCGCAATTTTTTCATCATAATGGCCTTGACGTAACGTAGTAATTTCGAAATTGTCTAGGTACAGTTTATTTTGAAGGGTTTTAAAATCTCAGCATTGTATCCACTACCTAGCATATGATGAGCAATAGTATAGTGCTACTGCTTGATAACTAATTATTATTATCGTTTTTAGGTTGTAAGCAACTGATAAGAATCTATGAAATAAATTCACTTCTTTGCACTTCGTTTGTTGTTGCTGTTATGTTCATATTTTGACATCAGTTGATTGACAACCTTACATGAGGTTGAAATCTTGGGTTTTAATATCAGGCTTTTAACTAGTACATTTATAATCTTAATACAATCGAGAAAACTTGTTTTATAAAATACATTACTGTCTATCCAAAGAAAAGTTGTTTTCTAATTTACTATCCAACCTCCTGTGTTGTTTCCTGCAGTTCTTTTCAATTATTAATGTACATTCTAAATTCTTGCTTAACTGTCTATAGAGAGAAAAAACAAAGACTTAGAAAAATGCTTTATTTCCAAAATGTGGTTGACAATATATAAAATTTATAAGTAATTATAGGTTGCTGTACTGATCTGAACAGAACATATATTGCGATCGTCTTAGTTACATGAATAATACTTACTTACTTACGCCTGTTACCCCTCATGGAAGAGCATAGGCCTCCTAACAGCACTCTCCATCCAACTCTGTCCTAGGCAATCCTTTCCAGTTCTTTCCAGTTAAAATTCATCCTTTTTCATATCCGCTTCAATCTACCAGCGTAATGTGTTCTTTGATCCTCCTCTTTCCCTCTTCCCTTCCGGATTCCAAGTTAGCGATTGCCTCGTGATGCAGTTTGGTGATTTCCTTAATGTATGTCCGACCCACTCCCAACGTCTATTCCAAATTTTCTCCTCACCTGGAAGTTGATTTGTCCTCTCCCATAAAACGCTGTTGCTGATAGTATTCAGCCAGTGAATGTTAAGTATTTCGCGTAAACAACTGTTTATAAATACCTGTACCTTATTGTATATGAGTAATGGTCCGGCAAAATTAAACTTCTTAATCACGATGTTGGCTTATGCGAGCACTTGTCGTGTCTAGTCTTGAAACGAAATATTATTTTTTTGGTTTGATCCGGTCTATCATAGAGACAACTAAACTATTGTTTATTCCTATGTGGTGATTTATGTTTATATACACGTATTCAAAGCAAGAATTTTTTTTAATTTTTGCAATGATCACATTGAATTTAAAAACTAAGCAGGAATCTGATATGCTTGAGCTAAGTCGATTTTCTTGGTAACGAACGAAGGCCAATGATATAATGACATGATAGGCTAATCTAATCCGTTGTCCCAGGCCCAGCTAACTAGAGGAAGAAGTCCAAGGCGAAGTAGGGGGAAATATATTTCGTAAGCAGCCGAGTACAAGCAAGTCGTAAGGGGAAAAAATTCAAACGTATTTATATAGCGATAATTTGTCCTTGTGCAGCATTACAAAATAACACACTCAAAGATACAACGGACCAATAGCATTTAAGATATTTTATAAGTGGGAAATACTACTTGAAGGTAAAAATAGCACCTTTGACGCAAAAACAAGGAAATTCAAATTTTCAAAGTAAAATTACAAAATTAAGCTATTTACCAAGTAAGTTCTGGGGATTTGACATCCCCAACAGAATCAGTAAACGGTGAATACTTTTCTTAATTCATGCAGCTTTTTATGTCTCAGATAAATGAAAACATGACTCCAAACTAAACATGTAGTATTGACCATTTTAATGAGATTTATGTATGTTTCTTACACGAAATTATGAGATATAATTCCTGTAAAATAGTAGATTATCTAGTTGGTTTTACAACTCATCCAGGCGAGACTATAATTTATGGACGAGCCAATCAGAAGAGCTTATGGGATTTCAAGGTCGCAGCGCCAATTTCAGTACCTGATACTCATGTACAATCGGTTCACAGTGGATTTTAGAGAAAACGTGACAATTAAGAGACTACAATAAATGGGACTACTAAGAAGCTCATTTATTTGCAATTACGGTAATCAATTGACTTGTAGACCTTGGGCAGATTACCCTGATTATGTTGTCTTTCGATGTAATATATGTTAGAGGAAGAAGTCTGCTAGAATAGGAACTTTTTCTCTCGGTCCAGATTATAATAATTGCAGTGAACTGTATAATTAAAACACCAGTATGATTGGCTGCAATATTCGCAGATGTTACTGAAGCTTTGGCTGTTCAGAGGTATGAGCGTTGTAGTGATATGTGCGTAATAAAAATGACAAACTTACACAACCGGAGTACACAGAAACAATATTGAAGCTGTTGGGCCATAGGGATGAGTTTCTCTCCCTTATGTATAACGATTTTAGAACATTTTGAACCTCTTTTTAACCTTGCCAAGTTTTTGGACCATGTAAATGAAGTGTATCCACTTTAATTCTTTGGTTTAGTATAATATATTTTTACTCTATGCTGACTGTTTCCTGGTTGGCTAATATTTCTCAAAGTTACTTAAGATTCGTTCAAAGGTCTTCTATAAATTATAGTATCGCCCTCATCCAATTTATAAAGTAATTACTTGTTTTGTAAGTCATGATGATATAGACTTGACGCCTACTGTTTTGGGGAAAGTCACAAATTTCAGAGATTTAATTTAACTGACTGTAATGTTACTTCGTCTTGTTGAAGTTATAATCTAGTTAGACTAATCGTCTAGAATTATGAAGTTTTCGCTATTCGAAATACATTTATGTATACCCCAGTTGTTTTAATGAGATGCATGAAAAACCTTTGAAATTTAGTTGAAACTATCAATTTATATTACATTGATATATGAATGAATTCTGGTAAAGTTCTATTTAATTATCGGATTGGTTGGAGTTAGACATAAACACCATCGGATGTTGGCCTGGTGGTCTATCAGTTATGAGCTCTGGTGCGAGACTGGTAGGTCCTAGGTTCGAATCTTGCGAGGTGAGGTCGTGAATGCGCTCTGCTGAGGGGTCCCACAATAAGACGAAGTGGCCGTCTACTTCTTCCGACTAACGCTTTCCACTTAATTATTGCAGGTAGTCAATATAATTCTATGATTGTGACTTACACATCAATTTATACAATACCTATATATTTCAACATTATTCAACATTTGTCTGTTTATCTTCTTCTTTTTTTTTCTTTCTTTCTTTACTTTATATCTTTAGATATTGGAGTAGCTTACGTAATTTAGTTGGTTCATTATTAGCTAGTTTAAAATCAATTGTTAGTTTATTAGTTCTATTATTTTTATTCATTGTAATATTTGCATTACTTGGTATGCAATTATTTGGTGGAAGATTTAATTTTCCTAGAGAAGAAAAGCCAAGATCAAATTTTGATAGTTTTTATCAATCATTAATAACAGTTTTTCAAGTGAGTAATTTTTCATGTTTCTATGATTATCCATAAACAATATTTGTTTTCATAGTTGAAATCATGAGTTAATTAAAGTTAGATCACTATGGAAAACCTGAAAGCCCTGAACAGTTATTTCGTCCTATTGTGGTTTTTCAATTTCGTGGATTAGTTGAATTCAGACATTAACACCGTTGAATGCCGGCCGGTTCAGTGGTCGAGTGGTTAAACGCTCGCACGCAAGACTGATCGGTCTTGGGTTTGAATCTCACTAGGTGGAATCGTGGATGAGCACTGCTGAGGAGTCCCACAATAGAACAAAACGACCGTCCAGTACTTTTCAGGTTTTCCATGGTGGTCTACCATCAATTGACTCATGATTTCAACTATATAAAATTACTTAAATCTCCACAAAACCCCCTTATGATTACCTCCTAATTATTAAGTATTGAATCCAATTGAACATAATGCGATTCGTTCTTAAGTGACGTTACTGTTTATTTTTTCTTCTCAGATCCCCTGAAAATTTCTTATCATACTTATTATTTACTAAAGTCAATTGATCTCTTAGTGATTCCTTAGATTCTACTTTTTTTTCTCCTTTTTAAATACTAGATTTTAACTAGTGAAGATTGGAATGAAGCTATGTATAATGGAATTCGTTCATATTCGAATAGTCGTGTTGGTATTATGGTCTGTTTGTACTATGTTATACTTTTTATTTGTGGAAATTGTATCCTTTATTTAATTGTTAATAAAAATTTTTGCATTGATAACTTTGAGATGATTGTAATGATTCATTAATAGTTCAGAAGGGGTTTTGTAGAGATTTAAGTAATTTAAGTTAGATGAAATCATGAGTCAATTGAAGCTAGACAACTATGGAATACCCAGAAGCACTGGACGGTCATTTCGCTCTATTGTGGGACTCCTCAGCAGTGCCCATCCACGATCCCACACCCGGAACTCAAAACCAGGATCTATTGGTTTCGTGCTCTCATTAAAAGCTTCTGTATAACTTTGATAGTGTAATAAGAAGATGAAGATTATCAGAACTATGTAATGATATATTAGCGCAATACATTTCGAATCAATCTGATCACATATTGTAGACTTGTTAAGAACATTTATAGATAAAAATAAAGGGTTGTCTAGACTAGATATGGAGAGTAAGAGGAGACAAGACGTATTACGCAGTATAGGTCATTATGAAAGAATGAACATGGTCCAGGATTCATCAAAACCCTAAAAGAAGTGGGGAAAAAATGAAAGGAATAAAAAAAGCGTCACATCCAACTGTGTTTACCAATTTAAATATGTGTGTGGTCACACATATACAGGGAGGAGTATTCTTGATTTCAAAATTAGAGTGTGCATACATGTAGCTAAGTAGTTGCAGAAACAAATAAAATCAGGTGAACCAATAAGAGTAGAGGATAAACATAGGGTTGAAACAGGTCATTAGATTGATCTTAACTTGACTTTTGTGGTATTGTACAAAAGTATAAAAAGGAGTATACTAAAGGCTTATTGAAGTCTTAGCCATACGAAAATTCAAACCCCCTTTGTGTATTCAAAAAACAGTTTGTTCTCTCCTTAAACCTACCTTGGTAATATATGCTTATTATCCAGAGTGATTAAGTGTCAAATTGTTTTCACACTATTTTTATCATTATTATCCCCCATAACTAGTCTAGTCGATCCTTTATTTTTATCTATAAATGTTCTTAACAAGTACTTGTGTGATCAGATTTTTTCAAATGTATTGCGCTCATATATTACATAGTTCTGATAATCTTCGTCTTCTTATTACTACACTATCGAAATTTATCAAAGGGAAAATGGTGACATTTATGTCATAAGTATTAAACTTAATAATATAGGTTCACTTGGTATTGTTTGTTTGAATTTTCCCATCGATGTGTTAGAGCTGCAACTGGTCAGTCTCTAATTGGCATATGTGCATACTGTGCGTATTGCCTCGACATAACCTTAATTCACAAGCATGGTAAGCAAAGATGGATAGTGGCTAGCAGTGGAATCCAGGACGCGCGTTTCGTCCTATTTGGGACTCGTCAGCTGGATGTACCTGCATCTCAGAGTTGATGTTCACCCTGGGACTCGAACCCAGTACCCTGGCTTCAAACGCCATCGCGTTATCCACTCGGCCACTGAGTCCTGATAGCCACTTGCTTGTGCGATGGGGTGAAGTTTAAATTCGCTTGGTATTGTTTGTTTGAATCTTCCCATCGATTTTTTGCTAATATAGGGTTCATAATTTTAATACGGTTTTCATTTTCTGCATGGAGAGCAGTTCTTAGTGTGCAAACATGTACTCAACTACACTCTCTGTTCATTGTCAATTTTAAGTCGAATTTCAATTCTTCTTTTATATACACAAATGAGTTGTACTTCATGGATCGGTGAAGTTAAACATTAACACTGTTAGATGCCGGCCGGTTGAGTGGTCTATCAGTTAAGGGCTCTCGCTCGAGACTGATAGGTCCTGGTTTCGAATCTCGTGAGGCGAGGTCGTGGATGAGCACTGCCACTGAGGAGTCTCATAATAGGACGATACTGCTGTCCAGTGCTTCCAGGTTTTCCTTGGTGTAGTTTCAATCGACTTATGATTTCAACTATGAAAAATATTGCAGTACAATTATTTCTTCATTTTTCAGCTTTATTACCATAGACCATTTACTAATATAATGTCTTTATTTATTATAATTACCATCACAAAGAAGGTATGGTTATAGAGTTGGTATATATAAATATCAGCATAATTTCCTTAACTCGGAAATAATATATAAATAGATATACTTCTCAATGTCTTTTTGGCTATTGCTGTTGATAATTTGGCTGATACTGGTCAAATAGAAGAGAAAAAAGAAGAGACAGATAATGGTGATAAATCAAATAATAATGAAAATGAAGTTACCAGAAGTGAAGATATAATTGAAGGAGAAAGAGATAAAGATAATAGAATTTATCAATCAATAGATGATCGTAAAACATCTACTACTACAACTACAATTATCAATACAGAAAGTAAATTAACTGAAGTACATCATGAATTTAATGATGTTACACAATTATTAGATCAGTTAAAGTAAGACATTTTTGATTAAACCAAAAAATGCCCAAGTTATATGATGAATTTTTCTTAATAAGTGTATTCATGACTTGATCGATAGCATTCGATCAGCACTAAGAAGGACTTGACACGCATGACATTGATCACCACTCAGTGATCAATCAATTGTGATTACATCTCAGTCCTACAGGAGGTTGGTCGCTGCCCGAATAACTCAGTGGTAACGTCTCTGACTGTGAAGCTGAGTGACACGGGATCGAATCCGTCAAGGAGCACAAGTTCCCTCAAGATTACAGGTACACCTTAATGACGAATGTCAAGTGTCAGGAAACCTATGTTCAGGGTTTCTTGTTGACCACCTCCAATCACCATCTTACCTCAATATATATAGTGCAAGCAGTGTCGAGCCACCTAGACTAATGGCCACATTGCAACTTGATCGATAGCATTCGATCAGCACTAAGAAGGACTTGACACACATGACATTGATCACCACCCAGTGATCAATCAATTGTGAGTATTCATGACTCATTAGCTCAAGGATTTATGTTTCATAGTACCTCATTATGAGGTCTAAAATCAACAACTTTTTTAGTATGTTAAACCTGGTATTACTTAAAACCATTGAAAGTAGGTTTAGAAACAAGTGTGGATCGTTTGGTACGATAAAAATGAATGTTTGGACATGTGGTTCACAACTCCATTCTAAAGAAAAGAACGTTGCTTAAAGAAAACTATAACCAGAAAAAGACACCTAAACAATTTAGACTCTATTCTGATGCTTGAAGTATCTTTATAAAGAAGAGTTGTGATGCCTCATGATGAAAGACGAGATTTTTTGAAAATTAAAAGTTTGATGCTACTTTAGTCAAACAGAGCAACAATTAAAATTAGGTTAATGACTATTCTTTAAGATTTCAATTTTTAATTTTTGGAAATACAAATGTTGATAAGTTGATAAGTGGATTTTTATATTATCACGAACGAAATCTGATTAAAATCAGTCCATTGATTTATAGGGTGTATTAATAGTCTATAATTTTCTGTAATAGTTCTTAAACCATTATATTCTATTTGGGAATGATAATGTTTTTTATAAAAATACATTATAGTACTCTTAAAAAAGATCAAACCAAATTTTTTATTGAATTACATTACATGTTGATTCATTACAAAGTAAACCTAATTAACTTTCTTATATTGTTAGAATGTTTCTCATTTTTGTAAATCCAAAATTTATATATAATTTGACGATGGATTACATAATCACATATTCTGTTATGTTGGTAATATAGCTAAGGGTGGCCAGACCAAAACGTGTTACGTATGCCCAACCACTGACTGGCCCGACGTGCGATGTTTTATAGTGTAGGAGTAGGTTAGAAGAAAGCTAGGAGCGGCCAAACATAGACTTGTCACAAATACATCAAGTTACTGACAAGTGGACTTAGCCATATTGGTAGGTGTATACTACCTGGTTGGGATTCGCGAGATGATAACAATCGATGGTTAGAGATTTTGAATAACATGACTCAAAATCGTTTGCAATGGAGAAGGTGCATTCACACTTCGTGTTCTCTGCCAAATTCTGATCTTCTGAATTCTTCATGTTCCTTTCCTTTTTCTCTTTCCAAATTTGTTTCATTGGATTATACACTTTGAATAACATCTTCAAACCTTAATCTTTCGGATTACTGTTTATACTCTTATTACTTCTACCCACTATGGGATTTGAATGGACAACTATATCTCCGTGTTAATGCGGTATGGCAACGTGAACTGACATATGTACGTACGAAGTTTGACGTTATGACTGACTCAGAAAATTATAGAGCTCTAAAGAAATACTCTAAAATAAATCTTATACTATGTCGAAATACTCAATGATGACTAGATTACTTTTTGTATATTTCAACTTCTGTTATGTTGCTAATATACCTAGGGGTAATCAGACCAAAATGTGACACAAATCTCTGAAATCACTGACAGGTAGACTGAGCTATCTTAATAGGTAAAGACTACCTGGTTGGGATCAGCGGGATGATAGCAACCAATGGTTAGAACTCTAGAGAAATACTATACAAAAATCGTATACTATATAGAAGTACACGATCATGATTAGATCACCTGAAGTTTGTGCTAATGATATCGTTCGGAATAACAATAAAAGCTCCACAATCAAATCATCCAGCTCAAAGAACAAACCTACATCAAGATTAGATTACTTTTTGTAGCATAAAATTTAATATCAGAAGGGGTTTTGTGGAGATTTTAGTAAGTTATAGAGTTGAGATCATGAGTAAATTGAAGCTAGACCACCTGGAAGCACTGGACGGCCGTTTCGTCCTATTATGGGACTCGAATAAGGGCTTCGGCTTGAAACTGTTAGGTCCTGGGTTCGAATCCCGCGAGAGTGGGTTCGTGGATGCGCACTGCTGAGGAGTCCTATAATAGAACGAAACGGCCATCCAGTGTTTCCAGGTTTTCTATGGTGGTCTAGCTTCAATTGACTCATGATCTCAACTCTATAAAATTTAATAGTCAAATTTTTCAATTTCAGAGCTCATTCAAAATTATATCATTTTATATCATCTTTTTATATTTCTTTTTTACTTTTATATTCATATTACAAAAGTGAATTAATTTAATTTAATTATGAAATTTTATAATTCTTATTTAATTTCCCCATGGAATTTATATATAAATTTATATTATCTTCATATTATTGATTTTTTTTTTTAGAATTTAATTTTGTTTCCGGGTTTTGTTGTTAAGCAAGATTTTTTTTTAAGTGGGACATGGTTGTTGTTGTGCATGTTTCTGTTCATCATAATGATGTATAATTTATACATTAATTATGATTGAAAAGGAAAGATGTTTTTTTTCTTTGTTTTTTTCTTTCTTTTAATTCTATTGATTTCATTTAGAATCCTACAATATTTACAAATAAAAAAAATATAATTTCTGAATAATTAAATAATTTTAATTATAAAGATGGATAGTGGCTAGTTGCGGAATCTAGGACGCGTGTTTCGTCCTATTTGGGATTCATCAGCTGAATGTACCTGTATCTTAGAGTTGATGTTCACTCTAGGACTCGAACCAAATACCTTTCACTTCAAACGCTATCATGTTATCCACTGAGCTACTGAGTCCTGATAGTCACTTGCTTGTGTAATGGAGTAATACGCACAGTATGCACATATGCCAATAAGAGACTGACCAGTTGCAATCCTAAACATCAATGGGAAGATTCAAAAAAAATAATACTAAGTGAATTTAATTTTAATTATAGATAGTTGAATTCATAAATCAACCTTATAATCAAGAATGAAGATTTATTATGCTAATGAATATCAAACAAATATTAAACAGAAGGAGTTTTGTGGAGGTTTAGTATTTTCATAGTTTAAATCATGTGTCCATTGAAGCTAGATCACCATGGAAAACCTGGAAGCACTGAACGGCTGTTTCGTCCTATTTCGGGACTCCTCAGCAGTTCACATCGACGATCCCACCTCGCGATATTAGAACCCAGAACCTATCAGTCTTGCATGCGAGCGCTTAACCACTAGACCACTGAACCGGCCGGCATTCAACGGTGTTACTTCTCACTGTTGAGGAGTCCCACAATAGGACGAAACGGCCATCCAATGCTTCCAGGTTTTCCATGGTGATCTAGCTTCAATGGACACATGATTTAAACTATGAAAATACTAAACCTCCACAAAACTCCTTCTGTTTAATATTTGTTTGATATTCATTAGCATAATAAATCTTCATTCTTGATTATAAGGTTGCTTCCTATAAGATTCGGATTAGAGTCATATAGTGTAACAATGAATGCATCTCGTAGAACCTAAATATTCATGGTGATTAGCCCATCGTAATAGTCAAGTGTAGCATGAAAGCTGTAAAAAGGTCTTATATATTCAGCTTAAGTAAAGAAAATTGAATCCATGCCAAAATTTATTCGCTAGATATTAGTCTACTTTTTTTGTTTATTTGAGTGATTTTAACATTTACAAACATAGAAACAAAAACTGTACTTATATCAAGTCTTGGAGATGCTAAATCCTCAGAAATCATTTAGTAAATGTCTTACTTTAAAAAATTTATTTTACAAATTTTAATCTCTCATTTTCATGCTTAAAGCGCCCAATTTTACCTTCAGTTTGTACTCCCCATTTCAGTCAGTTATTCACTTACAACGTAGAACTTTGTACGTACGTACATCAGTTCGAGTTGTCATACCACATTAACGCAGAGATGCAGTTGTCGATTCAAATCTCATAGTGATAGAAGTAGTAAGAGTATAAGCATTATGTGAAAGATTAGGGTTTGAAGATATTATTCAAAGAGTATAATCCAGTGAAATAAGTTTGGAAAAAGAAAACGATAGCGATCTGAAGAATTGAGAAGATTAGAATTTGGCAGAGAACACAAAGAGTGGATACACCTAGGCCATTACAAACGATTTTGAGCCATGTCATTCAAGGTCTCTAACCATTGATTGTTATCATCTCACTTATCCCAACCAGGTAGTCGACACTTACCAATATGGCTCAGTCCACTTGTCAGTAACTTGATGTATTTGTGCCAAGTGTTTGTTTGGCCGCTCCTAGCTTTCTTCCAACCTGCTCCAACACCATTTGGAAGAACTTTAAATGTCATTGGTTCATTTCCTCTCTTAGTACGCTATTTTATGACATTTCTCAAGGACAATTTTGTATTGTATATATATATGTATATACATGATTTGTGTGTGTTTATCGGTGCTTATAACTACTTGTGGAATATACGTTTCCCTCGACTGAATCTGGTCTCCTTCCTATAATTAGCACGACTGGAGCTCAGTGTAGTAGTTTAACTTTTCGTGTTATCGTGTTGCTGACTTTCGTTCTGTTCGCCGGTTTTAGGTGATATCGTAATCACTTTAAATGTGGTAATTCATAGCTAACATGTAATATAGTGAATGTTTCTGACTGTTTTCTATGATTTTTCGATTGCTAAAGGTCATATCATGTTAAGAATTATCTAGCTTTTCCTTGACTTACAAAATAAATCAAAAAATTGAAATTGAAAGAAAAAACACTGGTTGTTGGGACAATTAATTATGAACTGATTTTTAGAGTGTATAAAACACTCTCGTTGTTTAAAAAATTTTGTCCCACCATTCTTCGAATAATCCAATTTCAAAATGCAAAGCAAATATTAGCCTTTAATGAATTCTATTTATTCTTATGATGAAACTAACCAATTATCTTCCGAATATTCTACATCAAAACTGAAAATGATCGTTCAGCAATTACTTGTTTTTTCGAATTATTTACTACATACGATTTCTTCTTGTTCTGAATACTTTAAAAATTTTATATCTTTTATCCTACCTCTAAAAATAATACCATTTGATTTCATGAACGAAATGAAATTAGGATCAATTAGGCCTCCATGTAATATATTAAAGTCCCTGCCCTTTGTACACACTGCCCGTCGCTATTACCGATTAAATGGTTTAATGAAGTCGTTGGATTGATGTCGTTGTAGTGGCTTTGCCACTCGACTGATGCTGAGAAGATGACCTAATTTGACTATTTAGAGGAATTAAAAGTCGTAAAAAGGTTTCCGTAGGTGAACCTGCGGAAGGATCATTAACATGACCCAAAAATATATAATGACGCATGCACCTGGCTTCGTGCTGGACTGCATGTACTCTGACTTAGTGGTATTTTTCCTAGGCTTCAGTGGTTGAAATTGAAAATATAAATACATAATTTATTCATTTTGTCCCTTTTAGTTTAGATCCAATCAATGAAGAAGGTGATGCTGATCGACGCTTATTTGATCGAGGTAAACTTGAAAATATTACCAAAATGCTTTTGTATTCTTGAACTAATTAACTATCAAGCTCACTTTGAAGTAGTATGATTTTAATTTATTTGTGATTAATAATTTCGTGTGTATTCATGTGTAGCTTTTCATCAACCGTGTGAATAGTCTAGAAGTTGATTCATATTCTGTTACGTCCTTAAATCTGCCTACCCACTTTCGTGCCGAGTATAACTTGTCTAATGTAGTTTAAGACCTTGACGCGATAAGCTGACTGGCTTAACCTTGAAGCTAGTATGAGTGAGTTCGAAGCGGGGTAGAGAAACGAAAACTAATCTTATCCCTGATTGACTGACAAGCACCAGAGAGAGAGAACACGAGACAACTGGAACACTACTCGCTTTATTCCAATCCCGATCTGATACCCGAATTTGGATTAGTGTAAAAGATACATGAATAAATAGATGATTAACTTGACCACAACGTAAAAATAATTAGGAAATACAATTATGTCCAAAACTGGAAGATTACAGTAGAAAATAGAGTTCAAAAGGTTACGTCTAAGTAACGATAGATTTGTAATAGAGAGGGCTATGGCAGTGAATCATACATCAAACGAAAGCTCATGATCTGTAGAATAGACTACGGGCAAAAGTAAATGTAACAGTTTTACAAGCTTTGAATTGAATGAAATAACGTCCTCAAAAATAGCTTTCGTAGTTTTTTTAAGGCTTTTTTTTCACGGTTCACATCATATTCTGATTTGTTACTTTTGTATGGATTATTTATTTGGATTTTTGGTAAAAGTAGCGAATAAGCGTTGATTCTCAAGATAATAATTGCTACTGATGCCGGTAGATATAAGTAGTATGTCTAATCAATCGAAAGTGAAATGCCTGGAAGCAGAAGATTAAGAAGATCGAAGAAAGAGAGAACGAGGGCAGAAAATGATTTGTGTGGAAATGAAAGAACAATAAAGTCTGAGACGATTAATTAATATTTTGCAAATGAAGTATTTTTCATAGTTGAAAGCGTGAGTCAATTGAAGCTAGACCACCATGGAAAACCTGGAATCACTGAATGGCCGTTTCGTCCTATTATGGGACTCCTCAGAAATGCGCATCCATGACCTCGCCTCGCGTGATTCGAACCCAGGACCTACCAGTCTCGCGCCAGTGAACTTAACCGATAGATCACTAAGCCGACCGGCATCCAACAGTGTTAATGTCTAACTTCAATCAATCCACGAAGTTGAGCAACCATTCACCAATTGTCTTCAGTGAGTTCCAATATCACAATAGACTTGGTTTTAACTCCACTGGTCATTGCTTCTAACTAGAACTCCAGGAAGTACCTCATGGAGGCAGTCACTAGTGAGCATATGATTTGTCAAAATTCCAATGAATTTCAAAATAACTACTAATATTACATAATCTATTTACTTATTTGCATAAACATAACAATCTAATCAATCATTCCACACTTCAATGACCTTCTCCTTGAAGCATTTTTATTTCTATTTTTGTAAGTACAGTTAACTGATTTGATGATCATTAGTATCTATGACTGTAAAATAAAAAATGCAGACATAACCACAACATCAGTTATTGTAGCATGAATATAATTCAATTCAAACTATTTATATCATTATTGACATCTGTGTCCATATTGTAAATATATCACAAGCTTAACTCAAATTTTGTCTTCGATTGATTTTCAAATATAGAAGATAAACGAAGAACAGATGATATGGATGATGATGGTGATGATTTAAAAGAAGATCAAAGTAGAGATAGTCATGATGATAATGATAATGATGATGATAGAAGTGTAGATGAAAATGATAAAATGAAAGATACAACTAGTTCTAGACGTCATTCAGAAATTAGTTCAACAAAGAAAATAAAACCAATACCAAATGCATCTTCATTTTTTATATTTAATCCAACTAATCCGTAAGTAATTGTATGTTGTTTTAAATTTTAAATGTGATTTATAATGATGAAATTTTCATAGAGTTTAGGTCTAGTAGTAGTAGTAGTTTATGAAACCTTGGAAGGACATTTATTTCAATGCAAAAGATTGCTGACAATATTTCTTCATTGATATTTCTGATATGAAGCTGGATGCTGGCTCAGTCGTCTATCGGTTAAGTGCTCTGGCGCGAGAATGGTAGATCCTGGGTTCGAATCTCGCGAGGCGGGATCGTGGGTGGGCACTGCTGAGGAGTCCGACAATAGGACGAAACGGTCATCCAGTTCTTCCAGGTTTTCGATGGTGGTCTACCTTCAATTGACTCATGATCTTAGCTATATAATTTCAAATTGTTACATTTATATTTCCGGAGTACGATTCCGTTTAAAACTGTGACCAACTGCAAACTATATGTTTCACAAGCATTATAAGCAAAGATGGATAATGGCTAGCAGTGGAATACAGGCCGCGCGTTTCGTCCTATGTGGGACTCGTCAGCTAAATGTAGTTGCATCTTAGAGTTGATGTTCACTCTGATACTTGAACCCAGTACCTGACTGACCAGTTGCAGCCCTAAACATCAATAGGAAGATTCAAACAAACAATACTAAGTGAATTTATGTATTTCACAGTTTAACTAAACGTATATTTCTGTAATCAGATTTCATCAAACAAAAGAAATTACTGGAATGTCTTCCGTTGTTCAAGATGTCAGTTTGGAAATTAAACGGATATAACTGTTTATATATACCAAGTATGCTAACCATAGACGTCGGTCTGGATTCTCAACATGAATGTAGCCAAATCCTGTTTCACTCAAGTCTGATTTCTTTATAAAAATAACACAGATATAATATTCCAAACGATTTATTAGCCTATCTTAAAAGAGGCTAATTAAACCTATATTTGAGATATTTTCATGAATAAAAATGTATGTATGTAAAATATTTTAAAAGAAGTAACTGGGAAAATGGAAGACAGTTTTGAAGAAAATAAAGAGCACTAAAAAGGACTTGACACGCATGATATTGATCACCACCCAGTGATCAATCAATTGTGATTACATCTCAGTCCTACAGGAGGTTGGTCGCTGCCCGAATAACTCAGTGGTAACGTCTGACTGTGAAGCTGAGTGACACGGGATCGAATCCGCCAGGGAGCATCAGTTCCCTCAAGATTACAGGTACACCTTACTGATGAGTACCAAGTAGCACGAAACTCGGGTCCAGGATTTCCTGTTGACCACTTCTAACCACCATCCTATCTGAAAAAAAGACTGTGTTGACGATGTATGAGTGAAGCTATGCTTCTTATCTGTATAAAAACATAATTAAAATTATCTAAGAAATACATCCACAATTATTTTTAAGTTAATATGTATTTTAAAGAAGGTATGTACCACAGGGGAACAGGAGTAACTAGTCAGTCAGCTACAACATAGGAACAGGCACATTTATGCATCGGTCCAACTTGCCATACCTCGTTAGCACAACAAGATGAATACCGAATTCCTAGTATTAGTTAATTTAGTGGTGGTAATATATAAAAGAAAGGTTGTATAGAAGGATATAGTACAGGAAGAAAGATAGATATGAAGCAGTTTTAATCTCAAGGTTTAAAGAAAGATAAAGAGTGTATACACCTACGCTATTGTGATAGATTCTGAGCCATGTCACCCAGAGTCTCCAACTATTGGTTACGATAATCACGCGTACCCCAACCAAGTAGTCTGCATCTGCCAACATGGCTCAGTTTAGAAGTTAGTGATTTCAAACACTGATGTCACGTTTTGGTTTGGCCGCCCCTAACTTTCTTCCAACCATCCTCTACACTAGTCAGCATAGTGCGTTGTGGTACAGGAGTAATAGTTTTTCAAACAAATTGACTTCAATTTTCAGTTTGTCCAGTTGTGAATTACTTTCTTGATTAATAAACAATATACATTTTTCTTTCTATACTTAACAGATTTCGTGTAGCATGCCATGAAGTTTGCAATCACAGTTATTTCAATAACATTGTACTTGTATGTATCTTAGTTAGTAGTGCAATGCTTGCAGCAGAAGATCCATTAGATGCATCATCTGCACGTAATCAGGTAATATTGTATAAAATGTGTTCAAGAAAACGATTTCAATTTAATATCTGGGTTTATAGAAATAATAATCCTTTCCATATATGATTCCAGGAGCTTGCATTTTTCTTTTGAACAATATTATAAGTATTTTCATAGTTGAAAACATGAGTCAATTGAAGCTAGACCAACATGGAAAACCTGGAAGCATTGGACGGCCGTTTCGTCCTATTGTCGGGCTCCTCAGCAGTGCGCATCCACAATCCCGCCTCACGAGCGTGATTCGAACCCAGGACCTACCAGTCTCGCGCCAGAGCACTTAACCCATAGACCACTGAGCTGGCCAACATCCAACGGTGTTAATGTTTAACTTCAACCAATCTACGATTTTGAGCAACCGTTCATCAAGTGTCTTCAGTGCTTCCAGGTTTTCCGTGATGGTATAGCTTCAATTGACTTATGATTTCAACTATGAAAATATTAAATTCTCCACAAAACCCCTTCTGAATATTATAAGTGCAAACTGCAGGTAGAAGTGAAGTATCTGAATTACTTCACATATGATTAATACGTTGTCCTGTCGACTTTGACCTTAAATGAATATAGTTAACCTTTATCATTATCTGCCTCTTTATTTTGATTGCATTTTCTTTTGATCCGATTTTTGGTCCTATCATTGTCTGTGAGTTTTCTGATTGTTTAATTAATTGGATTGATTTAGATGTGTTTATTAATTATTGATTGACCTGAGTGTCAAGCATTCAAGTTTCACTGCGTCGGTTTTGATGATCAATATATCCAAGAATGATAGCTTGTTGTTCGACAACTTTTGCATTGTGAATTTTGTTATTGAAGACGTTGTTGATCAGAGTGTAAGCTTTCTCCAGCTGTTCCGTTTCGATGATGACAAATGTGTTGTAAACATAATGTATTCACATTTTTGGCTTGACCATCGGCTTCTAGTATCTGCATTATTGCTTCTGAAATGAGTCCTGACACTGGTGATCCCATTGGTGTTCCATTCCTCTGTTCGTCGATTGTATTGTTGGATGGGATACATGTTGCTAAGTGTAAATCGATTAGTTCTAATAGAATTTGACTTTGGAGCTTTGTGTACATCGGAAGATTTGCGTCGTTGATGAGGATCATGGTTAGAGCTTTCTTTATTAGGCTTGATTATTTATGTTATTTGTTACTGGTTGGTTGGATAAATGTTATAACTTGTGCCTGTGTGCTATGTTAATGTATGACGGGACCAATAAAACAAGAAAGCCGTACGAGCAGTCTAGAGTACCTGTTGGTCCTGCTTTCTGCCTAGCCTAGTCAGTTAAGTATAGAACACCATTCTCAGGCTGTGCGATATGAATGTTGTTATATATTAACAGAGCACACAGTTACAAGTTATATCAATTCGAGACAGGGATGGGATATAACACCTTCCCTTTTTTAAAAGATCCAGAGTTGATATCCGGATTTTAAATTTTCCGAGTTTATCCTCCCCCCATGAGATAACGTTGGGTCCTCATATTTCCAAGTTACCAGTAATGTGACATTATTTAAAACATATTTGTCGCATTTAAAAGAGTATCCACTAGAACTGTTCAGATCATCAGGATCTACATTTGATTCGAGATCATCGGTGTCTGATTCTTCTGAAACAGTTTCCTTGAATTTATTGGGAACCTCATTAGTAGATAATGGATCATCGGGATAATTAATATCTATGAAAACTGTATTGGACTCTTAATTATCATTTGATGCATCCGACATTTGTCTCTCATTTTTATAAGAAATTTTCACCAGGAACATTTTAATCAATAAAATAACACATATCTGGTAGAACTAGAGAACCCCGATAATTAAATTCATTCGAAACTTTTGTCACATCATGATTAGTTTCATTTAGTGCAACTGTATTCGCTATACTGCCCAATTTATTTTATGTTTCTTCGTGGTCGGGTACTTCAGCGATTTCATGAGCATTTAGCAAGACATCGTCTTTCTGTGAACTGGACAATTCACTGTTTTCACGTTTCATTTCGGGGATAATGGGATTTGAACCAACTATAGGCATGTCTCTGAAATGGACAGTACTGGGCTACTGGGCTGATCATGTATGACTGTTATTGCTTCGTTTAAATTACTGTTTATCATGGATTCATGAAGGCTTTCACCGGCACATTCATTCATTCTGCAATCATTTTCCAACTCTGTACGTAATTTAAAAATTAATTCGTTAACTTCCGTCACATCCCTAAAACATCGGTGATTCAGCAGCCTTGTGTGTAATTTGTTAATAAGCCCCAACTGACTCTTTTTAGAACGTTGATCTTGTCGCTGGAATAGAAACTGCAATTGATCGGAAGTAAGAGCCATTTCCTGCTTCTATGTAAATCAGCACGGTAATGAAAAAATACTGTATGACAAATGACCAATGTCGTTCAAGGACACAAACGACAATTCTGATTGCTGATTGTACAAAATATAATGACCTGATTTTCGACCAATTACAGGCTGACTTTGGTTCTTTTTTCACCAATGGATATAACAATAATCTCAACTGTTAGTATTTCACGAATGCAAAAATGGGATAACTCATATTAGTGAACAATATTGTTTTCGTTTAGTATTGCTTGTTTGAATCTTCCCATGGATGTGTTAGGACTGCAACTGGTCAGTCTCTAATTGGCATATCTGCATACTGTGCTTATCGCCTCGATATAGCTATCAGGACTCAGTGGCCGAGTGGATAACGCAATGGCGTTTGAAGTGAAAGGTACCGGATTCGAGTCCCAGAGTGAACATCAACTCTGAGATGCAAGTACATCCAGCTGATGAGTCCCAAATAGGACGAAACGCGTGTCCTGGATTCCACTGTTAGCCACTATCCATCTTTGCTTACAATATTGTTCTCAGTTAGATTGTCATCAGACTACACTCTAATATAATGGAATATTTTTGATGGGTGTATGTAAATATTAAGCAAATCAAGACAACTTGTTAGTCACTAATCAGAATGAAATAATTTACATGGGTACATATAATACGTAAACAATACAAATTGTTGGTACGTTGATAGATGTACGAATATTAATAACAATAATAAAATCAATGAAAACCTAACCAAACGATGATTGTAAATGATTCCTTGTCAATTTAAAGACTGATGTTAAAAGGGTTGAAGCTTATTAAAACAATAATCTTTGCACATTATGTTATGAAAAACCACTTAGGTTCATATCAAATTTCACCTAATTAGAAATGGCATCTCGAAAATTTACTTCAATTGTAGTTAGCATCCATGTATAACAATGCATCTGTTCTGCATATAAGATTTTCGTGATATTTTAATTTTTTTTAAAAAAAATTACGATCATATTAAAACCAATGAAGAACATTCATTGAATACGTTGTCATCTGGTTCTACAACTATAAGATTTAACTGATATTCCAAAACAAAAATCATATGCTCACTAATGACTAGATTTGGGAGGGAATTCTCGGTGCTCCAGTGAAAGGTCGTGATCAGTGGAGTTTAACTTTGACGTATGTGAGACAGCTACACACTGAAAACAATGGGAGATAGTCGCACAAAATCGTGGAGTGGTTGAAGTTAGACATTAAAATCATTGGATGCCGTCTCAGTGGTCTAGAGGTTCAGCGTTTGCATGTAGGACTGAAGGTCCTACGTTCAGATCTTCTGTACAGGATTGTGGATGCGTACAACTGAGGAGTCCTATCCTATGACGAAACGATCATACAGTTCTTCCAGTTTTTCAATGATGGTCTAACACTGATCGATTGATGATTTCAATTAAAAATTGTCGAGCTTACATTGAATATATCAGTTAAATTACGTTACATGAACTAAGAAGCTTTAAAGAAATAAAACAAATATGTTAATAATGAGATGACTAGTGTGTGACCATTTACAGAAATCAGTTAAAATTAAAGGTGTATGAAGATAAATTTGAAGCTATAAAAATGTAAAAAGTGAATGTCTGTATGTACGTTATATAATTAAATGATGTTATCTTATAATCAAGATGATTAACTTATAAAGCCTGAATTAGGTACGTAAAAAAACTCAGTTGGATATATCTTTTTGAATATAAAACTCAGGATTTTTTATTGTGAATAGTTAATGCGTCTTTGTAAGCAAAGATGGATAGTGGATAGCAGTGGAATCTAGGACACGCGACACTTCGTCCTATTTGAAACTCGTCAGCTGGATCTATTTGCATCTCAGAGTTGATGTTCACTCTGGGACTCGAACTCAGTAACTTTTGCTTCAAACGCCATCGCGTTATCCACTCGGTAGCAGTTGCAGTCCTAAACATCAATGGGACGATTCAAACAAACAATACTAAGTGAAGTTAATGCTTCTTCTCATCAATGTGTTAGAACTGCAAATGGTCAGTCTCTAATTGGCGTATGTGCATACTACGCGTCCTGGATTCCACTGCTACCCACTATCCATCGTTGCTTATAATGTTTATGAACTAAGGCTATATCGAGGCAATACGCACAGTATGCACATATGCCAATTAGAGATTGACCATGTGCAGTCCTAAACATCAATGGTAAGGTTCAAACAAACGATACTAAGTGCAATGTCAATGGTTTTAACAAAATTCATTCAATTTACCATTTCTTTCTTCATTCATATTAATTTATATTTTACACAATCTTGAATCAAACATTTGTTCTGATTTGTAATTACATCATAGTTATCTTACTTGGATAATTAACCTCATAATTTAAACCAATCTTGAAGTTTAAAAATACATCATCTGTTGTTAGTAATAATTATCTTTCCTTGATTAATATGCTCTTTGATGAAACGTGTTTTGAAATTAGTGCAACATATTAGGTCATCGTATTCAGTGAATCAGTCAGTCAGTCAGTCAGTCAGTTTCTTACTATCATGATTAGTACAAATCGATTGGAATCCTTTTATTTGTTATATTGAACTTTCATTATTTCAATGTGTAAGAACGGCTCGTTGGTAAACTCTAGGAAGCCTTAAGAAGCTCAGAAAGAGCCGAACATATTCCATCCAATCACTGCTAGGGAAATATTCTAGAATGCCAACGTGTAGCTTCCTCATTGGACGGATAAGAATGACCCATATGTACCTATTGGTTGACCGAAATGATGATTTACATTCAGCCAATAACTATAAACACATGAGATATCTGTACTATATTTTGACACTGATTTAGGAAATAAATTTCCAACTTACTGGTCTTTTGTCTTCTCTTTGCGATGTTGCGGGTTCTATCGTTCAAGTAGTTTAGTAGTACGCGGCATAGTAAGAAACAAAGTTCTAGATATAACACAATGTAATAATGATTACATCTGTTTTTTTTTTAATTTTCATTGATATTTTGTTATCTTATTTTTTTAATTTTAGATTTTGAACTACTTTGATTATTTTTTCACTTCTGTGTTTACAGTGGAGATTACTCTGAAGGTAAATTTGACATATATGGTACATATTACAATTTCGTTTTATAAAAAACATCACCTTCTAACTGTTTATTAAATACATTTATACCTAACTGTCATAACGCGTGCGCGTGTGTTCTTTCTGATATATGAATGTGCTGATTCCCGCTAATGAGAGAAGAGCGAATTATCGATCGGAGCAATGATACATAAAATCGTACGAGCAGTCTTGAGGGCGTATCGGCTCTGCTACTGCCTAGCTCAGCCAGTTAAGTCAAGAACACCAATAAAAGCCTCAGCGATATGAATCATTATTCACAAACATACTGGTTTTATATACCAACCAAACAGTCCATATCGTACCAATAAGATAGAAAATAACATTTGTACAATAATTGGCCAAATATGGCTGTGAATAAGGGGAAGAGTAATTAATAGACTGATGATAACTCAAGAATCGTATAATAATAGGCCAAAGGTCAAAATAAAGCTTATGATAAGAGGAACACGAATATGAATAGTTTAGTTAAGTAACAATTATACCATAGGAAATAGACTTATTACATTAGTCCATAAATAGTTCTCAAAAGTTACCATTCACAATTCTCTTCGGTATACAATACTAACTTGAAATTGAAAAATCTATGTCTATTGGTTTGTGGATCCATTAGTTCAATAAAGAAAACACATTAGTACCTTAAGTTACTTGACTGTTAAAATGCTTCAAATTTTCTGTAAGCGTACATGTCTTCTTTGCAAGTAATAGATACAATTTAAAAGAATTACCTTATTCTTAAAACTTTTAAATCTTATTCTACGTGTTTTAGAGAGCAAATTGCCGAAGGGAGTAATTTATGGTACTTCTGTCGTAGACTAGGGACTGTTTATTGTTTTCCAGGATAAACTTCAATTTATTCTTTAGTATATTTAATTCCATCAACAACATTTACAGATGTGTTATGATTGAGAGACATAGTGGGAATGAAGATGGAAAGTGTGACGAAACCTCTGTTCAAGATTCTATAACAACTTAGTTGCGAATAAATAATGATACAGTATATATATATCTGTTGTATCCCGTGAAGATTTATGAATGGTAAGGTTTGAGAACTATTTATGGACCAATATGATATGTATATTTCTTATTGTAGAATTGTTAAGTAACTGGACTATTCACATTCGTATCCCTCTCATTATGAGCTTTATTTTGACCTATAGACTATTATTATACGATTTACCATTCCTGAGTTATACCCGATCTACTAATTACTGTTCCCCTTATTCTCAACCACATTTGGCTAAATCTTGTACAAATGTTATTTTCTATTTTATTGGTACGATGTGATCTGCCTGTTTGGTATATAAACTCAGTATGTTTGTGAATAATGATTCATATTGCAGAGGCTGTTGTTGATGTTCTGAACTCAATTGGCTGGGCTAGGCAGAAAGCAGGACCGAGTAGTACTCAAGATTGTTCATACGGTTTTCGTATATCATTGGGCGATCAATGATTCCACTCCTCTCTCATTACCGGGAATCAGCACGTTCAAAAATATATCAAACAGGGCACATACTTAATCGATATAACAATATCTGCTAACTATATATAATTATATATGAAATTATTTAACTACAATGTTATTAATTTTTTTTGTTAGATAATTACTTATGGTCTGGTATTACATAAGGGAGCATTTTGTCGAAGCGCAAATAATATGTTGGATTTTATGGTAGTTCTTACATCAATTATTTCTTATCCAATTGAGTAAGTTCTGTTGTGCATTTTTATCCCTTTATTCAAGATCAAGAGGGAATCAGTATTATTGGTATGGGGTTTGTGAAGATTGTAATATTTTTAACAGTTGAATTCACGAGTCGATCTAAGCTACATAACTATTGAAAACTTAGAAGCACTAGAAAACCGTTTCGTTCTAGTATGAGACTTTTCACTAGTGCGCACTCATGATCCCACACACGGAACTCGAATCCAAGACCTTCGGTCTCGCACGTGAAATAGCCGTCCAGTGCTTCCAAGTTTTCAATGGTGGCTTAACTGAGATCGACTGGTTAATTCAACTGTGAAAATCAGTATTACTTTTGAATACTGATTCGAACCAAGGACCTATCAGTCTTGCGCGCGAGCATTTAACTTTTAAACCACTGAGCAGGCCGACATTCAACGGTGTTAATGTTTAACTTCAACCAATCCACGAAATTGAACAACCGTCTACAAAGAACTAGAATTTAACATAATTCGCCATTCATTAGAGCTTTCGTTTTCTTTGTAATTATCTCCGATAGATATCAGTTCATAACAAAAAAGTTATTTTCAAAATTATGTCACCATCAAACACTTAACAAGAAACAATTGAGTTATTTAAAGGTAAACACACAATTAATGGACATGCAATTATTATTTTTCCCTCTTTTTTTCTTTTTATCTTAGTATTGATACAATATCTGTGGTTAAAATACTTCGAGTCTCTAGAGTTTTACGACCTTTAAGAGCAATTAATAGAGCAAAAGGTTTGAAAGTGAGTTTCATGATTACATTCATATCATTCTATTGACTATATTTATTTGTTTTTATGTCTTTTATTGATAATCTAAATATTATAACTTATTTCAAGAACAAATGTTTCTGAAAGATCAAGTTTTTGATGAAGTTAAGTTTTAAAAGTTAATCATCAAATTGAAAGAGAATACCGAAGCATCACCCTACAAAAGAGAATACAGAATGATCAACAGCTTAATCCTTTAAGTCATCGTCAACTTGGTTTACACTGCAATACGTGAATCATCCTTCAGAATTCTCTACAAAATAAAGAGGACTGGATTAAAAAAAAGGTTCGGATAAAGAATTTATACACATCCAATGCTATAGCAATTCAACATTTCAAACTAGAACTCTATATACAGAAGAGTTATTGATGTGTTGGCGAGAATGCTAATGATCGGTTGTCTGCTTAGTCAGAATTGTATATAGTCTGACAGGTGTTAGATGAGTTAAATATTTCCCTATCCTTATTATTTATCATTGTTATTGATTGATTGTCCACTTGTTGTTGGATTGTGTTGGATTTTGGTGTGGAAATATATTTACGTTCTAACTAGGCTAATCACGTGTTCTTGATTTGAGTTGTGTTGAAGTCCTGTAGAGTAGACACTGGGAAGGAATCTAGTGTAGATATCCGTCTAAGGTTAATTAACGTCCCATTCATGAAAAAAGGGAAAGGACCGTTATAACAAAGAAACTCCGGAGTTATAACAATTATATAGTTAAGATCATGAGTCAATTGAAGCTAGACCACCGTGGAAAACCTGGAAGCACTGGACGGCCGTTTCGTCCTATAGTGGGACTCCTCAGCAGTGCGCATCCACGAACGCTCTCTCGCGAGATTCGAACCCAGGACCTACCGGTCTCGAGCCAGAGCCCTTAACCGATAGACCACTGAGCTGGCATCCAACGGTGTTAATGTCTAACCTCAACCAATCCACGAAATTGCGCAGCCAACTTCCAATGTACTGAGGTAGATACCTGTCTCTACCTGACATGGATTAGCTCCACTGGCCACGACTTCTCACTAGAACTCCAGGAATTACCTCAAGGAGCCAGTCACTAGTGAGCATATGATCATTATCACAAGGGCTTTTTTGTGGAGATTTAGTAATTTTATAGTTAGTTAGTGGTCTAGCTTCAATTGACTCATGATCTTAACTATAAAATTACTAAATCTCCACAAAAAAACCCCTTGTTATAACAATTATGTTAATTCCCTTATTCTCTTATGGTCTTAGCACTGCTTTGAATTCTGCAAAATATGAGTATTAATTATTACTTTCTTCTTCTCCTCCTTTATATGGGAGACGGTTGTCTTTAACTTTTATTCTATCACCTATCATTACTTTAGAAACCATTACATCACGTAACCTGTTAGTGATGATACAACCCCAATGCTATTCAACACTTGAATACCTTAAATACATTGAAATAGTAACCTTCTACTTATTAATTATTCTATCAACTACATGAAGTCTTTTGACAATCTTGATTATATAATACAACACCACTTCATTTTCATTGACTTCTACTTAAATAAGTTTAACTATCTTTGGTAATTATTTTGTAAAACTCTTCTATACTACTTTATAAACTACTATTATATCAATATGATTTATAAATGCATTTGTACAACATCAGAAAATGATATCGTCAATAAGAAAACAAAATTCTTTAGTGAAACATTTTTATTATTTCACTCTAGAAAATTCTGAATTTTTTTTGGCACAGAGTGCATAGAAATACAATTTACAAATTTAAAGAATTTTAAATTATTAAAATCAAATTGTACAATATTCTCTTGGTAAGCAAAGATAGATAGTGGCTAGCAGTAGAATCCAGTTTGTAGCGCGATAATTCGTCCTATTTGGGACTCGTCAGCTGGATGTATTTGCATCGCAGAGTTGATATTCACTCTGGGACTCGAATCCAGTACCTTTCGCTTCAAACGCCATTGCGTTATCCACTCAGTCATTGAGCATTGATAGCCACTTGCTTGTGCGATGGGGTGAAGTTGAAATTCATTTAGTAATGTTTGTTTGAATATTCCCATCGATGTGTTAGGACTGAAACTGGTCAGTCTCTAATTGGCATATGTGTATACTGTGCGTATTGCTTCGATATAGCCACAGTATGCGCATATGCCAATTAGAGATTGACCAGTTGCAGTTCTAACACATCGATGGGAAGATTCAAACGAACAATACTAAATGAATTTAATATTCTCTTGGTTTTCTTTTTAATGATTTTTGTAAATTACTTCATCACTTCATTTCATTCTGTTGCATCTTTAGTAGCATCTGAGTAATCATAGTCTAGTTTCATTTGACTCATGATTTCAACTATGCAAATACTGAAATCTCCATAAAAAATCCATTCTAATAATAATAATAATAGTCATATGCTCACTAGTGACTGACTTCAAGAGATCATTCCTGGAGTTCTAGTGAGAAGCAGTGACCAGTGAAGTACAAACCATGTCTGTTGTGAGATAAGAACTCATTGAATACAATTGGTGAACGGTTGCTCAACTTCGTGGATTGGTTGAAAATAGACCTAAACACCATCGGGTGCCAGCTTAGTGGTCTATCGTTTAAGTGCTCTGGTACGAGACTGCTAGGTCCTGGGTTTGAATCTCGCGAGGCGAGGTCATGGATGAACACTGCTGAGGAGTCCCACAATAGGACGAAGTGGCCGTTCAGCTTCAATTGACTCATACTTTCAACTATACAAATAATAGTTCTAACAATTTTTAAAAATGGTTAATTCAGATGCAATATTAGGATTTACATGAACTTATATATTAGAAAAAATAAATAAGAGATAATATTAGATGATTGAATATCCTATTTATATCAGTATAAGAGCAACACTCTCAATCCAAGTAAGATAGGATTTCATTATTCACATATTACATCATATTCTAAGTTGAATTACATGATTTTTTGTTCTGTCATAAGAAGATACGGCATATACACAATAAATCTTTTAATTTAAAATGTAATTGTCTGAAAGTGAATTGAAAGTTCCACGATTTACTGAGTAGAATTGACTGGTGTAAGAAATACATCATTAGTTCAAACTAGCCAAATGCATCGTTATCATGCTGATAGAAAGCAGCTATACTTGTGCGTATCACTAGCTTTCTTGTGATCCAATTCCTTAGTAACCCGTTCTTGTGTGAAATCATGCTTTCAGTTTATTATTCAAATCTGAGGCAATCTCTTATCATCAACAGATTTTGAAGTGCACATAATTTATATCAGTGAAAACGGCGCATTCTCTCTAGTGTTTGGACTAAACTATGTCCAGCACTGAACCCATTACTTTTGATATACTGCTAAGATGAAGACCATAAGCCACGACTGGAAAATTATTCTTTTTCCAATTAAGTTATTCCATACGTGACAATCGTATGTAGGGAATTCATTGTACTCTGAGCGTTCTTTGTCCAACCATTAATTAAATGTAAACTAACAGACCATATCAATGTTTGTTTAATCACATCGATGAAAACTCGATGTGAACACCGATTTAAGAGGCTTGAAGGATTATGCTAGATACCTTTCGTTTTTATCGCTGTAAGTTCTTATTCTGTTGTTTAATTAGTTCCTTTGTTTCTCAATTTTCGCCAATGTTTATTACAAAAATTGTTTGTAGTGGATTTTCTTGATTTATCAATCGATGACTTGATGATAATCATAGCTACTCAACTCATCATATTGGTTACATATTTCTCGTGTTTTGAAAACTTTCTTCTATAACAATTTGTTTATTTGAAATGAATATCTAGCCGAATTCTGGATAACAACTAATTAAATACAAACAGACCTATAATCATTGATTGATCCACAACTTATCACACCCATGCTATTACAAAGTTTATAAAATGAACTAGTTAAAAACAATTTCATTGAGATCATTAACCGATCATTAATAGATCATCATTGAAAACCTGGAAGCACTAAATGGCCATTCCTTAGTGGTACAGGACTCCTCAGTCATGGGAACTCATGGTCCGACAATCGGGAATCGAACCCAAAGCCTTCAGTCTCGTGCGAGAACGTCTAAACTTTAAACCATTGAGTTGACGTACAACGGCGTTGACGTTGAATTTCAACCAGTCCATAACATTGTGTAACTGCGTATTGCTAAATTGTCCCCCTACTAGGATGAAACACCGATTCAGTCCTTACAGGTTTTAAATGGTTGTCTAATTCAGTTCGGTTTATGATTTCAAAGGAATTAAACAATCTCCAAACCCTATACTGACTGAAACAATTTCCATGCTGATGACATTTTTTGTTGATTTAATAGATATTTAAACTGTAGTTATCCTGTGAAATAATTTTCATTTATCATCTCTTTTGAATTCAACAGCATGTCGTCCAATGTGTTGTAGTTGCTGTAAAAAGTATTGGTAAAATAATGATGGTTACCTTTTTGCTTGAATTTATGTTTGCTGTTATTGGTGTACAACTATTTGCAGGAAAATTTCATTCTTGTACAGATAGTTCACGTCTTGTACCAAGTCAATGTCAGTAAGTGAATATGATAAAAAGTGAAAAAAAAACTTTATTTGGTAACATTCGATACCATGTTTGATTATAGTTAAGAATTGTCACTATATAGTATTCAATATTCCAATGAATTCATATCTAATACATTTCATATGTCAATATTCCAAACATCGGCAATGATTCGATGCAGCGAAAATTTCTGACAGACCGATGAAATCCCTTTTCATCGCATAATATATTTACTGAAGAGATTTTATGGTATACTACTCTCATTTCTCTGAAGAAGAAATGAGGAAGAAAATATACCAATCAATGTAGTGCGTATTATTAGATTATCGATAGATCGTAGACACTTTATAAAGAAGTGTAAACGCATTCAATCTGGGCAGCATCATTGATGAACACGGTGGATCAGATGCAGATGTGAGGGCGACGATTGGCAAAGCAAGAGTAGCATATTTACAACTGAAAAACATCTGGAACTCAAAACTATTGTTTATCAACCAACACCAAGATCATAATTTTCAATACAAATGTCAACACACTTCTACTGTATGGGGTGGAAACCTGGGGAACTACGGAAGCCATTATCCAGAAGATAGAAGTGTTTATCAACAGTTGTCTACACAAGATACATCGGATCCGTTGGTTAGACACTATCAGTAACAACCAACTATGTGAGACAGCTAACCAGATCCCATCCAGCGGAAGAAGAAATCAGGAAGAGGCGCTGTAAGTGGATAGGACACACATTGAGGAAATCAGCCAGCTGCGTCACAAGGCAAGCCCTCACATGGATTCCTGAAGGCCAAAGGAGAAGAGGAAGACCAAAAAACACATTACGCCGAGAAATGGAGACAGACATGAGAAGAATGAACAAAAACTGGATAAAACTAAAAAAGAAGGCCCAGGACAGAGTGGGTTAGAGAATGCTGGTCGGTGGCCTATGCTCCATTGTAAGTAACAGGTGTAAGTAAGTAAGTAAGTAAACACATTCAATCATCAAACGTAATAAGTTTGCTGAGATAGGATAGAAAACAGGCAATTTTATGCTACTTAGTATACGTTTAGGCAAATGTTCAAACAGGTCACACATATTTGTCATTATTATATCATGGTCAACAGAAAAAGAAGCTAATCAACTGTACAAAAATCAATATGAATCATTTCTTCTTGAAGTTTGTTGATGATGATGTTGAGAATGACAATGGAAGCTTCACAATTAAAACATTCAGCTCAGAGAATAAAACATCTTCATGATTCTCATCCTGAGATACTAATATTCTATTATTATCATTAGTTTTATTTAATATTATATTTTTGGTACAATATAGAATTCTTAGCACAAAGTACTTCAACAAATTTCCGTTTCTTACTTCTTCGTCCTTCCTGACGATAAATATTGAGTGATCGCCAGTTAGAAGTTAGCAGCCCAGTCAATCGACATCTGAATAATGTAAATTCTTCTCGCTGCCAGCAACCACGATATCTCTGATTAGGCATTCTGTCACCTTTACAGCGAAAGGTCTTACACTTTTCATAAACTCACCTAAATAGGTTGTGCGATTAATAGGCATAATGATGTATTAAAACAAACGAAATTAGATAACTTGTTGAAATATCTAGATGACAGAAACAGGTAGCCCAGATGTTTAAACAGGCCGCCAACGGGTGAACGTTGATTTTTTTTTATAAAGAAAACAGACATGTTTGAACCTCAGAAACTGTCAACTACTCTTTTGATTCATGATATGTCAGTCCATCTGTAATTAATCAAAAATCATTGTCTTAAGCAGTATTTGAATATATTGTATCTTTTCTTTGTATAATGCATCTCTAAATATTCAAATTTTATCTAGTGGTCAATACATCACATATGAATTGGGCGATATAAGTCGACCTGTAGTCTTAGCACGTGTATGGTTAAATAATCCATTGAATTTTGACAATGTACCAAATGCTATGTTAACTTTATTTGCTGTGTCAACATTTGAAGGTTGGCCTGGTCTTCTTTATAGGTAATGTTTTTATTGTATGATCAACTATTACTACGATTTTCTTTTAAATATAATAAAATATAAGACTGATTGTTTGTAAAGTTAAAAAGTAAAGGATTCTAGTGAGAGATAAAGAATGTATAATAGTTGGCAAAGTGGAGTTCAGATTAAAGTGAATGCATTATGAATTTCTGGAGCATTGTGATGCTCTTTCTTGAAGACTGTATTTTAGTCCAATGCTTAGTTTCAGAAGTGATATGTTGCAATGTCGGGTGCTATGTCAAACCCACTTGGCTTAATCTAGCTTCCTAGACAAGCCAATTTATTCATTCTTATTGAGTCGCATTTTGACCTTGTTAACTGCTCGCTTGTTAACATTGTCTGCTTTCTATGTGAGTGTATGCACGTACCTTACTTATCCTACTCATCACATGTCAGTTTCTTATTTTTGTTCTGACTATAAATATTAACTAAGGCTTGATTAGAGTGAGTATGCTTACATACCTTCTCTGGTTCGTTTTGATTTGCTCTTTGCGCTCTCTCTCTCATTCACTTTTCTCTCTGTACTTGTTTTCTGTGTTGCTTGCTGATTTTATCAATTATGAACAATACATTATCCCAACAACTGATGTTCTGGCTTTTGAGCAGTTTCAAGTAAATTCATGATAGTACTAGGAGATTTGGCATGCGTAAATTCTCAGTTGATAGGATGTTATATATTGCAGTCAGATATAAAGGAATTAACACCTACAATATAATGAATTAAATAAAAGTGTAAACAGAATGGTTTATTTATTACAGTGATTAATCGACTTTTTATTTCGTCTTTAATGTTGAATAAATCAACCTAAAACAAATGATTGAAGTTAACACTTCAGTAAAAACTGTGATTCCTAATAAAACTGGGACATTTACAATTGCATAAACTATTTAAGACTTCATAAACATTGAAGAATCTATCCATTTGTGATAATGTGATATACAGTTGAGATCATGAATCAATTGAAGCTTGACCACCATGGAAATCCTGTAAGCACTGGACGTCCATTTTGTCCTATTTTGGGACGGCCATTTACTTCCTCCAGGTTTTCCATGGTGGTCTAGTTTCAATTGACTCATGATCTCAAGTATATAAAATTATTAAAATCTACACAAAACCTCATGATTATGATCATATGCTCACTAGTGACTGGCTCCATGAGGTATTTCCTGAGGTTCTAGTGGGAAGCAGTGACCAGTGGAGTTCTACCAAGTTTGTTGTAGAGATATCAACTCACTGAAGACATTGGTGAGTGGTTGCTCGATTTCGTGGATTAGATGAAGTTAAACATTAACACCGTTGGATGCCGACCGGCTCATTGGTCTATCAGTTAAGTGCTAAATAAAAGTGTTTAATAAAAGGATACCTATTGAAATTATTTAACATGTAATGATTACTCTGATAATCGATTAATAAGGTTGTAGATGAACTTTTCATAGATTCTTTATATACTGATGACGGTGATTAAGTGAATAAGTAATATTTTTCAGGTGGATAAATGAAATAATGTACCCGATTATCTTTAAAACTTATGTTTGATTAAAGTACAATCTATTACCATAGCTAGTGATACGACAAAGCAATAATCATTTGAAAAAATGTATTACAATTAAGAAGAACATTATTTTTAGACTAATTCTTAAAACTTTTGACTGTATGACAGATAAACCATCATCATATATTGATTGTATTACTTTAAAAAACCTTAAATATTAAGTGTTTCTGGAAGAATTCGAAATCTTAAAACTTACTTACTTACTAGCTCCTGTTAGCCTTTGAATAGGAACATAGGGCGCTCACAAGCATTCATCATCCAGCTTTGTTCAAGGCAATCTTTTCCAGTTGTTTCTCTTCTCATATATGCTTCCATTTCTCGACATAGTGTGTTCTTTGACCTTCCGCTTTTCCACCTGCTTTCAGGATTCCAAGTGTTATAATTGTATTTTGCTACTAATAAACGACCCAGCTATTCCTATTGCTTAGTATTCTTATACAATGACACTCAACAAGACCCCAAAATCAGAACACGTTGAACAGGAATGAAATTGTATTCAAAATAATAATAATAAGTGAACAGCAATTACTAGTTTAAATAACGTTCATATATTTATGGTATATACATAAGAAGCTTATAGATTTTTCTCCTATAATTTGCTCGGGCTGATCGGTTTAGAATTAGCTAATCAGCGCGCAGCAACACCATCATGCATGAAACATGCATACATGAAACATCCAATCTATGTCCCATTAACACCAAATTAGGACTTGTCTTGTTATTCTGTTTAGTGACTTCTGTAATGAATATCAAATCCACTTCCAACGTTTTTTTTTCCTAATTTCTTCTTTAACTGGAAGCTTGTTTATCAACACATAAAGAAGGTTGTTTCTGATGGTATCCGATGATATTAATTTACATTACTTCCATAAAATCATAAGACATTAATAATAGTAATAATTTATCATATGATATTCTGATTTCTTTATATTATTCAAACCAAGGAATGTTGTTTTAAATATAAATTCAATAACTTACAATATTCATTATACTATTACTCATTCAATCTAATCATCTTCTATTATTAATTTAAGAAAGATGATTATTTTGTTGATATATCTATTCTATATGATAAAATAATAAGAAACTATTCATAGATCTATTAGTAAGTATGTTATGAATTTAAAGAATAAAGAAAGTCGTATGCTAATTTGTTATGGTCCTATGTCCGACTTTTTATTAAGTGAGTTAACCACTAATGGAAATACGACTTGTCTAATCTTAACACTGTGCCAAATCAATGATGTTCAACTGGTATGAGCAATCTAGCGTCTTTATTAGTCTCTTGTTCATTTAGCCCTTCCAGTTAAGTCTAAAACACCAATTGCAGCTACTGATATGCGAATCTATGCAAATCATTCATTTCAAGCATATACGGTTTATATACCAATCAGAAAGACCGACAGCATCACATCATAAAATAGAAAATAATATTTGTACAAAATCAAGTCAAATGTGGCTGTGAACGTGGGAGACAGTAATCAATAAACTGAGTATAATTTAAGAACAGTAAATCGTATGATAAAAATAATCCATAGGTCAAAATGAAGCTTATAATAAGATGACTATAGATATACATCATCTAATTACTCAATAGTTAAACAATATGAATAATCGTCCATTAATAGGTCTCGGAAGTTACGCGTACTCATGTCTTCACTAGAATATAACTGTAAGGATGGCTCGTTGGTAAACTCAAGGAAGCCTCAAGGAGCTCAGAAAGAGTCGAAGACATTCCATTCAATCACCGCTAGAGGAACATTCCAGAATGTCGATGTGAAGCTTCCCTATTGGATGAATAAAAATAACCCTCTATGTGCCTACTGGCTGTCTGAAATGATGATTTACTTTCAGCTAAAAACCCTATAAATACATGAGATTCTTGTACTATATTTGATAATATTTTTGTGAATAACTTTCCTACTTACTAGTCTTCTGTCTTTTCTATTGTGACGTTGCGGGTTCGATCGTTCAAGTAGTCTAGTAGTACGCGGCACAGCAAGAATTAAAGCTCTAGATATAACAATAACAAAGTACTTCTCTCGTCATGATCATTATTTAAAAAAAAAATCTTTCTGATTCCAGTTATTCTAGATATCAATAAACTTTTCCCTCTTTTTTTTAAATTTGAATATTTTATTAATAATTAAATAAGTTAATTATTCAATTATCATTATTTGATAATTGAAATAATGTGTCAATTGAAGCTAGGCCACCACCACCGTTGGATGCACTCTCAGTGGTCTATCGGTTAAGTACTCTGGCACGAGACTGGTAGATCCTGGTATCGAATCTCGCTCGTGAATGCGGGATCATGGATGCGCACTGCCACTGAGGAGTCCCATAATAGGACGAAACAGTCGTTGAGTGCTACCAGGTTTTTCATGGTGATCTAGCTTCAATTGATGCATGATCTCAACTATTAAAATAATGAAATCTCCACAAAACCCTTTCTAATTATCATTATTTATTTATTTTTCTTTTAAATTTATTTCATTTATTTAGATCTATTGATTCATATGCTGAAGATTATGGAAGTGTTTATAATAATAGACCAATAGTTGTTATCTTCTATGTAGCTTATATTATTGTAATAGCATTTTTTATGATTAATATATTTGTTGGTTTTGTTATTGTAACATTTCAACAAGAAGGTGAACAAGAATATAGAAATTGTGAACTAGATAAAAATCAAGTAAGTTGATTGAGTTTTGTTTGTTTTGTTTTTGTTTTTTTTTTGATTTATATTGATCATGATTGATTAGATGCAATCTCATGGTAGCCGCCATTTGTTCGCTCAGGATACTGGAGCCCATTCGCATCATTGGTTTGAAATCAGGGTTTTCTGACTCCTTTAGGTGGACTTTCCGTGTTCACCAACCCGGATAAAGCGTCGGACATTCACTTTTCGTCCTCTCAATTTCGCAAACAACACTCGTGGTGCGAGAAGTCAGTGAGTAGGACTTCCCTGACAGAGACTGTATATGCGTGGCCATGTGAGAGAATTTGGAGAGGGAGAACGGACTCTTCTCACTCTCGGCCGTACCAGGGCATTTAGGGGCTGTTACTAAAATCTCTTGTATGAATATGTTCCACAAAGTTTTTATTTATTTGTTAATAAAAATGTGTTGTATTTGATTTTAGAATGATAAAACTGATTGTATGTCAGAAAATTACGACACTAAGTGACCCATTTACTTGCTTGAATGGCTTAAGGCTTCTTTATAATGTAAAAAAATATTACTTAATAAGACAGTCAATGGAAACTCGATGGTTTACCAGAATTTGTATCCATTTTTCACGTTTCTACCTAGTATTTTACTGTTTATTTAGTTACTATGTAATATTGATGGATCTTTTGTTCTGGAGTGCTTTGTGTTAAAAAAACGGACAAATTTTGGAACTTGTCGCTGATGTTTTGTAAGATCATATGAACTGAGTTGACTTCTGTTGAATAACTTGCTTAAATTTGGCAGAATTTGCTATCGTCAATGAAACAATATTACTGTTAGTGTGTTTGTGTTTTAAGCAGAGGTGGTTGGTAGTTAGCAGTGAATAACTTGATGGAGTTTTTACAGAAAGATACTAAGTTCGACTGTCGTAGTAAACGTCAACCCGGAAGCAAGTACATCCAAATGACGAAACGTGAAACTTGGATTTCTTTGCCAGCCACCATTCATCTCTGCTCAAAAATACTTGTGACTGAAGGCAATATCGAGGCAATCCGCTCAGCATACACATATGTTCATAGAGACTGATCAATTGCGGACCATTATATTAATGGGAAGATTCATACAACCAATACAAAGATTAATAATGTTGTTTTTTTTTTCTGTTTATATTTTGTCTTATATAACATCAATAATAATTTATTCATAGTCTCACCCAACTAGGTATCTAATCAGTATTGTAGGTTTTAAGTTATCTTCATCTCATTATAATTCACATTAGCACAGACACAAATATCAATTTACCTTTTTATGTCTTATAAGAGTATGTCTTACTTTTTCTAATGATTTCTTAAACTTCATTGTGTTACTAAGTTGAGTGTGCTTAACCCATAGAATATGATTACAGATAATCTCACGACCACATAACCATATACAATTATGCATGTTGCATTATGTCAATCCTACCTAAATGAAGGTGATAGGTTCCTTATAAACTAATAATAGAAAAAAAGTAACATACCAAATTGTCAACAATAGAACCAATCAGATTGTATAAACTAATCTTCGATCATTTAAAACAATAATAATAATAATAATAATAAGCATGATTAGGTATTCTGAATGAAGCATTTCTTCTTCAGTTGAATGATAGATTTTCTTAACTGTGGAACTATTTTTTATCATTCATAATATCAATTAGATTTGAGAAATCTATTTAAGTTTACTTATTCTAATTGATTAGATCTAATAGTTAGATCCTATTGAAAAGGTTGATTAGTTGAGAAAGGAATGGAATGGATTAAAATAATCATTATACATTTACTATTACTACCAAGATATAATCATCTTTATAATAAACTACCAAAAATTTCAGTAAAATCCATCGAATTATCACTAAGTGATTATTTGATGAAATTTACAAGATCATCTTCAATATCATCATCATCGTCATCATCATCATCATCCTTCATGAATGTTCATCGATCAAAAAATCTTTGTCTATTACTTCGTATACCTAATTCAAAATTAATGAATGACCAAATTAACCTTTTAAAAATTTATTTAATATCTAATGAAATATCTGATATTAATAATTTATGGGCTATTTTTCAATTAGATCTTAATGAACAATCTTCATTAGCATTGAAATATGTAAATCATTCATTGGATATACCATATTCAATGATTAAATATCCATTGTTTAAATCAATAGATTCCCTATATATATTTCTATTTACAATAATCAATAATTGGAACAATAAAATTGATTATCAATTATTTGGTGAATTATTCTCTTCTATATATCCTTCATGTTTATCATTAAATAGTTTAAATGATTTCCCAGAATTCTGTGTTTCTTTAATCCCTTGTGATGACTTTATGCGGAATACTGAAGAGACTAGTAAACTGAATCATATATATCGACGTGTAAAACGTGATACATCACTTTCTTCACAAACATCGAATATTTCGAATACAACCACTAACAATGAATCTAAACCTGGACTTAGTCCTGGTATATTAGCAATTGTCATTATTATACCAATATTAGTTATTATTGGACTTAGCATAGGTGGTTATTTTTTATATCGTTGGTTACATAAACGTCGTTCATCACATGGTATATATCAACCAAATTATATGGAAAATGAAGCTAATCTATCCAAAGAACCAGAACCACATACAATAGTTAAAATACCACAAGAAGAAAGATTAATTTAAATATTAAGAGATTTGGATTACCTTTTTTCTCTCTATGGTTTGTTCCGTTTGTTGTTTTTTTTTTGTGTGGTTTTTTTCAAGTTTGATTTCGGTATTCCAATCCCCTTATTTATCTCATCTTGATTTGTTTCCATATCTATCTATCTATCTATAGCGTAAATGTATTGAATTTGCATTGAAAGCTAGACCAGTGAAACGTTATATACCAAAAGAAAATTTTCAATATCGTATATGGTGGTTTATTACATCACAACCATTTGAATATTGCATTTTTATTTTTATATTAATTAATACAATCTCATTGGCAATGAAAGTGAGCTTCTTTTTCTTTGTTACTATTGCTTGTTTATTTATGTTTACTACTTATGAATTAGATAGTGTTCAAGTAAATAAGTAGTATAGAAGAAATTGTATAAAGAAAAATGATAACTTATGATTGTATTTTCTATCTACTTTTTTATGAAGAAAAAGAAATAATACATTAAAAGTAAACAACACCCCTCCCTCTTTAGTCTACTCAGTAATGGTTGTTGGGGGACATTTAATCGATTTATTTGTGTGTGCGTGTGTAATATGAAACTTTAAAAAAAAAAACAATTTTTTGGACTACTTTATTTTGACTTCACATGTTCAAATAATTCTGATTGTGTACATAACAATTTCGTTGATTAATTATATACCTGTTTTATCAAATGAAAGTCATGAATCATATTGAAACTCCTAAAAGACTTCGATGATAAGTATCCAATGTGAATTCTATACATCCTATGCGTCAATATTGCATTAAGTAAAAGAAATAACACTAAAAGTAAACAACACCCCTCTTTAATCTACTTAATATATATCTACTCAGTAATGTTTGTTGGGAAACATTTAATCGATTTATTTGTGTGTGTGTAATATGGAACTTTAAAAAAAAATGATCAAACAAAACAAATTTTCTATCTAATTTCTTAAAGACTTCGATGACAGGTATCTATATATTTGTAAATGATAAGCAAAGATGGATAGTGGGTAGAAGGGGAATACAAAACGCGCGACACTTCGTCCTATTTAGGACTCGGTAGCTGGATGTACTTGCATCTCAAAGTTGATGTTTATTCTGGAACTCAAACTCAGTACGTTTCGCTTCAAACGCCATCGTGTTATCCACTCAGCTACTGTGGCCTGGCTATTTAGCCACTGTCCATCTTTGCTAATAATGCTTGCGAATTAAGGCTATATTGAGGCAATATGCACAGTATACACATATGACAGTAAGAGACTGATCAATTGCAGTCCTAAAAGTCAATGGGAAGATTCAAACAAATAATACTAAATCAATTTAAGAATATTCTTCGTTAAAATATTCATCTTTTCATATGATGGGAATCTTTAAACAAATAAGCTATGTAGCATAAAAAACGATTATGTAATAACTATTTTCTTTCATAGACTGATTTTAAAATACAGTTGATCGGCGGCCTATAACTCCATTAAGAGTAATAAGCGTAAGTAAGTAAGTAAGTACGATTACAATTATTGATGAGTAGAATTCATTCCTGTAACACATCCTTTCATGAACTCGGCATAAATTATACATGTATAGGGGGAGAAATAGTTGTTGGATCAATTATTTTTTTTGCAAAGTTATTTTTTAATGTCAAAAATTTTTTGAAATTTCTTAATCTAACATTTTATTTTGTATATACCTTGTGGAACAATTAATTATAGTCACTATTTTCATTCCTTACGTCTGTTACTCCCAATGGAGGATGGGCCGCCGACCAGCACACTATTTTCATGGTAAATAAATTGTGTATAATAGAATGTTATAAACATAGTTATATATGACCAGTAGTCAGTCAGTCAGCTACAACGTAGGACCAGGTACATATATGCATCGGTCCAAGTTGCAATACCTCGTCAGCACAACAAGATGAACACCGGTATCATAGAAATAATTAATTTAGTGGTGGTAATATATAAAAGAAAGATTGTATATAAGGATATAGTATAGGAAGGAAAAAAAGTTATGAAGCAATTTTAATCTTAAGGTTTAAGGGAAGATAAAGAGTGTATACACCTACTCCATTGTGATCGATTCTGAGCCATGTCACCTAGAGTCTCCAACCATTGGTTATGATAGTCACGCGGTAATCGTAATGGTAATAATCAGAAAATTATTACTGACCGAATGATCATTTCCTTTCTTTAATGAATTGATACCATAAGTAAGTAGTCTGTTCTCTTTTTTCGTTTTGTTTTTGTTTTGTTCAACATTCAGTTGCTCTATTATACAAGAAATATTGATTTGATATTATATGCATCTTTATCAAAAGAACTATGTGCTATTTATGTGCGTGCCTTGTATAACTATGTTGTAATATTGATTGACCTGTATATACCTTTTTATAAATGTATTCGAAATTTTATTAAACCGGAAGTAAATAATTGAGATATAGTGTATAAAGGAGATATAGTGTATAAATATTGGTACAAAGGGGCACCAGATACATACATCTCATTTGACTTGTGTGAGGGCTATGATACTGCCCGGGTGCTCGAACCGAAGCAGGCGGTTTTCTTAAGGGGCCACGCACCGAGCATTTGACCTAAAGGTCTGATCCACAAGGCGATGGAGCATCGTAAGGAGATGCAGTCCCATGGTACAGTTGTTACGTAACTAAACTATTCATATTCGTGTTTCTCGTATCATGAGCTTTATTTTGATCTTTGATTTATTATCATACGATTCTTGAGTTATACTCAGTTATTGATTACTTTGGTTTGTATAAAAACCCAGTATGTTTGTAAATAATGATTCATATTGTCGAGGCTGTTATTTGTGTTCTGGACTCAACTGGCTGGAATAGGCAGTAGGAAGGACCGATACGCAATCAAGACTGCTCGTACGATTTCAAGTATCATTTGCATCCGACCAATAAATCCACTCCTCTCTAAATCGCACGTTCATATATATTACGAATCCATACGTTATAACATAAGTATCTATATTTACGATTGTACAGCACTACCGGTCCCAAGCCTAGGTAAATGAGGAGGGTTGGGCATGGGGTTAGCGACCCCATCCTGTAGAAAAACTAACTCGCTAAATGAACGGTAACCAGAAAAAATAATTCGTACCATTTAAACTCTGCCCTGGTAGTTGAAGAAATAAGCAGATATGAAAAAGATGAATAGCATCTGGAAAGAACTGGAAAAGATTGCCCAGAACAGAGTTGGGTGGAGAATGCTGGTGGGCGGACTATGCTCCTACACGAGAGGTAACAGGCGTCAGTATGTTAGTAACAGCTTTGAAAACAAACTCTCCAGGAAAGAGAACTCTTCACTGAACCAATCTTTCTTATTTATTGTCTTAATGGATGCATTCCGTCTACTTAAAAAATTAACTCTGACTATGCAGTACAGAATAAGCTATTTATTATTGAAATTTGAATCAACGTGCTCACTGTTCCATCATTTAAAACATACAGAGATTTAAAACTAATTTCATGTTTGTTTTACGAATCGTTGGAGTAACAAACGATATTCAAGATAGATGATGTAAAATTAAGTATGATCTTTCATTAATTAATATTATCACAAAGGGTTTTTTTGTGGAGATTTAGTAATTTTATAGTTAAGATCATGAGTCAATTGAAGCTAGACCACCGTGGAAAACCTGGAAGCACTGGACGGCCGTTTCGTCCTATTATGGTACTCCTCAGCAGTGCGCATCCACGAACCCGCTCTCGCGAGATTCAAACCCAGGACCTACCAGTTTCGAGCCGAAGCCCTTAACCGATAGACCACTGAGCTGGCATCCAACGGTGTTAATTTCTAACTTCAACTGATTCACGAAATCGCGCAACCAACTTCCAATGTACTGAGGTAGATACCTGTCTCTACCTGACATGTATTAGCTCCACTGGTTTCAATTGACTCATGATCTTAACCATAAAATTAATATTATATTATCCAATCAATCCGTTTCATTAAAACAAATAACTAAGACGTATTGAAAGAAAACATAACACATAAAATATGAAAAAAAAAACAATTAAAAATCTTATCGTTAACAGATTTCCCCAGTAGAATAGTTGAGTCTTTTTTTTCTTTAATTACTGTTTTATCGGCATTTCTTCTCTTTTTTGTTTCAATGGTAGTAAAGTAAAATGTAGTTCTATGCAGTTAGTTCCCTTTATTGAATTTAAATAAAGACAGAACAAATATTGATACAGAATAGTATGAATTCATTATATTTCGTGGTTTCTCATCAGCTGCCTACAATCAAATATGTATTAGAGTTTTAGCATTGCTTTCAAAATCATTAGCAAACAAAGAAGTACAACTGCTCTCCGGTCTGTTGAAGTGATAGCGATTAAAAAATTCAAACCGGATCTATATACTCAAATAGAGACAATGATAAACCTATAACTACCCTGGTAATCCGTTTTTCTTTTTTTGTTTTTTTGTTTTATTTTTTCATATTAGTTTTATTTTGGTTAATATTCGGTTTTTATTATATTCCTCTTCCCTTACCCCAATTCTCTCTCTCTCTCACACATTTCCGCTCACTTGTCTCTCTGTTATGCTTGTGAACGAGTGGATGTCTAGTTGATGTGTGGCTCGATAGAACCGCCAAACAGGGAGCAGCGGATTATCGGTTGGAACAGTGACACGAAACCCGTACGAGCAGTCTACAGTGCTAACCGGTCCTGCGATCTGCTTAGCCCTGCCAATTAAGTCCAAAACACCAATAACAGCCTCGACAATATGAATCATTATTTACAAACATACTGGGTTTTTATACAACCCAAAGTAATCAATAAACTGAGTATAACTCAAGAATCGTATGATAATAAATCAAAGATCAAAATAAAGCTAATGATAAGAGAAAACACGAATATGAATAGTTTAGTTACATAACAATTGTACAATAGGAAATAGGCATAATACATTGGTCGATAAATAGACCTATAAGTTAACATTCGTAATTCACCGGGGGATATAACACTCTCTTAATTATATGAATTCTCCAAAATTCTATTCAATTATTACGTAACCCACTCAAATAGTTTTTAATTACCTCTAAAATTATCATACATTTGATCTTATCTTTGAATTCCATTCAACTATTACGCCACCCACCCTTTATGCTTCCTTCATTCTAATACCTAATAACCTCTGACCTTTCCTTGCATATATATATATATATATATATATAGTTATCATTGATAACCTTTTGTTATTCCAATCCTTTACATTCAATTATGTCAATTGTTTCATACTATTTATTACCCCATTGCTAAAACTGTAATACATATTTGG